CGTATACTGGAGGGGTGACGGAGGTAGTTGTTGGGTGAACCGGTGCGGAAGTAGAGCTGCTCGATGAGTAGACTGGTGGAGAAACCGAGGTGCTCGTGCTGCTGTGCTCAATTGGCTTTGAGGCAGACGAAGACGAAGAAGTGTACTTCGATGGGAGAGGAGCTGTCGGGCCATTCGTGGGCTTGGATGAAGGACCTGTGGGGTATGGAGGGAGAGACTTGGTCAACGTCTTTGTTACATCAGTTGTGACAGTCGTGTGGCTCTTGTATGTCTTTGTCAAAGTGGCTCCGCTGGAGGTGACTTTGGTTGTGACATCGCACTCAGTCGTGTAAGTAGTTTGGACCACTGGGACTGTGGATGGTGATGTGGTGTGAGCAGCAGACGAGCTAGAGCATGCAGTGGGTGTCATAAAGCTACCTCCCTCTGTGAAGGGGTTGTAGTTGACGCATGAAGCGAGCTGAGATGCACAGAAAGACATGTTCGCATCTGGGCTAGTGCGACAGACGTTGTAGGCATCGTTGCAGGCCTTTGCGCAGCTGTCCCCGGAGCCGGTAGCTGGGTGAGATTCCTTAGGACCTGAAGGGTATGTTGCGGGAGCGGATCCCACTGGGGCTGATGGATGGGTCACGGGAGACGATTCCTTGGGACCTGAAGGATATGTTGCGGGAGCGGATCCCACTGGAGCTGATGGATGGGTCGCGGGAGACGACTCCTTGGGACCTGAAGGGTATGTTGCGGGAGCGGATCCCACTGGAGCTGATGGATGGGTCGCGGGAGACGACTCCTTTGGAGCTTCGCTCGTTGGGACTGGTCCAGCAGGGACAGTCACATACACAGTAGTCGTCACGGGGGCAGGGCAGTCAGCCTTTGGGCAGACTGGGCAGCTTGAGGAGGGCGCAGGAGCTGGGTGGACGTAGGTCGATGGCGCAGGCGCTGGGTGGGCGTCGGTAGAAGGTGCAGGCGCTGGGATCGTCTTGACCTCAGTTTGAGGGATGGTGAGAGTCGTGGCCTTGGTGACTGTGTAAGTCTTCCCGCCGTGAGTCAAAGTAGTAGGCTCAGGGCAGTAGGTCGTGAGCGAGGAGGTGACGGTGGTCTTGTGCTCATACGAGGTCGGCCCAACAAGCGTCAAGCTTCCGGAAGTGGAAACACAGCTGGAAGAACCTGGGTAGGAGTGCGCTGGGTTGCAAGCGTAGCTAGTAGTAGAGTAGACTGGCGCTGAAGTTGTGCTCGCCGATTGTGTCGAAGTGGTGCTAGCGGCTGAGCATGCAGTGGGACTGACGAACGATCCCGTGAAGGGATTGTAGTTAACACAGCTAGCAAGCTGAGATGCACAGAATGCCATGTTCGCATCTGGGGCAGTACGGCAAGTGTTGTAGGCATCATTACAGGCCTTTGCGCAGTCAGATACAGGAGTGCCAGTGGTGTGTGAAGCAGCAGATGAAGAAGAAGCGCTCGAATAGTGGGGTGGAGCGGATGCCGAGCTCGAATACTTTGGAGGAGTAGAAGAAGAACCCAGGTATGTGGGAGCCGCAGAGGAGGAGCTCGCGCCGGTTGTGGATTGGTAAGATGGCGGGCTGTTGGGGGTGCCATAGTCATACGCCTGAGGGATGGCGTTGACGGCGCCAGCCAGGGCAACGAGGGTGAGCTTGTAAAGCATCTTGTCCTTTGTATCGATCGGGGTTTAACGATTGTTTGAAAGAAAGTCTCTGCAATAAGCAAAAGAAACGATGCTGAGCAGGACCTGAGCGAGTGAGGCCTGTTGGATTGGTTGTTGAGATTAGTGAATTGTTGATGAGATGGAAAGGTATCTGAAGTGGGTAGAAGAGAGTTCTCATATACTCAGAGCCTTCGTAGCAGTTCTCTAAGTTTAGTTGAAGCGAGCGAATGCTGACTGGTTAGCCTAGTCTGCATAGCAGTAAGATGCCTGGTACCCCAGTACGAGATTCCTATTCCAAGACATCACTGCTCCAGTGACAGGAGTGCATGTCCGCAGAATAGGTACGAGTCGCGGTAAAGAAACCTCCTTAGCTCAAGGGGCTAGCGAGAGATGGTTGGAGGTGGTATTGCCGCGGAGCCTAATGGCCACTCGCCTCGTGTTGATCGTAAACCCGTGAAGGGGTGACGGCGGCAACTCCAGGCGCCCGATATTCCCACACAGGGCGGCTGGCTCGCAGGCGATACCCCAAAAATCCCATCAATGACCCGAGAATATGTCTTTCGTTGCCTTGATCCCCTTTCTCTGTGCACATTGCACACTGGCACGGCATGATTCTTTCGTTGACCCAAGAGGTGATGTTGATGCCGAGAGTAAATATAGAAACATGCTCTAACCATATCGGGACACATGGCCTTTTTCAAGGCCGAGATGCTACCTTACACCGTGCGGTGCCTCAACACGAGCCATGATGACACGGCTCCCGTCAATTGTTTATGCATCCCACTACTGCACGTCGTACGGCGCCATACCACTGCTGTTCATGATCACTACAATGGCTTTTTGGGCCGTCTTGGGTGACGGACGATCTCGGTACCATCGGATTCTCGCTTCAAGACGGCAACACGATCATTCAGCCGCGACAAATGGTCAGCGACTAATGACCACAAACCGCCAGAAGGCTGCAGCCATGCTATTCTCACCCAAGTGGACATCCCGACAGGCTTAAGAAAGGCCCTTTTCAGCGCCCCGACTCGACGCCCTTCGCAGGACCTGTTACCGCCAAAGCACGCACGAAGTAGCCTTCCGTTGGGCTGCATCCCGCCAAACACCGCAGCCGTGACAGCGCGCATGTCTTGACGCGATCCGATGTGAAACGCAAGCATGAAGCTAGTAGCCCACACGAGAGCTGCCATCCCGTGGATCTGTTCCTCTAGCATGCATGCATGGCACAATCCGGTATCCGACGGGGGATGCATGTGAAACCTGAGCGACGCAATGCTCGCTTCACGATAAATTCGAATTCCAGGAAAAGGCTTTGCACGGTTGCGCCTTTCAAGCTTTGGTACAAMTTGGTACGGAAGCACGATGTAGCGTGCGAGAACGCTACATGGCGGCTCAAGGAAACCCACGAGACGGCTTGCTTGCTTGCTCTCACATGTCAAAGCATATTTTCAAAAACGCCAGGAACGTCATCCGGAGTACGGCCAATACTGGCTTTAGGCGAACGTCTCCTCAAGACCCTTTGCAAAATGGTATGGTACTTGTCATGCAGCCACGCGTAAGCCTCGTGGTCCGCTACGGCGGGGGAGATTCATTGCAGAAACTCGTATTCGAGCTCCCAGAGCTCCCCGACCTCTGACTTTGGACAGCTTCGCAGGCACGTCGTATTCCTAACACTGATGCTGAACTTTGCAAAGGTGACATGGTCCAGTTGTCGACAAGATCGACTCTCGTCCAAGAAGACCAACAAAACTGCTCGCGCGGTTGAACCAGAAACCAAGCGTTACAAGCGTTTCAAAAGCGCGCGCGGCAACAATCTGCCGWAAAGCCTTGTGTGCAAGGTTTCTGCCAMCACGTTTCTAGCTTTAAACCAAGAAGCTCCCGTAGCCAACGAAAGCTGTAGTGGACCTTGTGGCTGGATGTGCTTCTATTCTTGAAGGACGTCCCCAGCAGAGAGCCTATTGACATTGTATTAACAGGTTTTATAATACGGGTTGTTGAGTTCATCGAACCATCCTTTTCGTCTTCGATCTCCAAGTCCATCAACACGACAAGTCGATCTCGCTTCAGTGACCCACCTCCAGGTTCTCCGGTTGACATGCTATGCGATGATCGAGCGTGGAGCATACATACAGATCAGTGGGGCCAGTAGCCGCCATGGAGAGTTCCCTATAATCTGGGTTGGTAATGCGATGACAGGGCTCGATCCACTTCATGTGTTCCCTCTCGTACTTTGCCTGACTCAGTCACGACATGCACTTTAGGCTCGTATTTGACCGATCTAGTTTCGGCAACAACGTCCTCACGACGACACCTAAGAGCACTGAATGTTCAATCAAACGAGTGTGAGTGTAATTCGATTAGACTGAATCATACGTAAATGTCTCAATCCCAATGAGAGTGAAAACGAGATCCCTATCCCTCGCAACCTGCATGAAAACCTTTATCATGAAACGCTCGCTGTAGACTCAAAGGTTCGTCGTAACCATCCTGTGATCCATTCAATCCATCATCACCCCTCATAAGCTACGGGAAACACTAAGCATGCAGGGAGATCGAGAACGCCAACATGTCGTGTCACTTATCGAATGGTCGTGGCCTTGGTGAGGCTTGCCTTGGCAGAGGAGCTGCCGCCGGCAACGAGGTTTGCAGAGCCAGCCTTCTTCTCGAAGACCTTCCAAAACTTGAGCGACTCATCAGCCGCTGCGGTAGCGAGCATTTGACCGTCGGGTGAGAGAGCCGAGTGAAGAACGCGGGACTCATGAGCAGGGATCTCAATGTTCTTGACCAAGGTTGGGTAGCTCCAGATAGACAGGCTGTTGTCAGGGAATCCAGAGGAAGATACAATCTCCTTGTATCCCATCGACCAGCGAAGCGAGGTAACCTGGCTGCCAGTGTCGATGCTGTTCACGCGAGCACCCGAGGTCGTGTTCCAAAAGTGGATGTGTCTGTCATGGGATCCGCCACCAGTAGCGAGAAGGTTCGATTGCCATGGGCACCACGCGATGGCCTTGACTGCAGCGTGATGGTTGGTCTTCTGGAACTTGGGGGCGTTGAGCGAGCGAGCGTCCCAGATGGTGACGAGGTTGTCGTTACCGCCAGTAGCAAGCTGGGCACCATCGGCGCGCCACTCAAGACCGCAAACTTCGGAGGTGTGGGAGACAAGCTCGGCGACTTTGTGCTGGGCAATACGAACATCGTGGTTGTACACGAGACCAGAGCGTGCGCCGGTGGACAGAATGTGCTTGTTCCAACCCATGGCACTAACGCGGGTGTCGTGGCCGTACATTGAACGAAGCTTGGTGCCATCCTCGACGTCCCAGATTTGGACCTCACCGGTTCCAAGACCGGCCGCAACATAAGCACCATCACCGCTCCACTTAACAGAAGAGATGTACGTGTCTGCAGGGCATTCAAGTAGACTGGCGACTGAACCGGACTCGGCTGACCAGACATAAACGTTGCGTTCAAGACCAATGGCCACCTGGTTGCCAGAGGACCAGTCGAGGAGGTTGAGGTAGTAGTCGTCGACAAGACCAGGGGCATCGAGCACGCGCTCTGGAGCTGTGAGGACACGGCGGCGAGACTGGGATGCTGATGCTGCGACAGGCTTGAGAGGACGGTTGTACTGAGAGCGGAGGTCGATAGGGCGAGATGACTCAGGTGCTGCGGGCTTGAAAGCGAGGATTCTCTGCTTCATGCTGACACCACAGGCTTCCGCGACCGACTGCTGGTAGGCAATGGTGTTGGGGCTCTGCTTGGTCTTGATYTCGTCGTCCTCGTTGTCGTTCAAGGACAGGCCATCGAGGGAGAGGGATGCAGTGGCATCAGAAGTAGATTGAAGACGGCCGAAGTCGAAGCTGCTACCATCGTGGGAGGCGCTGGACTTTGGACGGCGGCCGGGTGTGCGCTCGCCATCAAGTTTGACGACGGCACCGGAGGTGGAGATGGCCTCGCTGGCGTCCCGGTTGGGGATGAAGCGATCAGCGGCAGTGTAGTTGATCTTTCCCTGGCTTCGCTTGGGAGTGCGGTGCGTCGAGCCCGAGCGTGTTGCAATCCGGCGAGATGGTGTGTTCTTTGCGGAGGTTGCGTTTGCGGTGCCAGGTCGGGTGCCGGAGCAGCCAAGTGTGTAGTCGCTTGTCTGCTGATCGAGACGGCGTGGTGACAGTGGGTGACGTGCGGCAATGTTGGACTTTGGCGAGTCGCGCACGTTGGTCTTGCTGACGGAGCGCGAGAAGCGGGAGATCAGGTTGACGTTGCCGTGGTGGATGCTCTCGCCCACCTCTTGCACGACACTGGTCTTGGGTGTCTGTGGTGAGGGAGTGAGGGGAGCACGGCCACCGGCGAGGCGCGTGGAGAAGATGCCATCACGGCGTTGTTTGACAGGAGTTAATACTGAAGCAGTTGCCATATCCGCTGTGGATGGTTGGTGTCGATTTTGCTGTAGATGGCCCAGTGAAGGGATCCGGTTAGTATGATCGCAGATATTTGCAGTATGCCGTTGATGGAGGAAGCTGAATAGCTTCGAAAGCGTTGCTGGTGAGAGCAGCAGAGAGTATTGTGACTTTTGTGTGTGTGTAGGTACAGAAGAAGTGGTGGCCGAGCGGATCAGTATTTACATGAGAAAACAGTCCGCTGGTTGGGGAGGCAACCACGACCGACGTCGGGACGATCCCTCTCGCTTCCGATCTGCATCATCTGAACCCGAGAAAGTGGAACCGCGGTGCAGCGCATCGCAAGAACATGAAGATCACCCTCACCACATCGATGCATCAGCCGTGATACCAATTGAAACTCCCATCCGGTACATGGACGGTACCCCCACCTATCGGCCTCCAGCTCACTCCTCCCACCCTCCCGTAACGACCATGGCTGCGACCTCGAGCAACCCTCGCTTCTCCACCTCTTCAAATAACACATATGTCATGTCCGGCTCTCCGCGAAAGAACAGCCGGCGGCGGACAGCAGAGGCTTACATGCCCAAGATAATCACAACGGTTGGCCAGCGACCAGCGTGTTTGGTGAACGCTTCCGTCACTTATGTCGGCAACGATCTGATCTACGCTTTCGGAGGCTTCGACCAGTACACCGACGAAGTCTACAACCATGTTTTGAAATTGAACCTCTCTGCACGCCAGTGGAGCTTGGTGGATAACTATGGCGATATTCCTGGCGTGCGGATGGGCCACACTTCATGTCTGTGGCAGGGCGAGAAACTGCTGGTTTATGGCGGGGAGAATGAGCATCGCATTCACTTGTCCGACGTGGTCATATTCGACATTAAGACGGCACATTGGACACAGCCAGATATCAATGGACCAATCCCAAGAGGCCGAGCTAGACACTCCGCTGTGATCTACGACGACAAGCTGTTCGTGTGCGGTGGCATGAGCGGAACCGACAATGGCGTCCTAGACGACATCTGTTATCTAGATCTCAAGACGTGGACGTGGAGCCGGACATGGCGCTTTGTACCGCGCTTCGATCATTCCAGCTGGGTTTGGGGAGGCAAGATTTGGGTGAGCGGTGGCATGGGCGAGGACATGGACCGCACGAGCGAGATTTGGTGGCTGGACTTCAGAGGATCGCCTGCTTTCGAAGCCGGCCCTTCATATGGTATCGCTGGTTCCGAAGACGCAAGACCAATGAGTGAGCGATATGCCATGTCATATACTGCGCCTTCGCCCTCGCTCAGCACAAATGTCTACTCGGCAAATACGAGTGTGCAGTCCAACYCGGCGACACAGATACAACGTGCACCTCCAGTGGCCCCTGGTGCGATCAGCAGCGTCAAGTTCATATCCTCTCCCAACCTTCCCATGCAGAATGTTGGCACACATTTCCACGTCTTTAGCTCGGGTTGCATGCTCGACTTTGTCACTCCCGCGACCAACATGCCGCTGGAAACATCTCTCTCCGCCCTTGACTTGGATAATCTCCGCTGGCAGAAATTAGCCGATGGTAAGGACCTCTTCAGCCCAACATACAGGTGGCATTACTGCTGCCTAAATCAAGATGGGACCCATGCATGGCTATTGGGATGTCCAAGAGACGTGCGCAGTGCCACTGGCGAGACGGAGGAATACCTTTCAGATGTGCTACCTATTGATATGCGAAAGTTTGGCCTTTTGGGTAATAAGATGAGCCAAGAAGCCCGCAACGAGCAAAAGGTGCCCACATCTGACACACATGCTACGTCGCATCTATCTGCGATCGGTGCGGACTTGGCAAGGACTTTCAACCAGCCACCGGAGAGCGGCTCAGGCACTGATTTTACCGTCACGGCTTTGAGAGATGACTCTTACGATCTGGAGTCACTGTCAGGGGACGACGACTCCTCAATCTTGGGAGCCGCGGCCAGCGCTGAAAGCAGTAACACCTCCACACCAATCCACGTCCATCGTTTGATCCTCAGCGCACGGTGGCCGCACTTTCAACGCCTCTACAACGCCCAAATGTCGGAGTTCCACACCCGGAGAATGCACATCCCGGAGCCGTATCCAGCCGTGAAAGCATTTCTCTACTACCTCTACACGGATTCAATCTCTAGCCCGCCCGCGGAGAGCAATTCAGTCAGTGGACCGACCCTCGAAGATGTCGCCAATATGCTGGTCATGAGCAACATCTACGATATGCCACGTCTCCGCCATCTGTGTGTGAATCGTCTGGTCCGTGACTTGGACGTCCAGCACGCAGCACTAATCTTCGATCGTGCCAACACGGCTCAAGAAGACTGGCTTAAGCGTCGAGCCGCGAGCTTCTGTATGACACATTGGGGTCGTATTGTTCGCACAGATGGCTTCAGGAGACTTAAGAGGTCCGCTATGCTGGAACTTTGCGAGGGGGTTGATGCCGAGGGCAGAGTTGTGGGTGGTGATGAGTTGGAAGCTGTAGGAGGACTTGGAGGTGCGCGACTTGGGAGTGGCATGGGTGTTTTGTGGGGAAATGGACGGAAGAGAGGTCGACTGGGAAGTCTTAGCGGGACTACCGTTGACGGAGAGGATGGCGAGACTGAGGCGGATGGAGATGGAGATGATGAAGGCATGGAGTTGTCTTGATAAGTATGCTTTATGGAGATTTTTGTCGTGGGTTAAGGTTCTTTGGAAGAAACTTTGGGAGTCGTGGAAGGTAGTTTACAGGGCATGGAAGGGCGTTGTGGGTAGCGATGGCGCATGGAGGAGGAATGGATCACGGGGTGCATGATTGACATGTTGAATGACTGCATATATATACACGGCTCAACAGATATAGACTTGCTTGAAAGTTGAATGTCTCGAGGGAATACACGCGCAACGCGCAAGCATATGAAAGGATTGTCATGTTTGGATAGGTGAGGACAGAACGTACACCGTCTCCCTGAAGCGGAAGTTGTTCATGAATTCCAAAGGCGCATTTGTGAAGCAACTTTGCGCGGAGCTGTCGATATAAGGATTTTTTTATCGAGACAAGACACTTCTGGTCGTCTTTATAACGTCTTTAGGCCTTACTCTCCGTAGGAGTAACGATTCTAGAGCTGCTAGAACATTTATTACTAGCAGAGTACCTCGTTAGTTAACGGAGWGGGCAGTTAAGGGCGCGGGTTTTTTGATGATCCTCTCATATCGACAGCTCTGACTTTGCGCCTACCTTGGATATTTAATTTGCCTTCAACGCACGAATGGCAGGACGCTTAAGAGGGTTTTGTAGGCCTGGGAAACTCGAATGCGAAAAGACACTGTAGTGAGCTAAGGAGCTGAACCCAAATCAATGAAAGTAACAGCCGCTATGCTTAGCTCCGTGCTGCCTCTCCCAAATTCCTCATCACGAGTGCATAGTGCAGCTTCCACCTGCAGGCTCCCACTTGCTCAACGTCTCAAGTCAAACACCGGCTTTTCTTTCTACCACCGCGAAGAAGATCTCCGGCCCCGGCGTCGATGTTTCTTCGCGATCCGAAGCCCTACAGCCCAGTCATCGCTTCTTTCCTCGAGAAGTTCGCCCCACTCGATGCCCGAATAGAGCAGCTCCACGTCCCGTTGACAAGGACGTAGAGTTCCGTGTTTCTTTTCCGCCTTGAGCCCCCCCACTCTCCCCAATGCCCTCCAGAAACCCAATAATCTCATCATGTTGTCCTCGATAGCTTTCACAAGGAGCTGCTAGGCCCTTCCATGTCCCGTAAAACCCATATTGACATCCGGCTCCATCGAGACAGAGGTCCTGCCATCTGGCCGAGAATACCGATGGAGAAAAGCATGTGCCATCTTATGTAAAAGTGTGTCACTGGTAGCATATGTTGAGTATCGCAGATACAGAGACGCCCAATTCAACCAAACCCGCTCGAGGTCCGCGGGCCCTATGCTCGGGGCGGTCCAGCCAAGTAGACCGGGGTATCTGCCCCATCCGACGGACATGGCCGTAGGAGGAAGCTGACCCAAGAAAAATAGATCGTTGAAGATCTCTGCAAGGCCGGGAAGAGCGCGAGTATCGGGTTGGAGTTGAGATGTGAGATTCAGCGCGTTCCAACGGGCTATGGCTGCACGCTGGGCGTGCCGTAAGGGATGTGAGCCGTCAAAAGACTTGATGGCTAACTGAGCGAGTTGCCAGGCGCTGTGCTCTCGGTATTGGAGAGAGCGGGCGACCGGGGGCTTTTTCGAAGGTTTGTTATGATCTCGCTGGCATGGCCATGGGCACGGGTGTCGTTCCACGTATGGGAACGGGGTCCAAGAATCCACGTCTATCAGATTGGTGGTGACCTCCAACGGATGTGAAGTCATCGTGCCCGTCAGTAGCCGTCCCGGAAGGATGCTGTGAGCGAAAATGCTGGTGGTTCCGCGCTCGACGAGGCAATCCACGTGTTCTATGGCCTGACAATGTCCTTCAAATAGGCGATTGCTTCGAGCGAGTGACGGTTCCGCGATGGTTCGGGTATGGGATGGAAAGCGATGCTAATCTTCGTCGAGACACCAGCCAGAGTGATTGAATGTGGTGTTTACCAGAGGTAGTAGCGGGTAAAGCTGACCATATGCTAGAGAGTAAAGCTGACAAGATCAATGCGGTGCTGAGTCGAGCGCAATGATTGATACGAAGCTGCTAGAATGACGCCGTGGGGTGTTTTCGAGTGTCAAGAAACTGACCGGAGGGGGAAGAGTAGAGATCAGGAATGGACCTGGCGTACATTGTGCAGCAGGAGCATTCACAAAGTCGCGCCCTCCTCATAGATCTCCTTCAACGTCTTCCTCCTCTGGGGACCAGTTGCWTCGCGTTCTCTTTCCTTGCGCACAGTCCTCCACACACGATCCTCGCGCCTCCAATTCACACAGCTCAACCCAGGAATGGGCACCGTCTTCATCAGCTCCTTCTGCGGGATAGCCTTGGTGTCCAGCGCGAAATTTCCATGATAGTGACCTACATTGATCTGATCACGGAAATGGGCTCGCGCATAATTGGACTCGATCTGATAGATTCGCGATTCCAAGATTGGCAGCGGCGGAGGCTGAAAGGGCGTCTGCGTCGGCCGTTGAGGAGGAGATGGGAGGGCATCTGCATTGGTGGACATGGCTCGGCTTTGGATCCCACCAAAAGGTGCTCCGGACGGGCCTCGCGGCGTGCTATCGGACGTGGTGGAAGCACGGAGAGGAGCAGRAGCAGGAGGCGGAGGCGGAGGTGAGTTCTGTTCGCCGACAGGCGCCTTACCCATTCGAAACCGGATGGGACTTTTGTGAGCACATGCTGCCGCCGCACTTTCCTCCTTGAATATCACCAATGATGTGTTGGGCGCCGACAGGGCATCGTATTTGAGGTTCTTGAAATATTCAATCTCCCCAAATTGCGAGAGCAAGCGCAGGATCTCGCGCGATTCGCCCAGATTTGACGGGCGTGGCAGGATGCGCAGATGCAGCGCGCGAGATGTCGTGGGCCGCACCAACGAAGTCATGCTGATGAGGACGCGATATCGTCGACAGCAATGTCGTTGGAGAACGCGCATTGGGAGTTGCAGCCATTGGACCGAGATACGCGGACGCTAACGGCTGCTGAGGACCAAGACGACTCTAATGGACTCTTTTTGCCGTCTGCCGTTCCAACCTCTCACCGCATCGGTCGCTGATGGTTGTGGTTCATAGAGCATCGTGTGTTATTGGACTCGATGCAACCTGTGCCATTCCATCAGGAGTAGCAATCTGACGGCTTGCCGGAGTGGTTCAGGACATATCGTTGTCATGGCTTCTTTCTACACTGCTTCGCGACGTTATACTGCTCAATGACCTTTTCTTGGAGACTTTTAGTAGGCAAGGTCCATCTCAAGGTAGGCAAGCACAAGTCTGGAAAATCTGGAAATTTTCTGCCTTTCCACGCTATGGTCTGTATTCAATGCTTTAGTGATTCCCCGTTCTGGCGCATCACATTTCCTACCTCCAACTAGATGGCCTTTCAGCAATGTCGTGTGAAATATTCGACGGCTACCACCTCCCATGTTTCCTCCAATCCAATCAATGTTAGCGAGGAAAAGTCCAGAGCTCAGCAAAGAGACAGCATCGCTATGATGGAGGTCATGGAAGGTTCAGGAGAAGGAGGAAAAGTTGAATTGGACCGTGCTGGTATTGATCTCGGGACCTTCGATTACGTCCATTGTCGCTTTGAACAGAGGTATCATGTGTAAAGCGATGTCCGCCACAACTGACGAGTTTGAGTCACTCTCCGGCCATACCTGTATGGACCCGCTTACTCATTGACAATATGCCCTTTTCAACTTCTCTTTAGAAAGACTTACACTTTCTTCGACGTCAAGGCGACATTTCTGGTAAGCGTCGTCATCTTCAAACCTGTCATCTGGGGTGCTGCCGTACATCTGTGTCTTTCACAATTGGAGAGCTATTGCAGATGTCGGAGCGGCAGGCATGTTTCCACATTCAACCATCTGCATCGTCTACACCGTGGCCCGGCGTATCCGTCCAAGGCTCAAGGCAATTTCGGTGCGGTCTTTGGATGTGCTTTCATCATTGATCCTCTATTGGTGCGCTGACTACGCATGTGACTTGGAGATGGTGCTCCTGTCTCAACTTCCTATCGGTGGAGCCGCAATGGTCGTTCATATGGAGATTACGCCCAACACTCTGGTAAGGGACACGATAAACTCCGCCTGGAGCGGAAGTTACAGCAGTTAGACTTCCCTGAAATGGCGCTGCTCATAAGGGGTGTACAAAATGAAATGAAGAGTCGGGTCCTTCCATGCAGACCGAGTACAATAATCAGCGCAGCTCACGACAAACATCCAATGAAATGCACAACAACTTGCAGCGAAGTACCTGTCACTTTTGGTAGCTTGTGAATCAACAGCGATGCAGATGCTGACCAGAATATCAACCCTCAAATGCAATGAACGCCTCCGTATTGGCTCAGACGTGTCATGAACCCAGGCTCAACCGGCCCCAGCAGCGAGCATGATGCTCGTCGAAAAGCAGCGCCATCCAGAGAATTGGCAGATCTTTTTTCCGACTTGCCGAACGAGGCCAACCTGGAAAGCTCTGTCGCTGCTCCTTGCACACAACTATCAACGATAACGCCCACTATGGCCCAGTGAAAGAAATAAAAGCTCACTCTGATATTCCTCGTCATTGCGTCTGTGACCACCTGGCAGGTTGATTGTAAGCGTGAAGAAGAAATTCAGTAGCGTGAAGTGACGGAGCTTACACCAAAGTCCCTCAATTTCGAACCAGCGCGAGTCATTTGATCGATCGACGCTTCCATTATTCTCGGAGAGATTCGCATAAGGTAAGCCGGACCAGATCCAGCACCTTCAATCCGTCTCGTTCAGATTGCGAATGCCAGGTAGTAAAGTACCATCCGCTCGCCACATCTCCTGAGCCCTGACTCCTGGGAGCATTTTGGAAATGCCTGTCGATACTACTACTCAGACTCCAGACTGCTACTAGGATGTAATGTGGGCGACGGCGTGCTACTCGGCCAGTATCGGGACAAGTGGTCGAGTTGGTCCAGCCCAAGACCTTCTAGAAGAACTACCGCTCTACAAGCGCCACGATGCAGCGGCTATAGTGCAGAGCGGGGCTAGCCTCCGTCGCTGATTTGCTGTAACAACAGCCATCTAGTGGCGGATGGTGTTGAGCCAAGCACACCAGCGTCACTGGCTTGGAGACTGGATCGAGCTGTGTTCGTTCATAAAACGATACCGAAGGCAGTATGTACTGCACGATGCTACGGGACACGGCTTACACTCTAATGTTGCATCCGATCTGCCAGGGCGAAGAGTCTGCCTTGTAAACGCCAGGGCCACATTCCTCCCCCAGTCTCGGCGTCATCTCGTTGCTACCTATCAGCCTGGTACCGCTGAGGCTTGCGTCTGGAACCGGAACAGGCCGCTCCACCAGGACTTGTGGAGGGAAACGGCGTTCTGTGCCGTCAGCCCTACGGGTGGGTAAGGATATCTCCTTGACTCGCGCCCAACGACTCCTGCTTGCCGCCGGAAAACCAACGACGCTCGCTCTGTTTAACGGCCTGTCGGCCCGCCTTGTGTCTGAGTGCCCAGATGGTTCCTCCCCATATCTTCTCCATGCCGGCCTGATTGATAGATTTATTCCTCCGCGAAGAAGCCAATTTCCAAATTCCAATCCTTCCAACCACGGGCACATCCCACAGACATTGTTCAACCATGTTTGACGAGGCCTTTACCTTTGACGTTGCGCGTTCGCCGTCTGTCGACTCCAACAACACATCCTCTACAACCCGAGACACTTCGAGATCTGTCTCACCATGTTCGCCAACAGGGCCATTTCCTCCTCCGACATATTCCGTAACCGACCTGGCTGCGTGTTTCGCCAATTCGAAGATGATACGGAGAGAAGCCCAAATATGTTATGATGCATGCGATTCATATGCGAATTCGGACGACGACGCTGGCTGGCAAATACCCACAGAAGATGCTATTTACACTACCGCAACACGATCACGGACTCTCCCACAACTACAACAACGATCACATTCGCGGACGCAGAGACAGGCCAGCGCAAGGTTGCTGTGCAGCACTTCACATCACAAAGACATTGCATCGTTGGTGTCGAAGATGGTGGAGAGTAAAGAGCAGTGTTCAGTAACGGCATCTGCTGATTCTCATGCTCTGAGCATCGAGGGGGATGGGGGATTGGCATGCGATGAGGGATACGACAGCAGCGACGCAAAGTCGCGACGATCGTCTTTGGCTGTACCGAGGACACGATTGGACTACAGGAGATCTTCCGATTTGAAGACAACGGGTGCTTGTGTGAATAAGGCTGTGCGATTTCGCAACAAACAACAGAAGCGGATACGAGGCTCGGAGAACGAGTCATGATGATACCCAGTAACGGCAGTGTATTGATAGCGTTGTGTCATTCAAGCGATTGAAGCGAGGTGCTGGAGGATGACAAGATGCTCAAGCATCACGCGAGATGTGCAAAGCATGTCGTGGACGTATCGATATAGCGGAACAACTAAGAACGTGTGGCCGCAACCTCAGTCTTCATTCACAGCTACTTCTAACCTATAGCTTGCTTTCCTTGGCTTCCGGCAAGTCAATAACGACCTTGCCCCAAGTCTCTCTCCCACCTAATGCCTCAAGTGCCGCTGGAACGGATTCCAGCCCCTTGTAGACCTTGTCGGTATAGTTGGTTGCACGGATGCTCTTCTTCTCCATCATCGCCAGCAGAGCCTCCCAAGTCTTCGGAATGGTCTCTGGTTCGAACTTTGCGTAAGCTCCCCAATGCAGACCCATGACTGCAATGTTCTTGAGCAAGATTCGGTTCGTAGCGACCTTCTCAATCGGGCCACCTGCGAAACCAATGACGAGCAAACGTCCGTTCCAAGCAATGCACTTTGTACTCTTCTCAATTAGACCGACCGGATCGTAGACAATGTCCACACCGCGCTTCTTTGGTGTGAGTTCCAACACCTTCTGTGGCCAGGACTCATCCCTGTAGTCAACGCCATAGTCCGCTCCGAAGCTCTTTGCAACATCGAGTTTGTGTTGTGTTCCCGCGGTGGCAATAACAGTCGCTCCAAACGCCTTTGCAATCTGCACAGCAGCTAGACCAACCCCTCCCGCAGCGGCGTGCACCAGGACCCAGTCTCCCTTTTTGATGTTCGCTCGGGTCACGAGAGAAGCATAGGATGTTGGCATCGTCACAAACAATCCTGCAGCATCTGCGAAGCTCCATCCCGAAGGCATAGGCTGTAATTGGCTCTCGTGAGCACACACTTTGTAGGCATAACCGCCCTGAGCAGAGCCGAAGACGTTATCGCCGACATTGAACTTTGGTCGTTTGGAGGACTTTGGTGTTGCGAGGACTACACCACTGAACTCCGCTCCTGATACCCAGGGAAGAGGGGGCTGGTGTTGGTACTTCCCGCGGATTTGGAGCAGGTCGAAGAAGTTGGCGGCACAAGCCCGTACGGCGATTGTGTATTGATCGTCCGAGGGTGTTGGGTCCGGGATGTCAACAACTTTGAGGTCGCGAGGACCGCTGACGTATTCCTTGACTTGTATGGCGCGCATTTTGATGATGTTTCTGAATGAAGGAGAGGAAGATTGAAGTCTAGAATGTTTGTAGCCTACCTTTTACATCTCCAATACATGCTGACCCGAAGGTCGGCAACGGCAACAACAACCTGGAGCCAGCCGAGGCAGACCATGTGGAGGTGCACGTGATGATGAACAAACGGACATCGGCCTGTTTCCAAGGGTCCTCCGGCGGCAAGCACCCGTGACAATGTCATCCAAGCTAAGTTTGGATCGATGAGCTTCTTTGACGTTCCAGTCCGCCAGCAGCAAACCAGACTTGCCGTTTCCTCCACAACCACCCTTCTAACAACATCTGTTCCGGTCGATAACACAGTTACATTCATCTCGGCCGAACTAACAGAACTTTCCAGGTTCTAGCTCAACAACACTCCGCGACCTGCTTGCAACGCTTGCACCCCTCACTCAACACACCCCACACCACTCACCATGGCCGACAGTAACGCTACTGGCGAAGAGAGCGAACAGCAAATCACATTCAATGTCAAGTCCTCAGCAGATGCCAAATACATCATCACTGTGCCGCTGTCGTCGAAAGTTGGCGACCTGAAGCAGAAATTGGCCACATCCGAATACGCCGACCTACCACCTGAGCGGCAACGCTTGATCTACAGTGGCCGCGTGCTCAAGGATGCTGACACGGTTGGAAGCTGTAAGATCAAAGATGGCAACACCGTACATCTGGTCAAGGGCGCAGAGAGCAATCAGCGACAAAACCCGGCGAATCAAGGCGGCGCAGCATCTGTGCCATCTGGCGCTGGTCAGCCCGCCTCAAACGTACCTACCAACATCGCAGCTGGCTCAGGTGCCGGCAACCCTCTCGCACATCTTACTGGCGCTCGATATGCTGGTTTCCATGGACTGCCCGGTGCTGATATGTTCGGCGCGGACGGTGGCATGGGCGCACCGCCGGATGCCAACCAGATGCTTCGTTTGCTCGAGGATCCAAACTTTGCACAACAGATGAACGAAGCGATGAACAACCCGGCAGTGCTCGACCACCTTCGTAACAACCCGATGATCAGAGACAATCCTGCGGCACGCGCGGCCATTGAGAACCCCGAAATGAGAAGACTCATGTTCAACCCAGAAATGATCCGCATGCAGATGAGAATGCAGGAGCAGATGGGTGGTGGAGCAGGAGGCGGTGCCAGTGCCTTTCCTATGCCTGGCCAGACAGACACCACCCCCGCGCCAGATGCGGGTACGCAGAATGAGACAGCATCAGCACCAGGTTCGAACCCGACTGCAAACCCAGCCAACCCATTTGCGGCTCTATTTGGAGGTGCAGGCGCAGGTGGTGCGGCCGGTGCAGGGGCTGCAGGTGCACAGAACCCATTAGGCGGCTTATTCGGCAACCAGGCTCAGACGGGAGGACAGCAGAATACACTCAATGCTATGACACAGCAGCTCATGCAAAATCCCGAGATGATGCGACAGATGATGCAAACTTTCGGAGGTGGTGAGGGTGGCGAGGGTGGCGCAGGTGGCTTCAACCCGGCGATGTTCGGTGGCATGGGTGGTTTCGGTGGCCAAGCTGCGCCTCAAGCACCTGCAGATACTAGACCGCCTGAGGAGCGCTACGAGGAGCAGCTGCGGCAGCTCAACGAGATGGGTTTCTACGACTTCGACCGCAATGTGCAGGCGTTGAGGAGAAGTGGTGGCAGCGTGCAAAGTGCTGTGGAGTACCTCTTTGCCAACTCTTGAGGTGCTGGATGGGATGCCCAACAGTTTGACTACTCAACACTTTGACATTCACTTAGCTAGATCCTGGCCTTTCAGCGGCATATCTCGCATTCTGCAGCCTTTGGGACCGGCGCAAGAGACATTATACAGCAAGCGACGAAATGATGCATCATGGGACACAAGACAGACACTATGCGACCCGTAGGGAGAGATGAGCCCGACGCAGAATATCATACAGCGTTCAAGCTCGAAGGACCCGAAGATTCAAACACTCCTTGTCCCGGTGGGGTTCATAGGCGCCTCCTTTGTCTCTCCGCTTTGAGTCGGATGCAATTCTTTGCCTTGTATGTCTCGATTCTCTTTGTCAATCTGCATCATAGGCCAAAYGGACTCGATAAAGAATCAACAGACCTCATGAACGTGTACAGTCCTTCCCTCTCAGTCTTATTCCCCGTTTTGATTTTCCAAGTGGTTGTGGTCAAATTTCTCAACGACTAATTTTATGGCAATCTTCCTGCGAACGTTGTTGTATAACCTCTGATTCGCGGCGGCGAACCAAGACACTGCTGGCAGAATCAACAAAGAAATAACACGAGCTGCACGAAGGGGCTGAGACCTGCGACACCATGGATGATGAGCATAGAGATCTTTCGACCGCCGGACTGCAAAGTGCAAAGCCAACAAAGGCACAAAAAGCCGAATTAGAACTTGAACGCATACAAGCCATGGATTTCGCGAGTCGGGAGAACAGTTTGCTTAAGCGTACTTCTGGCACGAAACGGAAGAGTGTGCGTTTCTCTACTACCATCGGGCGACACCGAAGTACATCGCCAGTTGCTTTCAGCGTTCCCTCGATCGTCACGGGCAACCAAAACGTCGATTCGACTCATAATAGCAACCGCTCCCAACCAGCAGATCAATTGCAGCATGGAGAGTTACTTATGCCCGTTCGGTACTCACCACCCTCAGGAAGTGAAAGCGAGAATTCTACCATAAGCAACGACTCCTGGGATAGTATCCAGCACGATGCTAAGCGATCTGATGTACAATACGCATTACCAGAAGGCAATGTCACCGCAATATCAAAGATGGCAGATCTCACTGTTGATACGGACTCACATCGAGGACATACACGGAATACCAGCAGCTTCTCCAAACGCGGGAGGAGGGACTCGCATCAATTTGACATCTACTTCACCCCAACAGACTACACTCGATCTCAGATCTTTCTTTCGAGCCCTGTAGCTAGCCCAGAACTCCCGCCGGAGAAGGCAGAAGACGAGTGCTTGACGCCCAAAGCGTCAATGTCCAGGCCTCCCAGCGCGATCTTCTTTGGAAGTGATTCAACGCCTTCGTTGCGTGATGAGGTGAAGAGGGAGAAGCTCAGCATCACGCCAGGCCAACACGATCAACTCATCATAGCCCTTGCGAAGTCACAGCTCATTCAGCGGCATGTGCGGAAGCAGTGGTGGAACTCCGACGACATACCAGAAGACGAGTCGACCTTCTCCGCCAGCTTGACCTCTCTTACCGCATCGAATACTGTCTCGACGACACACTCTCGGCCCAATGGGAATTATCTCGCAGATCATCGCAGTCGCCATCCTCAGGATCATCCGTATGCAAAAAGACCACTGCCATCACCGCCAGTCCCATTCGGAGGCATCGCGTTATTAGATTCCAGGATCCACGGCTCCCCAGTCCGATACACCTCAGGAGACTACCGCCAAGGCTCGCAGGTAGTTGGTATCGGCTCCTGCACGTTTCTAAATCTGCCTTATGGCACAGATGTGGAGTGCACACTACGCATCGAACCTGCATCACCCTTCAACGACAACTGTAAAGTCATGCTCCAAGCCGCCAACCAAGTCGTAGATCGAAAGACCAGCAAACGAGCATACCTCCTCGCCGCAGACGTCGATGTCACAGATCTCTTCGCCAAAGCAGCTCTCACAGAACTCGCCGAAGCAACAGGAATGACCTATGACGATATCATTATTCAGAAGCCACCTCCAGTTTCCTCGTCAGAAGACACCAACAGCATCGACTGGTGTGCTCTCGCGGATGAGATGCAGAATACTGCAGATTCCGTCCATTTGATCGACACCGCAGTTCAAGCCTTTGCCACGCTCAAACCCGAAAACTGCGCGATGAGAACCTTRGCTCTAATGTCAGAACTCGAGAGGATCAAAGATCAACATGTGGATTTCCTAATCATTGTCCCGACAAAGTTTCATGACAATGGAATGCCGAGTAATATGCGTATGCCGTGGGTTTCGCAGAGGCTGTATAATGATTGGTATGGAGGTAAAGATGGACCGGGATTCACGCAGACGGCGAGGGCTTTCCAGGAGGGAATTGTGGGACATGTTGCTAGAAGAGCTATAGGGAGGAAGAAATTTACTGTGGCGGTTGGGTGGAAGGGAGAGGATCAGGTCGTGCATTGTGTGCCGCTGAGGGCGAAAGGGGAAGGAGAAGGGGCGGCTTGGGTCTGTTTTCTTCGGGGGGAGTTTGACTTGCAGCCGTAGGGAGATGGCGTGGGTCAATTGCATGATGTGATGGCATTACTATGATGAGATATGAGTTTGAAATGTATCACCATCGATAATATGCTATACCTGATTCGCTTTATGATTCCTCTACTTCTCTCCTTCATCCATGCTCTGTATCATGACTTTGATACCACCCTGTTTAGCATCTGCCGCGACCTTGAAAGCCTCAATCGCCTCTTCCAGCTTGAATCTGTGTGTGACCAGCTTCTTAAGATCGAGGACTCCACCTTGCAATAGTCTGATCGCTCTTGGCCAAGTGTTTGCATATCGGTACTGAAACTGCAGATCCACCTCCCGCGTGCTCAATCTCATGAAAGGAATCTTGATCTCCGGTCGGCCAACGCCAATGACAAAGACCTTTCCACCAAACTTCGCGGCATGAATCGCGCCAGAGATGGAAGATTCAACACCAGTGCACTCCATCACCACCGCAGGCTCCACTCCATCCGCCAGCTTTACGACCTTTTCAGCGAATTGCTCCGGCGAGTCGCCAAAGTCGACCTTGTGAGTTCGTACACTTGGGCAAAACTCTTTGGCGAACGCCAGACGTCCTTCGTCGATATCCGTAATGACGATCGGTTCCGCTCCAGCGGCTTTCACGCAAGCCAAAGTGACCAACCCGATGGGTCCAGCACCACAGACCATGACGCTATCACCAAGTGTAATGTTCGCCCTCTGCATTCCCGCCAGAGCTACGGAGAGCGGCTCCAACAATGCACCGTCCTCGTAGCTCATCTCGCCAATCTTATGGCACCAAACTGCCGGGTGGTTGACATAGCGGCGTAGAAGACCTGGAATCGGAGGAGTGGAGCGGAACTGTACATCCACGCATCCATTGTACTTTCCCGTCAAGCAGGGTTCGCATTCGTTGCAGATGATGTTGGGTTCTATGGCTACTCGGTCGCCGATTTCGTGGGTCTGGACAGAAGGATGTTTGGCGACGACTATTCCGGCGGATTCGTGGCCGAGGATGTGGTCGCCATCTACGATCATGGGACCTATGCATCCTGCGTGCCAGAAGTGGACGTCGGATCTGTAGGTCGAGGATTGAAGGTCAGATGTCTGGAAATTTTGTAGTTTTGAGGAGGAAGAGGTGGTTTACCCGCAGATTCCTGTGCTCTTGATCGCGATGGTCACCTCGCCAGGCTGCAAGCTTTCGCCATTCTCTACTTCTTCTTTTGTGGGTAGAGCATCTGCTATCCACAGATCGTGTGCCGGGTTGGTGTAGACTCCGATGTTGCCCTTGGAGGCTTTGGAGGGCGTGGTAGTAGACTGAATGGTGGCAGCGGGAGACATTTTGCAACAGGGATAGTAGTAGCAGAGAAAACGCGTATCCTTGGAAGGAAACAGATGACAGACGGGACTTTAAGAAACTCACGCAGAAACTGCTGTTGGTACCGCCGGAGTCGGCATGTTACCTTGGAGGGAGCGGCGCGAGGCTCAATACTACCCCAGGATGTGGGAACTTTTATCCACCGCGCGAACAATTTATCCAGCAATTGCTGTTGAGCTCCATGGTGGGGAGGTGGGGTTTGACGTGTCATGCTGGCGTGAGACGGATGAACTGCTTTGGGAAAGCCAGAGGAATGATCCAGACCCTCTCCGGCTGAATGGCCATGCGCAAATTAGGCGACGTTGCCGACGTGGACACCCGACGGCGGGTGTTTCTTTTTAGGAGCTGCCGCAATACGACAACCACCTACCGACGAGACCACACTTCTGGGTGGAAGAATTGAACCCGACTTCACCTTGTCAAAGGCATATCTACGTCTTTGCGAGATATGTTATTGAGATGGCTAGCTTTCTATTATTGGCGCGCCTTGCCGATGGCTGCCAAATGCTTTCTCTAAGCATCAGCAACAGATAGGCGTACATCACTCGCCTCGATACGAAGACACGTGGTGGCTTGACCGTAGTCGTTGTCATACCACCGGATGAGCAAGTCGTCTGATTGTGGGCAATACACGCAGACATTGTCGAAGGGTGGACTCTTACAAGCCGCTGAAACGGTTGCATGAAAGGCGCCTTGAGGCGGTCGTCCTGTGTGCCCTCATTTCGACACTCTCATCTGGTTCCGTTCTCTCGCAACCATAGCTGGTAGATGCATGCTGGAATGTCATGTCGGAAGAATGAGGTCGTTAATCGATGCAGACGTTCCGAAGAGCCATCTGACTATTCCGTTACAGAACGGTATTCGCCAAGAACCAGCGATCATAGCTCAATTTGGTCCGAGTATACTGAACTCTCCTTCGWCCAGCCGACTCAGTCACGACGTCAGCCCCCTGCGCCAAGAGTCATCGCGATCGCATCTGCAGTAGTAATGCCTGAGCCATGACTATCAAAGATCGCCACTCGCTTCAGGCGCTGCAGCGGAAACTTGAATGGGCCCAGATGCCAAAACCTAAGATCTTGAAGAGCAGAGCGGCAGCGCGGATGCGGATCTCCTGCGGACCACAAATCCACGCGCCTGGTTACTTTCATTTCGGTTTCACTCTGCACCACACTTTGTCGAACGCTTCCATCGGCGTAAAGGGTCATCGCCATGCTCATTCAGCCAGCCGGCGTGGCTCTGTGCGACAAACATTGTCCTCGACACTGGCGTGTATGTTATTGACACAAGAACGCTCGAGATGGCGTGGGTTGCTGGAGCGTCGCCGGACATTCGCAGCCACTCCAAATGGCGAGATGTGTTAGTCACAATGTTGATCCCGACTCTGGTGGCCATCATCGCAGTTGCGCTGCGCTTCTGGATCAGATGGAGGAAGCTGCACAGCGAAGACTGGGTCACATTAGGTACAATGGTATGGATAGTGCTTGTGTTTAAGAAAAGGTGTAAACGCTAACAAAAGTCAATTCAAAGATATTCAGCACTGCCTATACAACATCTGGCATCGTTCGTGGGTGACGCAGAGAAAACGTCATGTAGCAATGAGTTTTGCTGATAATTCATTAGAGACGAGATTTGGCCTGGGACTTCCATGGGCCATGCGGCCAGCAGAATACACGCGAGAGTACTTGGTGGCTAACTATGCTGCGTGGCCTGTATGTCAAGAAAATGTCCTCATTCACCATCACTTCCTGCTAACACTAATGGACAGTTCTATCTCTTTGCACTTGCAGGCTTCAAGCTTGCCCTCTGCATCTCATACTTACGAATGACACGAGGGAGTCTCGATACCAAATATCGTCACTTCATCATCGGAGTCGCAAGCTTCTCCTCTGCGGCCCATCTGGTTTTTGTCCTCATGTTTATGTTTGCATGCCAGCCAGTAAGCAAAAGCTGCACCGTTGTATCTGGAACTCCGACTTACAACAATCCTAGCTGTCTCGCATATTCGACTTTTCCATTGAAGGATATTGCCTTCCTTTCTCTGCTGTCAATTATGCACTCGGCGCAACCGTCGTCGTCCTGGACGTCACAATATTCCTTCTCCCAATCCCGCTGATCCGCAGATTGCGTCTCGATCGTGCCACTAAGACCGGACTAATCATTGTGTTCGCCCTTGGACTGATAACAACTGTACTTTCCATCCTTCGACTCCAGCAAATCCCTCGAATAGTAAACGGAGATGGCGACACAACCAAGTTCACCGTTCGCGGTTCAATGGAGCTCAATGTCGGGGTCCGTCATCACCGAGCAACCCATCACCATCACCATGATAGCTAACATCGCCCCATCTCAGATCATAACATCCTGCCTTCCTTTTCTCCGTCCAGTCTTCCGACACCTCCCACCCAAATTCCTAGCCTGCTTCTCCACAAACGCCTCCTCTAAAGCCAGCCAAGGACCTGGCTTCAATCCCATCCTAACAATCGGCGGCGGCGGCGGCGGCAGCGTCTCCCATCAACACTCCTCACCCAGCGCACCWCAAATAGGAAACCACAGCGCAATCAGCAGCAAGTCCACAAGTAAGCGAGACAGCACCTCGCTCCTCACCTCCTTTCAAAGTCGCCCGCGATCTCCAGAAGCCGTGCATCAGCAAGCCCATTCAGAAATGAGCGTCATGAAGACTGTACACGTAGAAGTCGATAGCGTGCAGGCTCCTCTCTCCCCGACGTTGTGGTTGGCTGCTGATCGGGGAGGAGGAGAGGAATTCGGACGGGGAAAGACGAGGAGGGAGGTCTGGGAATTCTCGCCCACGCTTGGGTAATATGTTAGCTTCAACGATGTCCTGTAGAGAGAGAGAGAGAGAGAGATGTCAGCTTCTTGTTTTTTTTTGATTTATTGCGGTTTTTTTAGCCGGAAGTAGCGTCGATACCAGGAATTACAAAGGAAATGCCAGCTAGACTCCCACCAGATGACTGTGATATATCAAGAATGATCGAGCAAGCGTGGAAGAGCGTGGAAGGCAGGAATGTCATTTTTCACATTTCTAGATCTATTTTGTGGGGGCATCATGTGGAATCGCATTAATACCGCTTTACCACCTGGACTGCCTATGGATACTCACAGCTCGCTGTGCGGCCAAGGAGTTGCCTCGCTATGTAATTTCAGGGGATCTGAGGGAAGCATCTCAACGATTCTGTAGCGACAACTCACATTGATAGAGCATAGTTTAGAGCAGCGCTTCTTATTAACACATCTTCAATCACGATAATGTCAGCTACAATCTTCTGAACAAGTTGCCATCACGATCAACATTTTGAACTTCTTTGCTTATGCACTACGGTAACATCTACCTCGCCTGCCACGAGCGCATTCACATCTCATCGCCAGCATAACCGCACTTTGCCAGATCAGCTCTGACGCCTTCTTCGGTGCCAATCTTCAAGACCTGGGTACCCTCCAACTTCTCGCCTCCAGCTTGACGCATTTTGAGATCATCAATGGCCCTCAGTTTCTTCAGTAAGCTTCGGATTTTCTTCTCGTGAGGGGAGCCAGCACCTGGACTAGTGACGGACAGATCCGGCGTCTCGACCGGCGCGGTGCCATTCGTTTTGGGAGCGGGAGTGGAAGTGTTGATGGTTGGTGGTGCGTTTGCACGAGAACGACTAGCGTCCCGACGACGAGATTGTGGACGGGAGTTCTGGTTGCTTCCTGGCTGCTGACCATTCGAGCGGGCGTTGCGGTCCTTACGCTCCGGGCTCTTAGACTTGGGAGCGTCACCGTTGAGTGCGGGAGCACTGAGACCAGCAGCTTTGGCCTCGGCCTCCTTCGCTTTCTTCGCCTCGCGCTTCTTCTTGTTCTTGAGCGCAGCTTTGCTGAGGTTCTCGTCTCCATCGGCACCGGCGACGCTGACACCCCCTCCAGGCGCAGCACCTGCTGGTGCACTCTTGGACGGATCCACAGGCTCGGCGCCAGGGACTTCACGACGGCGTGGCTGTCTTGGACCAAAACCGTTTGTCTCGTTACTCTGGCCAGACATCATTTCTCTCACAAAGGCTGCACCACCTTCATCCTCTCGCTTGAAGGCGAGAGGCGTGGCAGTACCGCGAGCGCCAGGTGGGCGGTACGCACCGGCTGGCTTGGAGGGAGTCTTGACCTTACCAAGAAATTCCAGCGCAGACGAGTGCGGTGTCGGAGGGGTGAGTGCACCATCTAAAGAGTGCTTGTCGGCCGGTTGTGGGCGCCAAACAACATGATACAGCTCGTGCATGTCTTCCACGTACTGGAGCTTGCCACCAACATGCCAGATACGGACTCCATTATCAACACGCAGACGTGGGCTCGTGGTGGCAGTGAGGATGTGCTTGCCGTCTGGGCTCCACTCACAGAGCGAGGTGTTACTTCCTTCAATAGTGCAGACCTTTTCGTAGTTCTTCTCCAAATCGTAGATATCCATGGTTCCGGCCAAGTTTCCAAAACCAGCGACGATGACGAATCTGCCATGAGGGGAGAAAATGATGGTGTTGCGAGGGCCAAGGTTAAAGCTGTGCTGTGGGATCGCACGAGTGTTGAAAATGGTGGTCTTCGCGGGCATGTAGCCATAGACCACGCCGAACTCTTTCGAGTTTGGCGACCACGATACATCGTGGATGGGTCCCTCCTTATCGAGCGACACGCGGGAGTCGAAACCGCCATTCGCGCTGAGCAGGTACATGTTGGTCTCGCCATAGTAACTCTTGTTGCTTTTATCGACCTCTGTTTGAGCGAGCACAATCAGACTTGTGCCCAGTTCATTCCACTTCAGCTGCACCTTGTCGGCCTTGAAGAAGTTCTTCTGCGAGGAAGGTGTGCTGAATTGCGGCACATTGAAGATCTTCACCGTCGCCGGCATGCCTTTCAGCTCCGGGATGAAGACAGCAAGCGAATGTGTCTTGCCGGGCGACAGGGCAAAATCAGCGACTCCCTCGGCGCGCAGCTTGTTCCAGACCGTGCCGAGATCCTTGCTCTCGTAGACCTGCACCTCGTTGGTGACACGGCGCGCGCAGTACTGCTCATCGGAGGTGTATTGCAGATTCCAGCCAGTCTGCGCTTTCTGCACAAACTTGCCCACGACGGCACGCTCGCCATGCTCGCCGGCGTTGTCATCAATCGTGCGCCACACCTTGAGGTTCTTGACTGCATCTCCAGCCTCGTCCTTGCTCGGACGTTGCCACGTGATGATGTACGTGCCCAACGGGGAGAATCCTAGCTCATAGACGTGCTCGGCGGGCAGCGTGGTGACCACATGGCCTGATTCCGCATCAATGACGCTGACCGCCTCAGGTGATGCCCAGGCAAAGAACCGGCCATCGGGCGAGTAGACGCAGCAGCGTAGGTTTCCCTCTGGACGCACAAAAGCGGGCAGATTCTCGTACACGGGTGCGGCACCGAAGACGCCAATGTTCTTGGATGTGCGGTCTGCAGAATAAATTCGTCAGTCATATAAGAGGGATTATTGATGAGATGTATACCCACATGCAAGCTGTGTTGGAAGAACCATTTTGGCAGTGGGGTGCTGATTGACGAGACTGCGACGGAGATTGAAAGATGGACACAAAGTCGCGGTGTGGAGGCTTGCTTGCGAATGGGGCTTTCTTTGTTGCGCTTGTCGCTGTTTGTCAATGGCGGMGAGGATTGCGGGCAGGTGGCTGATCGCTTGTGACTGAGTTGAATAGTTAAATTCACCACAGTAAGGCTTGACACACGAGCAGGCAGCTGGAAAGCGTCGGCGGAGGTGCTTGAGATGGAGGAGGAGGAGGGCCAAAAGTCACAGCATCAAAATAAACGAGAGGTGGAATCAGATCGAATCTTTCGGCCCGCCCGGGAAGATCCTCGAGGAACGAGTTGCACCGCCTAACGCCCTTCTGGCGTGTGAGCATGCTTTTAGAATCGAGGCATCGTGTGTTACTCTGTTTGATGGAATCGAATCGTAAGAGTCGGCTGTTGTTCGCTATAGTTCAACTGTAGCACTATATCGCTTTACCAGTCAGACGTTCAACGTGCTAGTTCAGCTACATTCGAAACGAAATGCGTATAGGAAGACCGCAGGAGGGTGATGGATATTTCAACATCAATGTCAAACCACTTGATAGTGTCTCCAACGTCATAGTCCTTGATGATACCTCTGTATGCTCATATACACCCATATACTTGTACATCGTCCATATTTCCACAATACCCTACCAGACCTTCCACCAAGCCTTGCCGCTGCCCTCGGCCTCCCGTTTCATAGCAGCCAACTTCTCGTCCTGCTCCTTGTCCTTTTGCGCCCGCCTCTCCTCCCTTAGTTGCTCTTTTCGCTGTTCCCTCGCCTTCTTTTCCACCTCCTTTCTGTTCAAAATCTCCATTGCCCTCGTCATTCCCTCCTTCTCTAATCTTCTTCGCCGTAGACAATACTGATACATGCCGCCGGCACCGAGGACGAATGTGCCCACAGCCCAATTGCAAGCCGTCATCACAGGAGCTGTGCATCTTCGTCAGCACCTTTGAAACCATGACAGCAAGATCAATGTCTACCTCTCCAGATGATCCGTAGGGCACCCGTAGCAGCTCCACCTCCCATTCCCACCATAAATGCATCTCGTACACACGGTCGTTTGTGAATCTCCGTCACAGGCGCTCCAGTTTGCAAAGCATTCCAAATCGTTACTTCAGGAACCTTGCCGCCAGCTGTGTKTTCTGTTCCACCCGGCATCATATTCGCATTCTCGGGTGGCTTGAAAGTCTTGGATTCCTTGTCGTCCCATTGTGAACCTGCAAATGCTTTGTTCTGAGGATCAACATTGAGTGCTTCGCGGGTAAGGTCCTGCGAGTTGGACTGCCGGGTATCGTCTGCCATTTTCGTGGATGCGAAGAGGGAGAGAAGACGATGATCCGTCGACATGAAAGCTCGATGCCAAAACCACGCTTACCCGATAGGGCAAGATCCTAGAGTATACTATTTCCACAAACCTGGATCGCAACTCCGCTCAAACATCAACGACAGCATCGCTGGGTGCTGCATAAAGTAATGACCACCACGGCTTTTGACCTTCTTCTTGAAGGATACCGGCCAAGCATTAAGCTCACATCAGTCGAGAAACACAACTTCCTTCACACCCCATCACCGTTAACGAGGATAGAATGCTTCACCATTCCAGCTCTTCGGGAGTATTGGGCAATCTGCTTCAGAAATGTCGAGATTGATACGGGTCGCGTTCTCGCTACCCTATACCTCATACACAATGAGAAAAACTGCTGGGGTGTTCATCATCCTGCCTGAGCCAAGCTCTGACCGGCAGGACTCGTACGATTGTCTCATTCATGGTGAGAACTGTGGCAACGGTAGAAGTGCTGCAGCGGTGTTAAAGCTGCGATGATTCTACGACGCTCAGCTGAAGATTATACATCAACCGGAGACGCCGGAACATCCAGTACACAGCAATCCATGGGAAGATCGAAGAATCCTGGATGGGAAGACCGGAACAAGATTCCTCTTAATTCTGCAGCTTGCAATGCTCGAACATCTAGAGATACAGCACATGTTGAAGAAATGCTGATTTTACAGCGTCTCTTTTCACCCGAAGTTTCAGGTCCCCGGAGTCCTCTCGAGCAAGCGCTGGTACGTTGACAGCGAATCGATTCTCTCAAAACCACCGACGCTTCGGCCATTAAGACCAATCTTCGATGCAAAGACACACTGTATCGCCCGATGCCAGACTTGTGATCGAACGAGTGCAGCATAACAGACACCGCGTGATCACTGTTGCCGTGGATGAATCACTCCACAAGTGTGCTGAGATCTAGACCTCGAGTCCATGGAAGCTTGGCTGGGCAAGACTTTGTGAAGATCGACAAACATTCGGCCGAATCAAGGCGTTCCACTGCAGAGTCCTTCCACGTCAGCTCCGTGACACGATGCTTGCAGATGCGGTTGTGCTGAAGGCAATGAAAGCAGCCACAGATTCTCGCAGACATCCCCGAAGACTTGTCGCTCCCGTGCTGTGGCTGCGTGGCTGCAGTCTTGGCTGTCTCTGATCGTGACCAATAACAAAGCACAAACGATGGACTGCGCCACGATCGACATCATCACGGCCATGATCCGGGCCCGACGCTTTTCCGCATCGCGACCTCCGAGAGGCATCCGCTTGAGATCCGGTACCTGAAGGTCTTTGAGGAGGGAGAAAAAGCCACTACCGCCTATTTTGAGAAAGCCTGCTATTGCCGACGACCCTACACATGGGATGCATGATCGGTATGCAAATGCAGATGCAGACGCAGATGCAGAAGCGTTGCGATCGGACGGAACCTGGATACAACGTTGCAATGCAGACGGTAGGTCGTGGCATCTGGACTGGATGTGTGGAATTTCTATTGTAGGAATACCAAGAGCCTATCTTCTGGCCGCGTACTCTAGGGCAATATGCTCACGTGGGTATGTGGGTATAGCACCTTCTATGATGGCCCGCAGAGTCTTGCACATCTGGGGATATTTCATAAGCATGCAGTAAGCATACATTATTGTTGTAAACCTGTTGACCCTCAACGTACAGAGAAGGTTACTCGGAGCTCGCGGCCAAGGCTCGCTGTGGGTGCAAAGACGGCAGGTGCATGCAGCAAAGCGGATGCCGGATGTCCAAAAGTGGGCGCGATGGGGACCTGCGACAACTGCCAGTGTGCCGATAGGTAAGCTATTCATCCTTGTAGCCCAACCGCACGGACGTGGGCTCAAAGAAAAGGCAGGGTATGTGGCTGTGCCCTGGGGTGCGAGGTGACGCTCGCTCGCTCGCTCTCGGCACACACAAAGACGAGTCGACACGAAGAAACTTTCCAGAGTTTGCAGTACATATTACCTGTCGCCCTATTTCATATTCACGCTACACGACTGCAAGACCATTTGCCACTCCACTTTTATTCCGCGTGTTTCCACCAGATCTTGATGACCAAGCCAGAGCGGACCGCGAGCAACTATTTCATCTAGTCTCCCAAGTGTCAGAGACATTCCCCAAAGAAACGGCCTGGACCCTGACAATCGTACCTTGCTCGCTGGGCTAYGTCACTATTTCGATCTCCGACAGTCGATGTTTCCCACGACACTCTCCCTCGATCACACCCACCCGGAATACATTTCATCCTCGACGATATCGAATCAACTCCCATCCCGAAAGCCTTCAAACTACCAACGGGCATTGGAGCTGCTGCTACAATCGCCGAAATCGACCGAGACGTCATCGATCCGAACCATTCTAAAGCCAGTCAAGGCTAACTCCGATTCGAGCGCGGTCCTTCTCGACGGGAAGCCACAGATGTACCAGACCTACTACAATAGCATGGGAGGTTCTGTCACGAACCACATTCAGAGTAACAACAACAACAACAACAACAACAACATCAGCAACCTGAGCATTGGGCAGAGTAGAAACCACCAGCGCACTCCCTCGACTTCGACCATAGCATCCACGGGTCCGTCATCGCCGTTTATGCAATCGACGTCGTACCCACACATTGCGAACACGGAACAGGCACCAAACTCACCGTCTTACCACCTTGAGTCATACTACGGAAAGAACCTGCCGGTAACTTTCACCAACGCGGAGCGCGAGTGCGGTTTCGGCAACGCTGCTTTTATGCCCAGTCAGGCGGCGCACATGTCCAACGCGCATCTTGCTATGAAAGGATTTGCCATCGATTACCACAACTCAGAGGATTTCGCTACCGACTTTGCGTCGTCTCGACAGTCAATGTCGAGTTACGGAAACAACTCGCCGGCGACGCCTCAATCCGGGGTTGGCGAGAGCGATGCGTCAAAGAATTACTATCCATCCACAAATGGTGAGTTGTATTGAGAAGATAAGTCAGTCAATGGAGATGCTAACTTGTTCTGTGTAGGAGCGCAACCGCATCCCAATGTTCAACTGTTCAGAACGGAATCAGAAGCATTTCGGGATGAGCTGTATAACCCAGATGCTGTATACAACAATTCCACAAATTTGAAGCCAGCGTCGAATGTGGATGCAAGCAGTGCCTATCTGTCACCGCATAGAAATCTGATAACAGAAAGGTTGCAAACCGCGAATTTGGCACGGTCTACGTCACCATCTGGTCTTTCAAGACAGAGATCGCCTTTTCGAGACAACTCTCCCATGGCGACCGACTGGAAACAAGTTGGTCCCGTCGCTACTGCAGCTAGCATACGGCAGCACCAGGCGGACGATTCGGTGCAAGCCGAGTTTGGTAGACATCGTGCTCCACTCCGAAGAGAGCCCACCAAGACCATCTCTCCCAAAGATGCGCTGCTCGACTACACTGCCGACGTGGACCAGACGCCACTCTTCCAGGACAGCATACCCACGGGCTACAAACAGCATGTCGGAGCCACGGAATCGTGGCCAAGCAGTTTTATCAGCCAGGCCAGCGCCAACTTTCCCGGCAACATGGTCAACGCCGGCCAATACGACATGAGTTTTCGGACTGCCGATTACAATCCCATCAACTTTTCTGCAGGCAACACTCAATTCCAAGCAAATCATCCTGCCGCCTCAACTCCCAATTTCCCAGCATCAATACCATCCATGGAGACTTCCATCAGCGACGCGGGCCCTCCGGCATCATCGCAGGAAAGTGTTAACAAYAACACCACATCGGCGCCCCAACGACCTGCCGATACACGTGCAAACACCGGGACCTACACTTGCACTTACCATGGCTGTGTACAGCGATTCGAGTCTCACGCACTGCTTCAAAAGCACAAGCGAGACTTCCATCGCTCACAGCAATCGAACCAGCTCGAGAATGTGTCGTCGCCGCCAGAAGATGATGCCGTGGGATCAGCATCACCGCGATCGGGGGAGGACTCACCGGGTCCATCCGGTGCTGGCATGACTTCTGCTGCAATTCTCGCCAGAAATTCCCAGGCTGGACCCCACAAGTGCACTCGAATCAACCCATCCACCAACAAGCCATGCAATACAATATTTTCCAGGCCATATGATCTCACACGTCACGAGGACACAATCCATAACGGGCGGAAGCAAAAAGTCCGATRCCCAATGTGCCGTGAGGACAAGACCTTCTCACGTAATGACGCTCTCACACGGCACATGCGGGTGGTACATCCTGAAGTCGAAGCATCTGGGAAGAGAGGGAAACGTGTCGATTGATGAGTCACCGTATTACTACGAAGATGATGATAATTACGAGCTCGGAGGACTCACGACTTGGCGACACGCAACCATCGAGGCTGAGGTCAACCGGTGTTGTCGTAGCACCTCTCGTGCTTCGGTGGATGCGCTCGATAGATGATCTCTCCGCGAGATTGTTGTGAGTCCCTGTCACTTTGAGAGGGCATCGCTCAGCCTCCCGATCCTTTTGAGGAGATTCCATATTACTGCATAGCGAGCGTTTTTTTGCAAATTTTCTGGTTGACGAGGAAAAAGATTTCACACGAACAGCGGGCGGAGTTCCACAGCAACGCAACTTCAATTCATGTCTCTACTTMGCTTTTTTGAAATGTACACGATATGAACTTTTGCATTGGGCGAGGAAAGGAATGATGGCATGGTGGCTTTTTGATTGAAGGCGTGGGACGCCGGTCGTCTGTCTACTTGAGCCTAGTGTAATGATAGTCCAATGATATGAAATGGGCTTTGCCTTTAATTACTGCTGTTCTCTCCTGGATGCTCCGTGTAGTTTTTCTCTTGACTTTTGATGAGTACSTAGTTCCTTCTCAATTTGACAAGGGTGAATGGTTTGCATCGCATCAGTGTCCATCGTTTCGCCAATCAGGAATGCTGAGTAGTACTCTGGACGAATCTCCAACCAGCCAAGATACATTGATGGAATTATTGCTCTGGTGGGTTGTTCTTTCCACGAGTCGTCATCGTCATGATCATTGCTACCCAAGGAATCTGAAAGGACAGACAGCTGACCGGATGTTTAGATGGAAGAGTGGAGCGACGAATTCCCCTTGAYCTTGGTTGCGCCGACGTGTGAAAGTGAAGTCCACCGTATTTTGCGAAAAGGCCCGCGTCAGTCCAGTGGGAGACTTGATCTCAACCGAGGAGGATGCAGTGAAGATATTGTTTCTTCTTGCTCTAGGGGATGAGTACAGTTGAGAATCTTCTTTTCTCGCAAATCCTCCTATTTGGAATTTTTGATACGGACGAGCGAGCTTTTCTGTGGACGAGATTGAATGTCTCTGCAGCTATGATGGATAGTTGGAAGTATCTTGATGGAGATGAATAGTGTGAAGTCAGTGGTAAGGAAAGTAGTGCATAAAAAAAGAAGGCCTGACACAGAAAGCGAGACGTCGAATGCCGTCGGGAAGACAGTGCTCAACCATGGCAGTTGTGAAGAACCGTCACACGGTGTCTTCGTGGCATCTCCATGCGAAGTACATTACTTTCAAGGCAGCATGTCGCAACAAACCGGCTGGAATTGCACCACTTGCACAAGACAAGGCATACCAGCGCGACCTTGCACACACGTCGGACAAGACATTGCTTTGAGAGCTACCGCATCGCTCGCTTGCCGGCTGGCTATGTAGCTGACGAGGGTCAACCGTAAGCGAGAGGATGGATGCTGGTTTTGTACGCCTGTGGGATGTGATGTGATGAAAAGTATCGTTGTGCAAAAGGTGGACCAGCAAGGCAGATCGTCTAGTATCTGCGAAAGRGTGATCCTGAAGCTTATTAGCTCGATGAACAGAGTTCCTGCACCCCACAAAAGTTGCATTGCATATCTCAGGGTTGCAGATGCAGACCATTGGATTGAAACCTGGCATTGGGCCTGCTTCGCTGTCATGGTAAAGTCTTTGGGCTTCCCGACATTGAAATAGCTGTGTCGGGTGGGATCCGTGGTGTGTGTTGTTGACGGTGTCGGGAGGGGATAAAAAGTCTTAAAAATAAAATGGATGATCCAACGAAGGAAGACACTACCACAAGTGTCGATGAAAAGCATGTTCTGTGAGGGGCCCCTCTTCTCACATGCTGGAAGCTGTTTGCAGGTGCTGGGTTCTCCTCTCCCCACTCTGCAGCAGGCGACTCTCTGTGTGGCCTGTGATGAGGTAATGACAGGTCTCGTGCCATGCGGTATCAGGTGAGCGACCTGTGCGTTAATGGTACTGGTAGAACTACTGCTGAGTTTCTCCGCACAGGTCGCAGCTCAGCCATGACTGTGATCCGTCGAGGTCGAGGGTGATGATCGAGACGATGGTGAAGGCGCAAGGTCTCAGCCTGGATGCAGGGCGATGTAGAAGCGTCGCCGGGTGTCCCGCTAGCCACCGCGGCGGGCCCAAAAGCGACAATTCCAGAGCGTCGTGCGAACACTTTCCTAAAACAGGCGGCAAGGTTAGAGGGCACTGATTGGGCGCAGGTGAAGGCGGAGAATAATTTGGCCAGCCAGCTCTGCCTGCTCTCGTGACTGCTCCAGACGGAAGCGTACAAGTGTGCATGGGAGATGTACATGTTGCTCCGCATTCTCCAAAAAGGACCTCGCCCCTGATCCCTGGTCGATGCCGGTTCGCTGGCAGTTCATACTTTAGCTGCATAATAAGAGTAGTTGGCCCCATCAGAGCTGCAGCCGCCAAAAGAGTAACATCTTCTAGCATCCATCGACACTCACAGCCTCTCCATTCAACGTCGTCGTCGTCGCCGCCGCCGTGATTGAGCGCATCTTCCGCCGGACAGGAGCGCAGCAGATCAGATCACCGCGCGACAAGCAATCCCCACCTGCTGGTGGAGCCGTCGCGCCAACTCAAAAGCCGGCACATCGGCGCTTTCCCCAGCCGTTTCTCGACTTGCTTTCCTCGAGGCCTCGATCACTCTCTCACACAAAAGCGCGCAAAAGACACCTTGGGCTCTCGTGGACACCCAGGCGACTTGCTCGTAGCGACCACTGGGCTTGCTCCGCCACTCTCCAGAAAGCGGAGTCGTGGAGGAATTGCAGGCGTAATCATCTCGCCACTCCCTTCCCCACAAACCAAAACCAACCTTCGCGTGGCCTCCGATCTTAAGCGCCGCGACCGCGCTGCTGAAGACGTCAGGTCTCCAATGTGAGAACCTGTGCTCGCAGCAAAGTTTTTGTTCTTGAAGATAGATTGGACGCGCTGAAAAGGTTGTTGGGGATGATCATAGGTATGCCGAAGGCTGTTATTGCTGATGTCGCTTGATTGTTCAAATCGCTAACAACCGTGCTGTTAGATTCATATACGGATTAAAGTTATCGCAATTGTTTGTGCAATGTAATAGTAGCCCACGACATATCAACAATGTAAGTATGGAAGAGGGCGACGTTGTGGTGTGAGATTGTCGCTGACTTGCATCAACAGACATAGACTAGAGGCCGGACGACCAGTTACGAACCAATCACTTCATAAAAGGTATGTGTTGTGTTGTGTTGTTTCCTGTTATTATTTTGGGCCGCGAGGAGGTGTAAATTCTGGAGATATTTCGCTGGAACCCGCGCATATACTCAAGGGAAAGGAGTCATCGACAGCTGTCCAGGCATCGATCGGGATATTCGGGATCCTCCTCTGCGTCCGCTGTCAACCCAGATCGAGTAACGAACGGGATGGAGGAAAGACCTGATCGCTAGTGCGACCAGCGGCATCGCTATCGTCTATGGAATCCGTGTCCTGCCGGCTTGCCAGGCAGTCAAAGAAGGACATGCTTTGGCTTTTGTGTGGAAGGAGCTCCAAGTCAAAGCCTCTCTGCAACCACGCATCTCGTCTTTGGCCAGTCGACGGAAATGTAGCGAGACTTTCCTCGCCTGCATTCCAGCCTCGTGTGATCTTTCTGCTCCCGGACTCACGGACGGTCTTCATAGTTCTTCAGTATTGCTACGATCTGCGGGAATTCCAGCGTTCTACCCGGCTTGAAGTAGCCTAGGACCTTGAAGTGAAAGGGCAGTCCGGTCACCATTTCACCTCAAGTCGGAGTTTTCCTATACTTCACAGCCGTCTGAAGTCAGTCTGAGTTATCGTGGGGAATCCAAGCTCTCAGGGCCCACGCATGCCATCCTAGCTCTCGTGCGTTGTTCTTGGCCCGACTGGCCAATGTAATCTCAACCACACTCTGGACTTGCTACTGTTCACCGGCTGTCCAGGGATTATGCAGCACTCCGAGGTCTGGAAATGGCGCATCGGGCTGTGAAACTGGTGTATACAAAATGCATCGACTGCACCATCCTTCTGCTTGATTGTCATACTTGGATTGCTTTACTGGCGGGCGAGATTGCTGACCATTGGCAGATAATCTAGTTGCGTATCCATAGCATTGGACTCAAGATGAATGTAAGCTTGCAAGAGTCTCTCCATGGGAGGAATGGYGTGAGCGTTGAGTTGCTGACGGCATACCAGCCTGTACGAAGAGCAACYCCAGACTCTGAGGCTGTGGGATCTTCCGAGGACGAGCGCCCGTGGCCATCCTCCATGTCTTTTGGCAAGTTTCCAATGAAAGAGAACAGTGTTCCTGGTATGCCCGGCGGTATCTGGGCAACTCAAAAGAGAGGAAGCTTCAAAATTTCCGAGGCAGCGCAGCGTAATGCGGCGCGAGATGCAGCACGTATGGGTGCTGCAGCTGCAAATGGGCAAGGTCCTTTGATGAGGGGAGCCAGTACGCCGTCTCCATCAGTCAGCGAAGGCGCAAGTTCGTTGCCTTTTGCCATTCCATTGCAGCCCACGCCGAAGACCGGCCGTTCTCTGTCTCACTCTCAGGGACAGCGAGAAGCTCCCGTGAATTCTGGTTCACACCTCGGTGCGGCGCCAGGACCTGCAGCAGCAGCAGCCCTTCCGCTTGGACTCCTCGCCGAGGAGGACGTTGATACGGACACGGAGTCTGATGTGGGGTCACGCCTCACGCATACCACCTCTCATCCCCCCATAGGCTCCTTGATGCGTACAGCTACTTTGCCTGCGGCGTACGATAYGATGCACAGCTCCAACAGCGGCAGAGACCGCCAGGCAGCTCCCCATTCGCCCTCCCACCGCGATCTTATGCGGGCCCGGACTTTCGAGGCGGCATTTGCAGATCTCTCCATGGGTATGTGTCTCTCTTGTTCGATGCTCACTTTTTAGAATCGCCTGACCGTTATTTTGCTGCAGATCACTCCCACCGCCGTGCTAGTCAATGGCAGAGCTCGCTCGGCTGGGACGACGTGCCCACCGTGAACGGATCACGCCGCCACTCGCTGGCAGATATTCCCACGCGTAGAGGATCCCTGGCTGGCGGCGAACCGAGTCTGCTGAGCAGAACATACACACACGACGTGTTCGAAACAGAGTCACCGACGAGCATTGGTTCCGCACGTAAGTCTTTCCGAGCTAGATCCCCTCATTTCCGCTCCTGCCCCGCTGGCGACGGTCGCGCCTTCCCCATTGATTTACAGCGACACGTCACTTGCTCAAACGTCAGTGGTGTCAGTCCTCACATGTCCATGCACATCTATCCTTTCCTCCCACATCATCCTTCTATCCACCACAACACTCCTCTTCCGTGCATCGACAGCCCTGTATCGCTACAGCAATATCGCCAGCAATACCACCAGCAATAGCGGAGCTACAGCGACGAGAGCAGCTTCCCCGCTGCAGTGAATACTACACTGATATCGACGCGCTGGTGAGGTTCCTCGCTTGCTGCGTCATTCATCACCCCTCCCACGACGACCATTTCCGTCAGCCTCCTCCATCCACCTACACACACCCTTCACTGCATATCAACRCCTCCTTTTTGCGAGACCGTTGCTACAACAATAGCGCCGGCGGCAATTCCTCGCAGCAGCAGCCATTCCACCAATATTGTCGCGACGGTGAGATCTCTCACCTGCCCCATTCACTTTTCTCCTCGTCGTCACCACTCCAAACCACACCACACTTTGCATGACGTCCTCCATCTATCTTCCTTTTACACAAACTCTTTTCTCCCCTGCCAACCCTCACACCACGCAGCGGACAATGCCAGAGTGACGCGATTACACCGATTTGCCATCAAGATCGCTGACACACACAGATCTACAAGGCTTTCCCTCAGATCGCGCGGTCGATACAAATAACGACCACAACCCCGCTTCACGCAACACAGAAACAGCTMACATGAACAACTACAACATCCCAGCCATGTATCGGGCTCCGACAGTCCRGCTCCAGGAACACGAGCTCCGCGAGCTGGAACGTCGTGGAATGCAGCAAGCCACCCAGAACTATTATCCGGGCGGTAACGGCGGATCCAAGAACTCTCGCAAGCAGCTCTACATCGTGAGCTTCAAGTGCTCTCGCGTGGATGTCTTCTTTTTGCTCGAAAATACTGGCTTGAGTGTCCGCGAAGGTGACTTGGTGATTGTTGAGGCGGACCGCGGACAGGATCTCGGCACCGTGCAACACGCCAATGTCACCCCGGAGGAAGCTCGCATGCTGAAGAAGAAGTACTCCGAAGAGCAGTACAAATGGTTGATGATGTACAGCCGCAACAAGGAGGGCGGATACAACCCCAATGCTCAGATGAACGGGGAGCAACAGCAGCTCTTCCCGGATGCTCCCACGACCATGCAGGGCACAATCCCTCGTGACACCTTCAACAATCTGAAGCCGAAAGCCATCAAGCGCCTTGCCAACGATCACGAGGTTAAGATGCTCGCAGAGAAGGAAGGTAATGAGGCAAAGGCCAAGCGGACGTGCCAGCAGAAGGTGTCCCATCTCCGTCTGCAGATGGAGATTCTCGATGCTGAGTGGCAATGGTGAGTTTATGTTGAGATGTTCTTTCTCTTGCAAACACTAACCTCGATGCAGGGACTTCCAAAAGCTCATTTTCTATTACTATGCGGACCACTACATCAACTTCAAGGATTTGATCACGGAACTCTACCGCATCTACAAGACACGCATCTGGCTTTCTGCGATCAACCCTGCCTCATTCTCACAGCACGCCATGGGCCAGCCACCGAGCGGCATAGGTCCAGGCGCCGTTCCCCCATACGCTCTCAACAACGGATACACAATGGCTTATGGCGAGGATAGAGATCCTTATGGTGCCCAGATGCCATATCGAATTCCCTACGAGACTTACAACCCAAACTTTCCATCGATCCCAGGAGTCGCAAACAGTTTTGCCCCAGCTGCCCTTGGCACATACTACGACTACTACGGCACCGGTGCGCCTGTTGCAGTGACTGGTGGCGGCGCTCCTCGCGGTATCATGCCAGACGCTCGCAATGAAATGCTATTCTATGGCCGCGCCGGCAATGATGACTACCGTCAGCAAGCCCCTCGTGCCAACAACTTCGACGAGGCATCCGCTTCTGGTGCCTTGGTGGAGAACTCAACATCCAGCGGTGCTTCCGGCGCCGCTGTCCGTCGCCAGTCTGCCGTGCTGCCACCACCAATTGGTACACGTCGCGCCTCGCAGGTGGACGAATTCGTTGCGCCGGCCAGTCAGCATCGGGCTAGAAATCCGCAATTCCCATCCCCATTCCGCAACGCCGATCCTGAAAACCGCTTTTTCGGACGTGAYGGACTGTACCACGCCGCCGGTTCCAATGGGAACGGCAACGGCTATCGCGCCGCTCCTACCCAGGTCTACGTGGGTTCACCTTCCAGCGAGCAGCCTCCAGGATACCCATACTACTTGGGTGTGCAGGAGAGCAGTCCTCCACGTCTAGGATAGTCCGACCACAATCATACACTTCTACACTACGGTGGCAGAATGATTTCACGACCATAAAGATGGTCTTTGGCATTTTGACGACAATTGCGGAGTTCCATTTTGATTCTTGTTCAGGGACATGTAGAATGTCTCACGATTGCGGGAGGTGTTTATTTTCGTTCGGGCTGTGCTGTGCTGTGCTGTGCTGTGCTGCGATTGGGAAGGGATGCAAAATTTCCTCTGGAGCGCCGACGGTTGATAACGATTAAGAAATTTTGAGCAAAGGCGGAAAAGACACATTGTTGAATGAATGAAACGAAAAGTTTGATCGCGATGTGTTGATGATTTTTTGCTGTCAATTCTACCAGAATGTTGCATGTCTTACTTGTCAGGTTCGGCTTGCTTTGACTGGCATATCCAAAAGTACCTTATTGCACCATTTTGACAGACGCGAGCGGCAGATTGAATAGTGTGTATGCATGCGAATGTGCTTCCCCCATGCGTCCTCGTGTCAAGGATGAACCGACTCGAGACATTTTATGCAGGATCACGATTCGACCAGGTCTATAACAAGGTCTCCCCAGCAGCGGAAAGCGGAGAGGAAACCTTGTAGCATGTCGCAACGAGGTCTAGGATACAGTAATTTTGTGGGCGTGACATTTATCAGGGATTGGTGGTTGTATGCTGGCTGGCGGCTGTGAGWTAATCTGATGATGACTGCTTGGTATGTCTCCAGCTTTCTTTTGCAAAGCTGCGGTTCGCAGGGACCAGCATCCTCCTCCGCTCATGAGCAGGCACAAGGAGGAGGTGTATGACATTCGTATTCGATTTTCGTGCGAGATGAATCTCATTGGTCCCTCCATTCACGTATGGGYTGTTCTCCAGATGATGTCCTCACAGTCGCTGCCACACAGTCGCTGTCAATCTGAATGATGCCCAGTATCGCGTCTGTTGATATAAGGGATGATCTCTCGATGCGATGCCCGCAGGCATGCAGTGTAAATGCGTCGTCATTTGTCCTAGTAGTCATTATGATACAGGGTCTGTGTCTTCCATCAGAACACAGTAGTAAGTAGTAAACGCCAAGTACGCCGTGCGTAAATCGTGGCGAACCAACCGACCGCAATGCCAGATTCCCGCCTCTCGTTCACCCCTCTCTCAAGTCCCATTCAACGCAACATGTTGACAGCAGCCCGCGCCATGCTCAATGCTGCCGAAAATGCGGCAAGGGGGATAATGTGAATATGCTTTGATGTGGTTGCTCGTCATTTCCCACTCCGACCCTTTCCCTTTTGTTTTGACGGCGCTGTCGATGTGATCTTGGAGGTCTGCATCAACTCGCCAATATATCTGCAATCTACAGTCAGCCAGGTGTTCAAAGTCCTTATCGTAGGTGTGTCCTCTGGATAGAATGGTGCACATACGATTGTAGGAACTTGTTTCCCCCCTCGAGCTTCTCATGTTCGCTCTTCACGGCCTCCACGCGGTCCACAATCGCTTGCAGACTGGTCTGCAGCACCTTGGCCTGCTCGATCAAATCCTTTCGTGCCTCCTCGCCCAACATCTCGACTTCGGCGCTATTTCGTCGCGGCGACATGGTCCGCACGTCATTCTCGTCCAGATCGGTGTCGACGACAGTGGTGGCGGATTCGCGCGACACAATCATGGTGCCGCTGCTCTTTCGGCTGCCAATTTTGGGTCGTGCGATGCGGGCCTCTTCCATGGGGTCGTCGTCTTCCTCGCTGGCCACGGCGCTGGAATCCGGTGTGGACAGCGACGATCGGGAGTTGTAAATGGTGTGCAGGGTCGAATCGGCGATTGACGGCAGGGTGCTGCTCGAGGCCGCGGACATGATCTATGGATCTGAGCGACACAAAGAGCGGTGGACGGCGAAACGCATGCAGAGTCAAAAGGGCATTCGTTGATTAATAGGGTGGTAGCTTCGCCTCTTTGCCCTGGTGATCAAGGGACACCGGGAGAAGAATGCCCGCCGCCAGACCGACGCTAAAAGATGGGCAAGAGAGCCAGCAGGGACTCTAGGGAGAGGTGGAGGTGGAGCTAAAAACTCGTGATGACGCTGACCCGCCGGGACTCAAACTGAGACATGATTGCTGGAGCGTTCGCACGGCCACACCTACATGACATTGCAAAACACCCTTTCTACCCGCCGCCACACCGCACACCAGAGCATCTTATTATTGCTATTCTATCAATATGATTGATGCTCTCGTTGGTCAGCTATCATCCCCCACGAGACATGTGGACGAGTCAGTTGAGAGTAATGAGCGGATCCGAGAAGACGCCATGAAGATCCAACGACCATACAGCACCGTACAACGGAGATCGACGTCTGCGTGCAGCAAGGGTCGGATAGCCGGAAGCAGAGACCCAACCACCGCCAAGCGATGGACATATTTGATGTTGGTCATGTCCATCAATCTTGCAGACCATCTGCGAGATTCCCACCCAGCAAGATACTCCTATTTGCATCTGATGAGATATGCGAGCGCGAAGAGATCTGCGTTTGCCATGATACTGTCTGAGCTGGAGATTGGGCAATACCTTACCTTACTCATCACGCTCATCACAACCGGCACGCAATCCACGCGTGGCAGATCGTTGATCCCGTTGCTCATCACCACTGATTAGACTGATGACCCAAAGAATGTCGACCAATTGCTGGTGTTACTAATTTATGAAACGCCAAATGTATGCAATTTGACTTCACGGACTGCCGAGTTGGTCAAAGTCGCTCGCTACCGTTGGAGGAGCTATCCATGCTCTTCCATGCAAGAGTGACGTCTGGTGTGAAACCACGCAAGCATTGTGCAACTGTGTACTGCGCACGCCTCACCGCTTGTCATTTTTCGGCCGCAGCGTGAGCTTCTACAATTCTCACTCCACGCGGTGGGACGACGACGGCAACAGACGGCAAGTTGGTGGAACCAAACAGAAAATCTACCCGGTTCCTCCCAAATCAATAGGTGGAAAAGAGACTGATTAATACCTTGTCGTGAGCTGTACAATCCACCAACATCCAGCCTGACTTGCGGCCCACTTCCCGGAGACGAATTGCCGAGAAGCAGGGACTCGAGTTCATGCATGCAGTATTGATAAGTTTGCAGCTGGCTCTTTTGGATTGCTCCTCCGCCTCACCTCTCCGGTCCCATGATACCACCAAGTAGCTCCGGGCGAGACTCTCTAGCCAAAAGTCCAACGATTTCAAGCAATCCAAATGACTTGAATGACGGAGATCTGCGCGCGTTCGACGTCACGTCTGACCACCGCAGATTAGCCATCAACATGGAATCAATCGCGCAAGCGGCGCAGCGCAAAAGAAAACGCCGGCTAAAGACCGCTCTTTTCTCTTTTCAGTACATGCGTCCAGGACAAGGCAAGGATGTAAAACCCGCCGGGCGAAAGTGAAAAAAGTCAAGTGAGGCACTGTGCGGTCCTACTAATTGAATGATGACTTTCACGAATAATCTCCGACAGATTGTAGGTTGCATACCGATGCTGGGAAACATGCCGATTAGTTACCTCGATCGATTCCATCATTCGATCCCAGTAGTACCACGATTGTACAAGTGCTTAGTGTGATGTGAATCGATCTTGCTAGATTCCCTGTGAAATGACACAACATACGGCTATCTCCTGGCATTACTTCAAGGGCCCCTTTACTGCCATCTAGGGCAAAAATCCCTTGGTACCAGTTGGAAGATGTCGGAAATGTTTCTTCCTTGCTCTCAGACATCATCTTGTACAAGCCTCCAGCTGTGATATTCCAAGTGTGCTTGGAGACAATGAGGTAGGCTTGAAACTGTCACCTCATTGTGGTTGAGATGTTTTGCCAAGCTTCAAGTTCTTGTTCGTACTTTCGTATCCAGACGTCTGTACAACTCCCTCCATCACCCTCGAACAACATCATGAACTCCATCAACAATCCCGTCGCCAGCTGACGTGCTCGATGACGCATCGAGTCGCACTCAGAAGGCGCTCCGCCATTCAGATACTGAATTCACATCCTCAAAAAGCGCAATTCCATGCCCGTACCATTCACCAAACCGACAACAAACCCCAGGACCCCCGACTCCCCACCTCAGACAAGGTAGTAGAAGAACTCATCGAAGACAAATTCGCACTTTTAAAATCCGCCTACGACGCGCCCAAACACCCCATAATTCTCGCTCATGGATTGCTGGGATTCGACGAATTGCATCTCATTCCCGGTAAAGTCTTGCCCGGGATTGAATATTGGTATGGCATTACGCAGGCTTTGGCGGCCAAGAAGATTGAAGTTATTACGGCTGCCGTGCCTCCTTCGGGGAGTATTGAGGCTCGAGCTGCGAAGTTGGCTGAGACGATTGCGTTGAAGGCGAATGGGAAGGCGGTGAATATTATTGCGTAAGTCATGTTTAATATTGTAATTTATCTTTACTAACTGGTTTCACAGGCATAGCATGGTCTGTTTGGTATCTTCTTCAATTATATGACACACCTACTGACAATCGTTAGGGGTACGCGATCAAAGTCGATGATAGAATAATGAGGACAAAGCTAACGAGCGACCAGTGGCTTGGACAGCCGATACATGATCTCCAGACTGAAGCCCGAGAATGTCAAAGTCCTCTCCCTAACCACAGTAGCAACTCCACACCGTAAGCATTACAGCAAAATCACCCCATCGTCAGCGAAGAGAACTCCAAACATTGACAAATGGTTTAGGTGGCTCCTCCTTCGCCGACTACATCTTCAAAGGCATCGGCGTACCCAACATCCCCAAAGTCTACAAAGCCCTCGACTTCATCGGCATGGAAACGGGAGCATTCCGCCAACTCACCCAAAAATACATGGCCGAATCCTTCAATCTCCGCACCCCCGACGTTCCCGGAATTCGCTACTACAGCTACGGAGCCTCCATGCCTCACCCCCATCTCTTCTCCCTCTTCCGCAAACCCCATCGCGTGATTGAGGGTTTGGAAGGGCCGAATGATGGGTTGGTGAGTGTGGCTAGTAGTCGATGGGGGGAGTATAAGGGGACTTTGAATCATGTTAGTCATTTGGATTTGATTAATTGGACGAATCGATTGAGGTGGTATTGGTGGTCTGTTACGGGGAGGAAGAGGAATTTTAACGCTATTGCGTTTTATTTGAGTATTGCTGGTATGTTTTTCTCTCTTGCTTGCCTGGAAGGGGCATGTCGTGCTTTGATTGCGATTCGCTGATTGTTTTTCCTTAGATATGCTTGCCAAAGAGGGCTTGTGATGAAGGAGTGTCGATTTCGTCCGAAAGGGATGCGAGGCTGTGTTTATAATGGACTACGAGGCCGTGTTATAAGGATGCGAGGATGCATTCTTACGATGGATTGCGAGAAAGCAGGCGCATGAAGTCTTAAGGGGATGTTAATAGTCATAGTGTAATCGAACGAGAAAGAAGTCATGCTAGTAACTACATGATGTTGTCAATCCATCCATTATCTATCTGCATGCATAGACATATATACAGACATGTACATAAGCAGAGACATAGGTATACGTTTAAGACTGAGGTAACTCACAACAGATAAAAATTCAAGCAGCTAGCCTAAAGACTTCTTACTTCCTGTAGGAGACTACTACGAGATAATCAGTTTACGGACCGTTTGTGCCAAAAACATGGGGGATATACACAATATGCAACCCAACTACTCCAAAACCCACCATCAAGTACTAAAGCTAGAAATTACACAAATCCCTTAACCCTTAGGAAGTAAGGTAGGCACGTCTGTCCGGCCCTAAGACAAAGACCACGATAAGTAGATCATCAGGAAACGATAAGTAAATCAATCATACTTAGAAGAGGATGATCACCCTCGGGAAGTAGAMACATGTCCAACCGACGACCCCAAGGAGAAGAAAGACCACTTTACGAAATAATCAGACGAGATAAACAAATCAATTCATCATACTTGGGAGCGGATGATCAAACTGTCTATCCGGATTCATCTACACTTCGATTCTCACATCACTTGCCACCATTATCATCCTCAGCCTGGAATTGCAACTCCAACTTCTTCAAGCCCTCGAATACAGTCTCCCATTTCTGCCATTCCGTCTCTCCTTCTTGAAAGCCTCCTGCGAGAGGAAGTCTGGCGCCCTAAAAACACACACACTGTTAGTCATTTCTCCCAAATATCATTATCATCATCATCATCATCATCAGAAAGGAAAGGAAATGGAACGAGAAGAACATACCCCTTTATCCCCCATCCCCCACATCCTAGCCACAGCCTCCTTCATACCCACAACTCCCCAAGTAGCAACAATCTTCTCCCCCTCACAAATCCTAAACTGCAATTCCCTCATAGCAACCAAATCCTCCCTCGTAACCCCCTTCTCCAGACTCCGATTAAACAAATCAAAAAGTCTGACAACGATGCGAGGAAAACAGCCCGCTAAACCATCAATGGCAGCCACACCGCCGATGGTGAGGACGGGGAGGAGGTTTTGTCCGAGACCTGTGAAGACGGAAAAGGTGTCGTGGTTGATTTTTGGGGAGCAGGCGATTAGGGTTTGGTCGTCGATGATGCCGTGGGAGAGTTTGCAGCCTACGATTTTGGGGTGTTGGGAGAGGGATTCGAAGGTTGAGGGGGCGATGTAGAGGTTGTTGGTTACGCCGGGGTAGTGGTAGCTAGGAGCAATCTTTGTCAGTTTGCGGTTCTTCCATTATGATCATCTTCGATTGTATGCTGTTGTTCGTCTTTTCCTTCTTTCAAGGGACGGATTATATCTTACATGAGGATGGGGAGTGGAGAGCGATCTGCTACCGTTTCGAACCATTTCTGTAGACCTGCTTGGCTGGTCGCAGGAGCGAAATAAGCTGGTCCTAGAACCTAGAACGGGAAAATCACGTCAGTCACTTCCTATCCTCCTCTTTCATCATCCTCTAAAGGATTGAAGAAAATATCCTTCCATATACATACCATAGCAAACTCCGCCCCAGCAGCTTTACTCTCCCCAATCATCTCAACAGTATCATCAATATTCTGCGTCGCAGTCCCAGCAATAATCGGACAATCTTTAAAACCCGCCTCATCGAGCGTCTTTCTCTGACYACTAAYCAAAGCATGTCGTTCCTGGTTGCGAATGAAGATTGCTTCGCCTGTACTGCCCAAAATTACGAGACCTTTGATGCCGGCTTTGGCTAGGAAGAGGGAGTGTTGGGATTGCGTTGCGAGATCTAGAGGTGGGGAGATGGGGTCGTAGGAGGCTGTGTTTGGTTTCGCGAAGAAAGTTGGGACGGGGACGTAGATTCCTGCGGGGGGTGGGGAGGACATGGTTGTTGTTGTTGTTGATATTCTTTTATTTCTTTGGGGGTTTGAGTATGGGTGAGAAGGAGGAATGGGAGAGGGTATTTTATTGGGGTGCAATGCGTGCTTGCTTTGCTTTGCTTTATGAGAGGAAGGAGATGTCGTTAGGAGCTTCCTCGAGTCAGCATCCGCCTATATCCGACCTCGCCCGTCGGCATGATAGGTATGACCCCCCAATCTTTCTGGTGGGGTCATGGAGGTATAGTGGGGAGGTGGACTGGGATGGATAAATGTGAGCGAGTTGTTCGGGCCAATGTCAGCCGAGTGGGCCGGCAACGGAAGGTGGAGGAGAGCTTTTTGCGGGGGGGTTAGGGTTGGTGTTGGGGTATAGCATTGGGAGAGGAACGGGACTCGTAAGTTGGTTGTGTTCTGACTGGTGTGACTGGTAAGGTTATGGCTGGCATGTGTGGCTACGTAGATGATGGAATTGTGTCATGGATCGATGACAGAATCCTGGAATTGGACTGGATGATTCATTCTCATCCCGTCAGATCGTAGGTTTTCCATGCCATGAGAAGTCTTGACCAAACGTCCTACATACATCTGGTAGAGATAAAATAACGATTCCACCTCGAACAAATCCAAATTCCTTTTCCTACTAACGATACCCTTCCTAGCGCCTATCCGCTCGAGGAGAACACATCCAGTTCGTAGGTAGGCCTGAAGCTACATACATACATGTATGCATACATCGAGATCCAAAATATCCTCCAACCAAGCCTCTGATTACAAGGACCAATCATTTCTCCATGCCTCATGTCGTGTTCTCAAGCCAGCTGCCTACCTGTGTACATGCATAAGAGCCATGTCGACATATCGCCACCATCCAATGCTGCAAAGCTACACTACCTGCATTAGAGACCCAGAAAAGCTGCCGAGTCAGAATACCGGAGGGAAGTGCCAAGTCAAGTCAAGTCCAGTCAAGTTGGGCAGTGATGCTTCTTGTTTCCTCTGTTTTTCCGAGTGAGGGAGTGATGTATGCATAGATTGTCACGTCTGCACTAGCTTTTGGTCGAGACATGTCTTGGGCGATCAACGGGTTTGTCCATCTATCGGGGTTCGTGAACGATGCGATGTGATGTGATGTGATGTGCAGGAGTATGCAGTATGTGGAAGATGCAGGTACCGTTACCGTGATCCAAGAATGTTGTTCTTTCCGGAATGCCGGTACCGTATGTAGGTAAGTCGAGGACATGCATTCTGCCCCCTCGAGGTTGTTCGATACATACCTACATGGCTAGATATGTATGTCTCCTCGGAATTGCCGCAAGGTGATGTCTTGCAATGCCCGACACCGACGGCGAGGCCTCCGCATGTCCTGTCATTCAATCCCATCCTTACCTAAGTTATCCTCTCAGGCTTCATCCCTGGCCGAGCCCGCGGCTTGGGCAGACGGACATGTATGCGATGCAAATGCAAGAGAAGAAGATGAATGGACCAATGACGGCGGAGGGAGGGAGACGAAAAGGGAAGGGAAGGGCGGTGCTGTTCACCGACGGAAATGCAGCCAGTCCAGTCCCCCAAAGCTAGGTTTCTAAGTTGAAGCTCCACCTCGATCCATCCATTGACGAACTTATTCTCCTCCACCTCACGTGGTTTTTTTGGGCCGACGGTTGGCTTGGGGACTTTTAGGGCCAGAGTTTCCTCCTTGACCCTCCTAGACGAATTTCAAAGACTGTTCCATTCAATTCACACTACCTTACTTCTTGTTGGTCTCCATGTTGACGGAGAGTGGGCCCGATTGGACATCCTACACTCTCACCGCATAGAAACCACCTTCCATTCCTTCTCCCGCCCACCCCAGCCGACACGATCGCCAGACGATGGAGGACGCGCATAAGATCTCGGTGACGATTTGCGGCGATGGCGGATGTGGGAAATCGTCCATAACCCTCCGTCTGGTGCGCAGCCAATGGACGCATGAGTAGGTACCTACCCGCATGTGGATGGACATGGTTGAATATTGGATGGATGGATGAATGGATGGTGGGATGGAATGCGATGGACGCCGGGTTAATGGACAAACAGATACGACCCGACCATCGAGGACTCATACTCGGTCACGCGCACCATCGACGGCACGACCTACTCCCTCTCCATCACCGACACGGCGGGTCAGGAGGAATACCGCGGGCTCTGGTCCAATGCCAACCTCAACTCCGACGCCTTCCTCCTCGTCTACGACATCACGCAGGGCAGCACGCTGGACTCGCTGCAGTATTTCAATCAATTGATCGACCAGCAACGCGACCATCGCATGGATCAGGGCCAGATCTTGCCCGTGTGTCTGGTGGCGGGTAACAAGTGTGATTTGCAGAGTATGCGACAGGTGGGCGCGAGGGATGGTCTGGATTGGGCGCGCTCAAGAGGCTTTGGATTCATGGAGACGAGTGCGCGGGAAATGGTCAACATTGAGGAGACGTTTGCCTGTATGTATCTCCCATTCATTCAAGATGGGGCAAAGAGCAATGCTAACGATAACAGTACTCGTCCGACGCGTCGTGGCAGCTCGACGACAACATCTCGAAGGCATCAAACCCAACCTCCCCAACTTCACCTCCAAGACCCGTCCTCTCGAACCTCTGGCTTCACCCAACAACGAAAAGACGACGCCTCTGTCCCCGCAATGGGATGTCGACCCGGAACCTCTGCGAACGCGCTGGTGGCATAAATTCAAGTGCTGGGATAAATCATCCTGAAGATGGATGGTGCTCCTTCATCACAATCACACACACCACCACATGTACACATACACATACACACACCCGCATACACACACGGCTTTCACGACCCATGAATGGTTGGATTCTGGGCGGCGTCTTTTGTTCCGTCTTTTGTTCTTGATACAGCGATACCCTGGCGATGGTGTTTGATTGGGTTCTTCCATGTTCTTGGCGGAGAAATTGGGGTCATTTTGGGGGCAGGCGTCTATGCTGCTGCTGCTGCTGAGGCAATTCATTTGTACATTTGGACCATGCGCTTGACTGCGTTGACTGCTTTCTCGTGTGTATTTATCGGTTGACTGCTTCTCTGTATGTATATATATACATAGCCTACATTTTTCCGGCAACAATCGTGAGTCTCATTGTGTTGAAATGATATATATGTGTGTTGAAAGACCAATATTAGTTGWAGGACGAAGAAAGCCGAGGTCGGTCGGGCAGTAGTCTCATCATCACACATCTTCCAAGCCCATCATCAAACTACACGGCATATCTCGACGACTTCACATCCCGAAAGTCCATGTGCTGTGCTGCTAAGAATGTCCTCCATTTCCACGAGGAAGATGCCTGACCATCTCCGTATTTATTGTAGGAGGAGGAGGGATTCGAAACTCGATGAAAGATGGATGGGTAATCCTAGCTAACATCCAACATCCAACATCCAACATCCAACACCACCCTCGAAAAGAGCATTCCCACGTGAAATTCATCCTTGACCAGGGCACATCCCGGCCCCAACGTGTCGAAATGCTCGAAATACTGTTGTAGGGAAACAACATTAAAAGCCCAGGCCTAGGTAGCCTTTCCAAACGAAATTTCCCCAACACTGACTCGAGAGCCTAGCTTGCGCATCTTTTCCCCCTTCTAGGCGCGAAACGTGAGATGAACGTGGAAATGGAAGCGTCAAACTGCATCTCAAACCCCGGGGGAGGGGATTGACTTGCTTGACACGCACATGGTAGGACACTTTTCTTTTCCATTTCCCTTGCCCTTGCCCTTTTGTGGTTCCTTTGAAACGTGCTCGAGCGCGTGGCTCTTTTACATATACTGGAAGTCCCTTTGGGAAGAAATCATCCTTTCACAGTCTTCTTCTCTCAGCACCTCAACCCACCGTCCGCAAAGAAAGAAAGAAATGTGGTCCTCATCCCTTCTAACCTCCCTCTTGCTCTCCACCACCACTCTCGTCTCCGCCATCAATGCTCCAGCTCACCAAGCCCACTTGAACCTCCACCACAACAAACGCGAAGCCTACGTCCCTCCTCCAGTAATCCAATCTCCTCTTCACAAAGGCTATAAAGCAGTAGCCTACTATGTCAAGTACGCCATCCCCATACTCCCCCCCCTAAAAAAACACCCCAACCTAACAATCCCCTCCTCCTCCTCCACAGCTGGGCAATCTACGCCCGCAACCATCCCCCCCAAGAAATCCCCTCCCAATCTCTAACCCACATCCTCTACGCTTTCGGCGGCATCAACAACAAAACAGGCGAAGCATACCTCACAGACCCTTACGCCGACATTGAAAAGACCTGGCCGGGAGATGTTCCTTCCAACTCCACTTCTCTCTCCAAAAATGGAACGCAAGTCAAAGATATGGATATGTTTGGGAATTTAAAACAGTTGTATTTACATAAGAAGAAGAATCGGGGTTTGAAGACGTTGTTGAGTATTGGTGGGTGGGGTTTACGCACGTATTTTGCGCCTGCGTTGGAGAGTGAGGAGGGGAGGAGGAGGTTTGCGGTATCGAGCGTGGGGCTTTTGAAGGATTTGGTGAGTGTTTTCTCCTGACATTCCAATTCATCAATCATCATCACGAGAGAGAACGAACAACACTCTAACATCCCCCTTCCTTCTAGGGCTTCGACGGCCTAGACATCGACTGGGAATATCCCTCCTCCCCCAAGGAATCCCAAGATCTCGTCGAAACCTGCCGTTTAATCCGTCAAGAACTCGACTCCTACGCCCTAACCCTCACATCCACCCCCTCCTATTCCTATTCCTATTCCCCTCAACCACCACCTCACTTCCTCCTAACCCTCTCCGTCCCCGCCGGACCCATCAATTACAAGCACTTCAACATCCCAGCCCTATCCCCCTACATCGACTTCATCAATCTCATGGGATATGATTACCAAGGAGCCGCCTTTTCGAATTTCTCGGGCCATGCGCAGAATGTGTATAAATCTACCCTCAACCCAAGGAGTACGGATTTCAATACCGAGGATCCCGTGGAATATTATCTTGGAGAAGGAGGATTGCAGCCGGAGAGATTGGTGTTGGGAATGCCGCTTTATGGACGCAGTTTTGCGAATACGACTGGTCCTGGAGAGGTTTTTGGGAATACTACTGATGGGAGTTGGGAGGCTGGGATTTGGGATTATAAGGTTTGTTTTGTGTCCTCTTCCTCCTTCTCCTTATAGTGTGTGGTATGGGAGATGGAATGGGAAGGGACGAGAGTGCTAATGATCATATGTGAAAAATAGGCCCTCCCCCTAAACAACAGTCAAATCTACCACGACAACGACCTAATCGCTTCCTGGTCCTATAACAACCAAACGAAATATATGGTTTCTTACGATACCCCTGAAATCGCTATTGCCAAGACGAAGTATCTGGTTAAGAAGGGTTTGGGAGGAGCTATGTGGGTACGTCTTCTCTCTCTATTTCCACCTCTGTCCCTTTCGGTTTCTTTTTTGTAATCCCAGCTAATCCAACGGCGGATGAACAGTGGGAAACTTCGGGAGATTTCCCTATTACGGACGAGAGGAGTTTAATTAGGACTGTGAGGGGGGAATTGGAGACTTGTGGTGGGTTGGAGGGGAGTTTGAATGTTTTGGAGTTTCCGGGGAGTAAGTATCGGAATTTGAGGGAGGGTATGCCGGGGCAGTGAAATGTTGGAAAGACTGTCCCGGTTGTAGGAGAGTGGGGAGGGCGGGAAGGATAAGGGAGAGGGAGGAAGAGAGGGAAGGAAAGCGCGGGAGGGAGGAAGAGGGAAGGAGGAAGGAGGGAATCGAAGAGCAAGAACGCATGGGAATAGGAGTTCAGATTCATAAATACATGCCCTAAAAAGGTAACTCCGTGCCAATGCTACCACTCCTCCATCTTTTATATCACAATACAAAATGCAGTAGCTCTTATTCTTCTTGGAGCGGCTACCCAACAAGCCGTCTAGACATAGCTCCCGTCAATCAACCAGGCAGGGTTGAGTGGGCGGCCGCCGCCGACAACACGAAAGTGAATGTACGCATTGAGCAATAACCCCATTCTGCTCCCTCGCTGAGCCGCCAACAAGAAAGTGAATGGAATGTACGGATTAAGGAGCAATAACCCCATTCTGCTCGCTCGCTCGCTCGCTCCCTCGCTGACATGTGCAAGTTGCATATTGCATATTGCGTGATACATAGGGCAAGGACAACATCACCATCCTTCGCCTTCCCGCTTTCCCGCCATCTCATCATCTCATCTCATCTCATCACTGATCATCTCATCATCAGGTTTTTAATAATAATAACGGACACGGGACCGATACGATCGACGAAGCTCACCACACACACACTACTACACACGTCAGCAAGCGTACCACTCTCCATAGGTACCTTAAAGTTCTGTTGAGGAAAGCTTATATACAACACGCGCGTTGTTTGCGTGCTCCGCCACAACCCTCTTTTCCGTGATTTTTACCTTTTTTGTTTTCTGGGTTGGAGCTCTATTAGGCTTTTTTTCCCGGAGGAGGTGAGATGTCTTCGGGATCAATATAGTTGATTTGGAGGGCGAAGGAAAAACCTACCACATCGACCTCGGAGTTCTTGTCTTCGAGATCATTCGGACGTCGGAGTTGTTTGGTTGTTTTCATTAGTGAACTGTAATAAAAGTGATTGAGATTTTGATTTAAAGTAGCGCCCGCGCTCGCCTGCCCCACCAACCAAGCCAGAAAAGGTAAAAATTTGGGCGCTTTTTTATCTCTCTCAAAGGTTTGAGGTTTGCTGTCATCCAGTCAGCAGTCAGGTAGTGGTAAGACATGTACGTACAGTACGATACAACACTTTTGTCCAGCGGGGTCTTTCTTTTTTTGAACTCCGAGAGTACATCGGAGTAAGGCAAGGTAAGGTAGATGGCGATACTTTTGTGGCTACATCTAGAATTTTTAGTTGAATTTAACTTGTCTTGAGATGGAAAACCTGGTAGAATCTCCACCCGCCACGAACAACCAAACAACCAACAACCAACATGTATGTGTGTGTATGTGTGTTTGTAGCATGTCGCATGTACAGATCGGAACTAACAAAAGTCAAGGGGGCATGGCATGAATGAACAATCGGAGCTTTATCATCCATTCACATTTTCCATCTATCTGCTGAAAGACCCGGCTTTTCTCTCTCAAGGTACATACAGTACATACATACATAAAAAACGCAGGCAGTCCTTCGCGTGGCTGTACACAGTACATAGCCCCGGAGCCAGCCAGCCAGCATGCAAGACGAGACGAGACGAGACGAGATGCGGGTCGGCTTTTGAAGAAGAAGGCTCTCAGCATTATGCAATGCAGGTAGGCGAGCGACCTTTTTTTTTTCAGCAGCTTTTTCCCGGCAGCTACCTAGGTAAGTAACTTGAGATGGAGGAAGGAAAGAGTCAAAAATGCAAGGCAAGCCAAAGCTCCTCTTCCTTCATGCGCGTACGCGGGTTATGGTGACATTCTCTTCTTTATTCTTCTTCTTCTTATGCTCCACTCCAGAAAAAACCAGCCAGGAAGGAAGCTGTCGTGTTGTTGCTGTTGTTCCACGCAAGAAGGAATCGTTTCCGAGGATCTGCAATTCTCATCAAGATTATTACTACCTATTGTGCATTCGTCCGCCCTTCATCAGCTGTGCATGTATCCATCCATCTATCCCTCTATCCATCTATCGATGGTGGCGGTGGTGGTGTGAACATTAGCACGCTTGCCCATCCTCCCTGATGACAGTCGTCGTCGTTTGCCGTGCCGTGTGAGGACAGGAAGGAAGAGGAAGACCTGGGCCGACCGCGCGAGATTGATGATTCGTCCGCTTCTTTTTGCCCTGCATGCATGGATGGACTCGCGGGCGAGCGAGCTTGCGAAAGACGCACATGCATCCACGGATGCATGCATGCGACTACACGGCCTAGGTTGTTTAACCGAACGAAGCATGTGGCATCGGCGCGATGGCAGCCGACCGAAGGAAGGAACGTTTTCCATTTCTCTTTTTCGATCGTGTTGATAATCTTAGATGGTGAGAATTGGAGGGTACGGGAGTGTATATCTTGCAAGACAGGCGAGCAGAGTTATTGTCGTTGATCGTGGATCGACGGGCTAAACTTGTCGGTCTTCTCAATCTTGCTTTTTTGTTTTCTCATTCTTCCGTCACTATGCAGGTACAACGATGTTCGAGGGAAAAAGGTTCTTCTTCTTCTTCTTCATCATCATCATCATCATCATCATCTCAAAGGCGAGAGCATCGCGCTCATAATAGCCGTGTCTTTTGGTGTTGATACTCTGTACAAATGTTCCAAGAACGCTCAGTCGATATTAGCTCTCAATCTTCTCTCTCTCGCGCTCTCTCTCTCCCTCTCCCTCTCTCTCCAAAATCGCCCAGATAACAATAGCAAAGAAGCCGACCTGAGCAATGCAAGCAATCAGGGTTCCAAGTCTGCCAACTCCATTTCCTCAATAATGCGCTGCCCGCCCACCAAAACACAATCGACCACCGGACTTTTTGAAGAAGTGGAATTCTCTCGAAAAACTTTTTTGCCTTGGCCAGCACAGCCATCCATCCATCCCTTCTTCACCCCTTTTCCTCGCGGGGGCAAGATGTTGGTCTTTCTCTCCCAAAAGCGGCTAAAGTCGTCTAAGTACCTCTATTCGCCATGCGGTGCTGATGCGAGAAGCGAAGGAAATTTGCTGGGTATCGCGCGCAAACATGTGAAGGGTCATGATCAGTCGTTATAGGATGTCATCAATAATGGAATCGTTTGGTGTTTTCGGTGCGTCTCGTAGGCAGGTAGCTGGTCGGCCACCTGCATCTCCCGTGCGTACTCAAACGTCTCGGACTTTCGTCCGTCGTGCTTTTCCGAGGGAGGGCTCGCGCCATAGGGTGGAAGCTTCATCATACGGATGCCGTCATCTGTGTCGGCGCCGTCTCTGCTTCCCCATGTGGTCTGGATGTGATGATTAGTGGTGCACCTTTTTATGATAACAAAATTAACTCACCTCCTTCAGAGTGCACATACCCCATAGCTTGATTCCGCTATGGAGGTATCCGAATGCAATGTACAGAGGGATGAATCGCACGTCCTCGGGGTATCTCGCGTAATGACCCCAAAGCTTCACAGTCTTGCTGAACACAAATGTCCACARGGCTAATGCGGTGAGAATCGCATGAAACTGCGGCCAGTCTTTGAACTGGCAGTATGCAAAGGAGAACATTGCAGCGTCCCACGGCAACGCCCATGCTGTGATGGTGGTTTGCAGGACGGAGTAGGTGCTCCATGGCTGGGTCCTACATCAAGTTAGCGCCATTCCACTATTCACAAGACAACAATTTCAGGCGTACCACCAGTAATGACGCTCGACAAACATGGATGTGAGGTTGCTGCGCCAGTTACTTCGCACCCAGCGCAGGCACTGACTGAGATATTTGGGACCATCTTCAAGAGTGGTCTGGACCTCGGCCTCCTTGTGATATTGCATGCGAATGTTCCAATTGTTAAGATAGAGCCACCGCGTGATGAAGTTATCATCGTCGGCGTTTAGTTGGCATGTTCCCCAAGTTTCGTTGGTAAAGTCATGCGTAAAGGCATCCTCCTGGAGGATGCAGCTCCGGTAAGCCACGGTACGACCGGAAAGGCAGGGCAGTCCGCCGTCGATGTGCAGACATGCCGAGCAGTCAAAGTTGCGGCGTTCGAGATAGGCGGCACCTAAAAAGCTCCACGGGCTCATGGTCTTGGGCCTTCTCAATCTCTGCGACGTTCCCACGCCGCCCGTCTTGGGGTCCTCGAAAGGCGCCAGCATCCATTGAAGGACCTTGGCAGGCCACATCACATCATCATCCACAAAGACGGTGATTCTCGTCTGCACTTCCGGTATCGCCCTGCACATTTGCCTGCGTTTGTTCGCCTGCCGGATGCTCAAGACGCGGATCTTCTTGGCGTTGATTTTGTTTGCCAACTTGGTCAGATGGTCGACATTGGCATCGATGGTGACCAGGATCAACTCAAAGGGCTCGGCCTTGAGGCAGGTCTTGAGGGTGGTCTCCAGCTCATCACCCCCCTGGGCAATGGTCGGCAGGATGATGGTGACATCCTGGGAGGTGTATGTTGGGTTCTCGGGTAGGGGAACAGGCCGGTAGGTCCAATGTGAGATGCAGTTGACTATCAATCGAACGTAGCGAAATAACCTGGAGCGGTGTGTGAGTCCACGTGCACCATTGGGTTAAAGTTTTGTTACCCGCTTCCGCGAGGGCCAGCGGACACAGCGACTGGAGAGATCGGGCAACGAAGCAGACATACCATAGAGAGACGAACAAAACCAACGAGAAATCCATGCTGTTGCTGCCGCGCGAAAACGAGAGGAAGAGGTGGCGAGTCCAGAGTCGTCCCACGACACCTGAGCGATGAAAAAGTGTAAAGGGAAGCGATTGCAGAGGAGGGCATGCGAATATAAGTCTTAGCCTATGATTTCCTCGGCAGTAGTCATGCGAGCGCTTAGGTGCTGGTTACCATACTATTGATTAGTACATTTTTGCGTGCAGACAGCTCCATACCTTAAGGTATGAGATCACCGGAGTCGACCTGGAGGCGCGAATTGGACCGATCCGTTCTGGCTCGAACGAGAGCTTGAGATGCACAGAGCGCCCCTCATCCCGGTCTTTTCGGATTGAGTAGGTATGGCGGGTCTGACACCTGCAGCCTGCAGACCGGTGGGGTCCGCCTTGGTGGCTGGCTGGCTGGCTGGCTTACCTTAAGTTCTGGCAGGAAGGAAGCTCGCTCGCGTAGGCGAGTGGCCGAGCGAGCGAACGAGCTTGCCTTGCTTGCTTGCTTGCTGCAGCCTCTGCGGGCCCTCCGACGTCCGTCTGCTTCTGCTTCTGCTCGTGCTCGACGCGCCCGCCCGCCCACCCAACCCAACCCAGCCGCAAAACAAATAAACTGCTCGAGCGCGTGCGCGCGCGCGGCGGCTGCCGGCGGGGCCACCGTTTTTGGTGCACATGCTGCTTGCAGAACTCGCCGATTCGCGTTACCACACACAGTACAGCGCGAAGCGGGTACTTAGCGCCACATCAGCTGGCCCATCCATCGTTCATGGGGCGCTCTGGATGTCTCGCTCCAGCTGAGATGGCTGTAAGTTACATACCCCTCCCTTCTGGTACTGTACTGTACTGTACTGTACTGTCCTGGGTGGATGTCGTGGGTATCGCGGACGCCGGAAGCGTGTCTGTCATATGCGCGTTGCACAGCCCAACGCCTGTCGTCCGGTGGTGGCTCGACTTCGGATGGTTGCATGCTCACATTGCTGATCGGACACGAACCGCTGCGAGGGCAGGGTGCGGCGGCACGGCGAGATGCGGCCAAGATCCACTTGCCACAAGTCCACTCGGAGATTGTGAGTACTACGACTTTCCTGCTCGACGCTCGTGCTTAACCATCCGTGGTGGTGTGTTTGCGCCGCCCGCTCCCCAAATCACCACACCATCTCGTACGCGTCTCACACCCGGCMTGGCGGTGTTGGATGTGGGTGTAGACGTGCCCACCCACGACGCGTTCACGAATCCTTCTTCACTTCTTCATCAAGATAGCTATCGACGATCTGGACATTCCCGACGAGGTTAGATGCGCGGCGGCTTCCGCACCAAGGTCGACGCTAGTGACGACTTCTTTTAGCCCCGGGTATACTCCAGAGCTTTGCAACTCTGTTATGACTTGTCCGCGCTTCGACTGGGGTTTGGCTGCGGCATGCAGCAGTGTTATCAAGGGCCGAGAGCGTCGGAGATTCGTGAAATGCCTCCGACTTTTGCTCCATTCCGGGTCCGCTCGTGGGACATGTTGAGGCCCGTGGAAGAATGGGACCCTGTGGAGCTGATAAAGTGCTAATCATGCACCTAGTAGGGCTTGCGCAGAGAGATGCTAGTTTCTCTCTAATGCTAATGCAAAGTTTTGGAGGGGCGTCACACAATGCAGCTCACCCCATTGAGCGACTTTTTAGCGAACACAGTTTACCACCCAACACTTTCACCTTCGGCGTACCGGTTTGTCACTATTGATTGCTGGACACGCTGGGATGACATCGGAAAGGGCGAGTTGACGTAGATTATGTCGTCGTTATGACTCGAATTGCCACTGCGACAACGACATCACGAGGTTTGGCTTTGGCATTTCGTCAATCAGCAATATACAGACGACATCCTTTAACATGCTATGGCTATATCGATTGCTCTGGAATGCTGGAGCCCGCCATGGGTCGTGCATTGATCGACCGCGTGGGAATCTTCCACCCGTGCCGACTGCAAGACAATGCAAGATGTGCTTATAGGCTTGGTGCATCGTGATAGCAGTCTCGCTTCAAGGCAAGCCCTTGCCACACCAAAGTGCTTGCTCGCATGAGAGCTCACGATCGTTGAGCGATGGTTACGCTGATGGACTGTAAGCGTGAAATGTGCCGACGATACGTTGAGCGACCAGCGTTGCATGCATGCATGCAAGCGACACAGCTCGACGACGGTATCCATAGTCCAGGCGCTGGACACGGCGGAACGTCGTCAGCGGAGAAACYCCGCGTCGGTTGCGTATGGGGAGCCTCATCCGCGGCTAAGAAGTAGCGAGAGCGTGCCAGTAGATGATCGAGACTCGAGACGGAGTGAAATCCCTTGCTACAAACTGCATCGAGCGACATGTGACATTGTGACCCCCACGCGCGGTCGGAATGCAGAATCGAGCCAGTACTGCCAAGACTTAGTTTGGGATTCCTCACGGCGTAAGCAAGCAACGCCATGGCACGTGGCTCATGGTGTAACTCTGTTGTGGCGGCGAGTATAGTAATGGCAGATCTTTGTTATGCAGGTTGTACTGACCGGCTTCCTGTCCCCAGGCGCCTTGCCGCCGGAAGCAGCATTCCGTGGATGATGGTCAAAGGCGCCGGTGTAAGTGAATCTGGAGGCAGCACTACACATCACGTGAATGTGAAGGCCTTGGTGGTACAAGATACCTCGCAAAGTATGGCATTTTGTTTTCCTGCCGAAGTAGAGCAAGCCGAGCCCTGCAAGCAGATGAGACGTCGATTAGTTCCATGGCTCGTCCTGTAGTCTGCCACGTCGACTCGGTCTTTCAACGGATGGAGGAAGGGGTCGTTTCCAATGGAGGACGGTTTCTCATCTTCCACCATGTATGATTCCCCTCGAATGCCAGTCCTGTATTGTAGCCTTTGCAAAATGTGACCGTGTCCATGTCAACATTCCTCCCAACGTATCCATGTATCGCTTTTGCCGCCTCCACCTCCGCCTCCGCCTCAGCAGTTCAGCCTGTGATCCTCCCTACTTGTCCGGACTTCCGTGTGGAGAACGTGCTGCTGTTGGCCTTTATCGGTTCCCGATCAGGTCAAACAGCCTTTCTGCGGGGGCAGCAAGGCGGCATCGCAGGGAGTACCAACCATCTCAGGAGAAGCACAAGTAGCCCAAAAAAATTATTTCCAACCCGAGAGAACTTGGACGCTTTGAGTCCTCAGGATTCAGAAGCCTGCTGAAATCCCAACCCACCTCTTTGGTGGCGAGAGATCGATGTGAACATCACTCGCCACCAGATCTCCCGCAAGCCCACGTCTACACGAGCGAGCGACCTGCACGATGTCGCCAGGCAGACTCGCTCGGTAAGCTGCCGACATCCCACTCCATGCAGTGTGTGATCGGAGCGAGAGACCTCCCGGCAAGTTTGTAGAAAATGCATGGACCTTCCGGCTGTCCAAGCCATGTCTCACAAACCCCGCCGAGATCCTGCAAGTCAGGGGAAGGATGATGCGCCTCGCGACGCACTGGCGGATCCACTCTGCTCACGCTCTGGTCGGCAGATGTCCTCGTCGACGTGCTTCTCGGTACTATCTGCCCTGCGAAGCGTACGTAGCYGACTCGTACGTTGACCTCGGGAGTCAGTCTCGCAAGCCTGACTGAAGGATCGCTCGGCGCGCGGTTCGCTTGGAGGACTTATCACAGCATTGCAGCGGCTGACCGCGCTCATCCCATCGCGTACTAGTCGCTACCAGCTCTTGAGAAAGCTATCCTGCAGCGAGCATCTGCCCATCGGATCATTGACCTTCGCCTGAGAGAAGCGAGGGTCTCGTATGCGTCAGTGACGAAGCTGGCTGCAGAAAACTCATGTGCCCAGGCAGGACACAGGCGCGGACTGGAGCACATCCCATTGGAGCGGCTCTTTTGGCATTCAATTCAGCGGTCTCTCTCCCATTTTTGTGCGAGCATCTCGTGACGTGATGTTCAAATTCACAACCCCCTTGTCTTGGCGCCTGCGGCCCGAAAAAGGCAATCTTGTTGGTGAAGGTTATAAGTCCCACTCGCTCGACGTGTTGAGAGACACAATAGAAGACCGCCTCTTTGTCTGAAAGGCAGCCGTGATTGGCAGCGCACAGCGTATCGGCCTCCCCATGTGCCGCGTAAGTCTTCAGAGGGAGTCGCACCTGGCGTGGAGGTATCAAAAGCATCTTTTGACGCACAAGCGCTGTTTGCTTCAGCAGTAGCTGCCCATATCCTCAAACTTAACATGATGCTTCCCTGCTCAAGCATAACAAGGCCGTGAATTGTTGGTGCTGATTCAAATGTGCCGCACCGATCAGAGCCGGAAACCAATTTGTCGCAGTCTTGTAGTACATGATCTATAGCAAAAGGTGGACACCGAATCGTGTTTCATGCCATGCCTGTGGTTGGCAATCGTAAGGAAAAGGCGCTAGGATTTTAGTTATTCACAGTAGTACRAACCCCGGCTGCTTCCTCTCGTGGTCCAACACTCCCCCTCTCCTGTCACTCGCCCACTGTCTGGTGGGTTACGGCAACTTTCACCACCTCGACGACTCCTTGTTTGTAAATTAGTGGTGCRCGTGGGCACCGTTGCTCCTGTATCCAACAATCTTGAATCTTCCAATCATTTCGCCGATGGAGAAGAATCCGATGACCTCTGCGGTGGTCACACCGACGGTGGTGAGCGTGGCGTGGTCGAGGTTCCTTAGTCGTGTCAAGAAAGATTGTGGGTTTTGGATCACGGCATCAGCGGACTTCTCAGCGGCCTGGGCAGTCTGGGAGCCGAATCCGGCTGGGTTGCGCACCGCCTTGGTGAGGGGGGTGATCGCCTCCTGGACGGTTTGCATGGTTCTATGAGCTGTCAATGGCAGTTCCCGCAATAGCTGTCGTCTGTGTACACTTACGGAGGCGCCATGCCACGACCCTTGTAGATCGTCTTCCCGAGCTCGCCAGCAACCTTGCCATAGTATACAACGTGTGGGATGGCACCTGCGACTTCTCATCAGCCTAATCTCAATGCCTCGGAAGTGTCTGATTTTGCCTACTTTGTACCATGCCAATCACAGCGCCAGTCCGGCCACCCACATTAGCCACGGTGTTCGAAGCAGCAGAGGCGACCTTGCTAAGGGCGGGTCCAGCGGAGCTAGTGACCTTGGAGAGGCCCTGTTGCGCCTTGGAGACGGTGTTCTGCGCGGTCTCCTTGGCTGCCGCTGCACCCTGGGATGCTTTCTCGGCAGCGCCGGAGGTGGTGGAAGCGGAGCGGCGCTGGGCAATGGCGCGAGACTGGCGGAGCACCTGCCGAGGCAGGTTGGAGGAAGGCATTGTGATGTGTGGTGTGGTGATGGGATGTCGTCGATGTTGAGCTCGAATGGCAAGTACGGAACTACTTTTTGCGGGATCTGCCGAACTCTAAAATGCGGAGATCCCTCTGCCTTCTGCTATTGCCATGGACATCCATCCAGTTGATGCACAAATATGATGCTCTTAACTCCTTGGTGTCAAATCTGACAGAAGGATTGAGATTCTGCTATGAAGAGGTGCGCGCCATGGCCAAACTAGGTTGATCTTCTTTGAGGAGGATCTAAAGTTACAGTCGCCGCTGTATGGCAGGACTTGACTCGAATGTCCATTTTACTACATCACGACTTCATAGCGGCACTAACGGAGCTATACACACTCTTAAATGTGCTTGCTGCTGTCCCGGAGGACTCTCTGCGTCTCCCCAATGCAAACACTGGCCTGCACCCGGTCAACTCGATCAACATCGAAGCAGCTCGAAAGGCTGGCTACCACGAAGATGCAGTCTCATTGATGTATGCGTTGCCACATCTGGACGTCGAGTTCCATGACTTCAAGCCGCAGTTGCTCCCCAGCACCTACAGTATGTCACTACCTACAGTGACCCGGATCAGGATCTTGCTTCGAAGCTCGGAGAGAAATGCTCAACGACGAAGCCATGCTTTCTTCAGCTCTGCGCTTGACAAGGAGCGAGACTAGCTAGGGTATCGTTCTCGTCTATGATACAAAGACGAGTAAGCCGCAAATGCCTTGAACAGAYCAAATAGTGATGGTACAAAGCCGGGGTAGAATATCTGAGGATTGATGGGTAGGGATGAGGAATAGAGGTAATTTAGCGCTAACTTGATATGGATTTATTGTAGAGCCGACGTCAAACTTTCGACTCGGAAATTCTTCCTACCTCAATTACAACCTCAACATGCACCGTTTATTGCGTTAAACAATGGACCCATATAAACTTCTGTCTCGCTCCTCAAAGCGTGGAGCGCCTCAGAAATCTCAAAGTACACCATCTAGCGGTGCACAAGCTGCTCCGCCGAGCAACGAGGGAAAAGCTTCATCCGGCGAGCTGCCCAGCAGCAATTCGAGAAAACGCAAGAGAAAGAGTACAGCGGCAGTGGATACACCTGAGCTAGAATTCTTTGGCGGTTCGAGTTCGAAGGCGGTGCGGGACGCAACTCGGGATGAGGCGCACAACGAGAATTCGGACGATGAAGAGCTGGAGGAAGACGAGGCGGAGGAGCAGCTTGCGTCTGGTGCCGGAGTGAGCAGTCTTTCGGTCGAGGAACGGAAGAACATACTGCATAAACATAAACTAAAGGCGACGTGGATCAACCCGCCTGCGCCGCAGAAGAAAGAGCGCCGAAAGAAGAATCTCGACAAGAAGAAAGTGAAGGTTGAGAAATCAGAAAAGATTGCGCTGTTCCCGCAGCCACTGCAATCATTCGCTGAGTTGCGACCGCGATTTGGTGTATCTGGAAGGCTTGCGACGAATATCGACGAGCAAGGTTATACCGTCCCAACTGAGGTGCAACTCGCGGCTCTGCCACTACTTCTGGATGATCCCAAGAACTTCATGGACGCAGGACCAGAGTCGCCGCCCCACATTGACATATTGACTGTAGCGCCTACTGGGAGTGGAAAGACAATGGCTTTCATGATTCCCACATTGCAACGCATTAGCAAAGCAAGACAAGGTATCGAAGGCGGTCTCAAAACTACTTCTGCAGTTATCCTCGCACCCACCAAAGAGCTGGCAAGTCAAATAGTGAATGAAGGACGAAAACTAGCGCGAAACACTGGGATCAAAGTGACACAAGTCCGGAAAGGAATGGAACTGGCGGCGCGACCCAAGACAGGCGATGGCGAGGACGATGATGAGCCTGCCAAGTCAAAAGATATATTAGTGAAATCGGATGTTCTGGTGTCAACTCCGGGTGTGCTGGCAAGCATCATCCAAGAAGCAAAGGAGAATGGTCGCGAAGCTCTGTCAGATGTTCAATATCTCATCCTCGACGAGGCTGATGTACTTCTGGATCCGCTGTTCCGCGAGCAGACTCTCACGATCTGGAACAGCTTGAACCGTCCGGACCTTCGCGTGAGTCTATGGTCAGCCACAATGGGGAGTAACATCGAAGAGCTGGCCCGTACGGTACTTAACGAGCGACGACAACGGCTTTCTGATAATCAGCAAGAACCTGTCCCAGAGGCTCCTCTCGTAAGACTAGTCGTCGGCCTCAAGGACTCGGCTGTCCCGAACATCCAGCACAGACTAGTGTATGCTGCTTCGGAGCAAGGAAAGCTCATGGGTCTCAGGCAATTGCTGCATCCGACCACTACCTCGTCTGAAGCCGGACCACCTCTTCTCCCGCCCTTCTTGGTGTTTACTCAGACGATCGAGCGAGCGATCGCATTGCATTCGGAACTACTTTACGACATTCCCGCCGAGGCTGGAGGGATCAGTAGGATCGCAGTGTTACACTCTGACCTGTCAGACACAGCCAGAGACAATGTAATGACTGGTTTTCGCAAGGGAGAGATCTGGATACTAATCACCACCGACCTACTCTCCCGTGGGGTCGATTTTCGTGGCGTGAACGGCGTGGTAAACTACGACATTCCAACTTCGAGTGCCGCATATGTGCACCGAGTCGGCCGTACAGGGCGTGCTGGCCGCGAAGGTGGTGTCGCAGTCACTCTTTACAGCAAAGAGGATATCCCGTACTTGAAAAACGTCGCCAACGTGGTTGCCGCCGCGCAGAAGCAGAAAGGCGGTGGTTTCGATGCCACCAACAAAGATGGAGTCCAGCAATGGCTGCTTGACGCACTGCCAGATCTGAGCAAACAAGCCAAGAAAGATTTGAGAAAGCACGGCGTCGAATCTAGGACATCTCGAGGCATGACCAAGGATTCCAAAGCAGGGAGGAAAGCGCGCATTAGCACCAAATCAGGCTTCGAGCGTCGCGAGGAAAACAAACGAAAAGGGATGATCCAAGGGAGTAAGCAGAGGCAGGAAGCCGCCGCCGCCACTGCGGAGGATCAAGGCGAAGAGACGGATTTTGGTGGTTTCGATTGATGATGTTTGCTACTTTACTGCAAATTCACAAACAACCCTCCATCAACCAATAACTGCGCACCAGTCACATACTCGCTCATATCGCTCGCAAGAAAAACAGCCGGACCAGCGAGATCTTGCGTCCTGCCCAGTCTTCCCAGCRGTATGCGACCTTCCATATACTTCTTCTTCCCTTCATCCGCGAGATCCTCATCATTGAGCTGTGTTCGAATGGTCCCTGGGAGCAGCGCATTGCACCTGATACCATATTGTCCCAAAGCGCACGCGGTGCTCTGCATGAGCGATAGGATTCCCGCTTTTGTGGGAGTGTAATGCGTTTGTCCCGCTCCTCCTACTAGAGCCGAGATGGAGGAAATTCCAATTATACTTCCCCCTGAGGGCACTTGTGTGGACATTTGTTGCGCGGCGGCTTGTACGGCGAAGAAGGCTCCCGTGAGGTTCGTTGAGATGGTATTGTTTACTAGCTCGGGTGGCATGCTATATTCTCGAAGTGATGGTCAACTACCTTCTTTATCCACCGCGAAGAGCTGATATACATACGTTAAGAAGTCCGCGAAAGCGCATATACCCGCATTCGACACAAAAACATCCAATCTCCCGAATTTCTCCACGGTCTTCCTAACCAACTCTTGAGAAGTTTCAGGTTTCGTAATATCTCCTGGAATTCCAATTAAATATTCTTCTGAATGCCCTGTTTCGGTTCGTAATTCTTGGAATTGTCGTTCGGATTGGTCGTCTGGGAAGTAATTGACTGCGACTTTTGCTCCATGTTTGAGGTAATCGATTGCAATTGCTCGTCCGATTCCCGTTACGGCTCCTGTGAGGGCTGCTACTTTGCCTTGCAGGAGGAGAGCCATTGGGATATGAGATGGAGTTTCTTAGAATTGTGGGTAGAAATCTCGAGTATGAGCGACGCGCTGGTAGGATCGGCGACGCGATGTTGCATGGGACAGACATGTAGTTCTCGGCATTTGAAGGCTGTTGGAGGGGCAAAGTGTAAGTACCTAGACCTGGTCTCGTTGTTCGGAAGAATTGATAGCGAGGTGGAAAGGTTCCACTTTATCCGGAGATCAAGCCTGACAACTCCATTAACATGTGCCGTGGATTTGCGTCCATCTTAGCTCGAAGGAGAACGTCCATCGCAGCCGACATGTCTCCCCTACACATCATCGACAGCCATGTCCACCTCTGGCCGGAGAATATGTCAAACGAACAAGGCCACAGCTGGATGACACCGGAAATGCCATTGGCAAAAGAACATTTGCTCTCTGTGTACTACGAAGCATCTAACCAAGGAGCTCACGCCGATCATGATACCATTGTGGACGGAGTTATATATGTTGAGACAGATGTCAAATATGATGAGCCTTGTGGAGAGCTATCTGCTTGGGCGAAAGGTCCTCTCGATGAGATCAAGTTTCTGCGGGCTATCGTAGAAGGGAGATATGGTCCACGAGATAGTCAAATGCTCCTTGGAATCGTTGCTTGGGCGCCCATGGATCAGCCGCCTCATGTTCTCGAGGAGTGGCTGAGAATTGCTCAAGAAGCTGCGGGCATTGAGACATGGAGCCGTGTCAAGGGCTTTCGATTCCTCTTACAGGCCATTCATGATCAGAACAAGTTCGAGTCGCTGGTCTTGAGCGAAGACTTTGTGGAGAACCTGAAGATTCTTGGCAAGAAGGGATTTTCCTTTGACATTGGCGTAGACGAGCATTCCGGGGGTATCTGGCAGCTCGAGGCGATTTCGAAAACGATGGAAATGGCACATAGAGGCGTACCCGAAGACGAGCGCATCGGTTTTATAATCAACCACCTATGCAAACCAGATTTTGCAAATCAAGGGCAGGAGTTTCTACGATGGTGCTCTGCGATCAAGGCATTATCGAAACGCTCTCGAACATATATGAAGCTTTCCGGAGCCTTCAGCGAGCTACAAGACGGACTGATATCCACGGGTGATATTGTTGCACGAATGGAGCCTTGGGTAGAGCAGACTTTCCAGGCGTTTGGGCCAGATCGAATGATGTTCGGAAGTGATTGGCCAGTGTGCAACATCAAGGGACCACGGAAAGAGGCKTCCTGGATTTCGTGGAGGGAGGTCGTGGAAGCGATACTTGATGGGCGCAGACCCAGCCTTTCGAATGTCGAGAAAGAGCGCGTATGGAGCGGAACGGCGCTTGAAGCATACAGAGTCGCTCGCAACGCCGTGCATTCAAGTCGCGACGGACGCTGAAACCAAGGGACCTTGGCAGAAGTCCAGTGCAGAAGTGCAGTATGCGGCGATGCAATCGTCATGGACGCTGTATACCAAGCCGAGTACCAGGATCCAAAGGATGAGGCGTGGGATGAGTGGCCACGCCAGCCAGTTCAGACGACCCATACCCCAAATGAACAGCAGAGATGGTCGACACCCTTTATCAACCTCGGAGCACAAATCTCCATGTCCAGACCAGTGGTAGAGCTCTTGAACATTCACAGCAAGCATCGTCTCATTTCCCATTGAATTATCCGTCGGTACTGTCACTAACATTCTGCACCTTCCTATACTGCTCTTCCAGCTGCCTTTGCATCTCAAAGTCAGCCTGTCTCTCCCTCTTGACCTTTTGTTGTTCCATGTCGCGAATGACGCCTTGGTGCATGGCCTAGAAACAAAGTCAATGACTGCATCTTGTTACAGCGAAAGATGCTGGTGCACTTACAGCTTTATCGAGCTTTTGTTGGAGGTGGACGAAGATGACAATCCCAATGGCGCCTGCAGTAGTCCCAGCCAAGGTCAGTTTGGCGGCAGTAGACATGTTTAGATGGTGAGGTGGTGTATGTAAGTAAGATAGTTGAATGGAAATGTCATGAAGTGAAGGCGAAAGTTAAGCAGAGCTCCGGCTTTCATCTCCGTCACTTCCGTCCGCAGCTGCTTCAACTTGAAGTACAGTACAAACAACACGCTCGCCAACACTCATCTACTCACATACTCTCAATCACAATGGTGAGTCGTATGAACTCATTCTGATTCTGCAATTGCTAACATGCTCCAGGCCKCCCAAAACTCCGCCGGTATCCAAACGCTGCTTGACGTACGAATCGCTGTCCAGACGAGGAACGGAGCTCGACTGACTTGTCTATAGGCTGAGCGGGAAGCTCAGAAGATTGTCCAGAAAGGTATACTTATCATTGATATCACATAAAATCCACAGAGACATGGCTCGCTAACCGCCGCAACAGCTCGCGAATGTACGCTTCAATCTTAGCCATCGAATGCTCCAACCCCWCGACCCGAACACTAACAATCCACCGCAGACCGGACGAAGCGAGTCAAGGACGCTCGATCAGAGGCGCAAAAGGAGATTGAGGAGTACCGGAATCAGAAGGAGTCGGAGTTCAAGGCTTTCGAGAAAGAGGTGCGTCCCCAAAGAATCCCACCACACATCCACACATCCACGATGCTGACGATTGGGAAACATAGCACACATCAGGCAACAAGCAAGCCGAGGATGATGCCGACAAGGACACAGAGAAGAAGCTGCAGGAGATCAAGCAGATTGGAAGCAAGACTGGCCCCAAGGTGGTCGATGACCTGCTGAAGGCTGTGATGGAACCTCACCCTGAAGTACCAGACAGAGCAGAGCAGCCCGTTGCATAGGAATATTTTTGACGCGGCGAAATAGTGTGTGGCATGATAGAGCGAGGAAATGATTTACTGTACAATGATGCCTTGAATTGTTCTGGTTGCGAATCGATGGATGAACTGCTGATGAATCCCAAAAGGTCATGTCTATGCGTGTCTCCGCATCACATGCCGTACCGAGAGCTGTGAAGCATATCCCCTCTACCTGTGTCGACTCCCGCTTTCCCAAACCAACACAAAAGACGCGGACCCGATCCCTACTATACATCCATCATCTTGCTCTTCAGGGCCCATGCTCAAAGAGCAGCCAAACGAACATCGAGCCACTCTCGACAACGGAACTCTCTACCATGAGATCTGTTGCGGTCATCGAGATCCAAAAGATCTCCAACAAGCAGAGAGCAAGATTCAACCCGGGCGAGGGTAACGTCGCCCAATATGCCACCAGATCCTCCCACCGCGACAAGCCCAGCCAATCCAGTCCAAAAAGAGTCAAACAAAAACATCCTCCACTCTCAACACCCACTCCAAGCACACATCTCACAAACCCCTCGACCAGAAAAACCTTGCCACCAAACCCAAAGACAACAACCCCCAACCCCCTCCGTCCCTCGCAAACTGTCCCCGAACGACCCCATCCTCCACCAAGCAAGCTGTCTGCATCGTCTGACAAACAAGCGCCTCCCCAACCTCAGTATCATTGTAAACCGCCTGCAAAAACTTGACGGTAACAACACTATCCCTTTCTGGCGGTCCCTTTGAGAATTTCGCATCACCATCCGACCAATGATTCAGCATGATTCTTCCCGGAGCTTGCGGTACGTTGGTGGTGATGACACTCGCGTTCTGCGGGCCGTAATGTACCGCGTCGGGAGTCCAGACGAATGACCAATCTGAAGGGACTCCAGGATTGCCGTCGTTGGTGTTGGCTTTGTTCAGGGAATGTAGAGCCATGGTGGTCTTGGACGCGGCGCCATTGAAGAGGTATTGTTGTGGTTTGACCGAGTATTGTAAAGCCGGAGGAGGAGAGGATGTTCCCGAATTCGCACTAATGTATTCGACGTCGATTTCTGAAGTATCATTTTTGTAATGGAAGAAGCCCGCTACGGTTCCCGGTTCTTTTGAAATGTGATATTCCGCTCGATAGGAGCCATAGAAGAAATTTCTTGAGCGCGTGAAGATTCCCGCGCTGGGGACTGTGGTTCCGTCGGTGGAAGTTGAGCAGGTGAGTTGGAGGCCTGCGGGGGAGAGGTTCACGTTCGAGGGGTTGTATGCTCGAATGTAGGGGGACTTCTTCTTGATGACCTTGTAGCTTGCAGGAATGAAGATTTGGTTGAATTGGTCGAGTGTGGCTTTGGTGAAGTCGAAGACTAGAAGACTGTTGAATGTACTCCGTGTCGGATCTTTCGCGTCGATGAAGCCGCAATCACAGTCCTTGACACTGCGTACAATCTTCGGAGCCATGGTTCGTGCGTTGAGGTTGTTGGTGTTGCAATACGATGAGCTTGGCCATGGTGGGCGAGAGTTTTTCCCGCTTTATGAACTTTGCCCGGAGCGAATGATGGTTATGCCGAAAAAGATGAATTGAACAATCGTGGTAGAGGTCGCGTCACCAAGTCTGGATGTAGAAGAGGCTCTGGTCTTGACAGACGCTYTTGAACTTTTTATGTTTAGTTGCGTTACCACAACTCGGCCACGAGGCGTGAGGCGTACATCCAGACCACATCGTGGGGCTTGTCACTTGAAATCGCTGTGGGAGTTGATGCCCTTTCTTTGTTCATCGAACAAGATCTTGGCTTGAGATGCCAATGTTGTCCTGAAATGCCAATGGCGTCATGTCCCTCCGTTCAAGCATTTTGATAGAAACCAGCTGGGAGTGCATGAAATTTGGCTGCCAACGCTGACCGAATGGGTTTTGTGGCTGCCTCGATCAAGGTGAATTTCTGTGAGAATCGTGTGTATCCATAGCACGCTGTGTCTTGCTTTTCATATTAGAAGAAAGCACACATCTGCTCTGGCAGGTCGCGTGGAATGGTCGTGACGCATTCACTTCCTTCGAATCCATGAGAACCGCAGTTCCTGAAGCCATGATCTCGCAGACAAGCTTCCTCTCATAAAGCTGAATGGCTCTCCCCGAATTCATCTTCTTCATAGCCTACAACGTCGGCGTCGTATCTTCGTCTGATTCGTGGTATCCTCATTCATCGATCGTCTCGTCGTCTTATTCATATRCCGTGCAGCGTCTTGATATCCTCTCACCTCCCCAAAGGTCCAATAACACTCCCAACCATAACAGCCGCCTCCCTCTCCCAACCTCTGGCAGCCTTCTTCCCCAAATCCCTCCCACCTTTGTATCCCCTCTCCACGCACTCTCTAACACTCTCCCTCAACTTCTCCCTCGAACTCCTCAACGTTCTGGCACTGACACCACCCTTTAGTAGAATATCCTTGACCTTCCCTTCCAGCCCTCCAGCCAGACTCCTCCAGAAGAAACTCGCCAATGAACTTCCCTCCTCATCCATAGCTCGTAACAAAATCTGCAACAGATTCGCGTCGGAACTCTGCTTCTCGCCCAAAAGAGGATGAAAAGGAAGTTTCGTATTCTCCAACACCCCCTCCAATGCAATGACATTCCCACACCTCCCCGAAGTCTCCTGCAGCGCCCTATCCAGCGTCGGAAGCGCCGCCAACCCCCTCGCCAGCGCAGCCAACGAAGCCGATAGTGAAGTCTGCAAATAAGCCTGCAAGGCCTGAACCACCAAACTCGGCYCAAACCTCTCCGGATCCACACAAGGAGACAAAAGATACAGCGTCTTCAAGCATCCTCCAACCCTCCCCTTCATCTCCTCCCCCTGAGCAAAAGTCCTATCCCAAGGCTGGAATTCCCTGACACCCATCTGCGCCCTCTGAATCAACCCTCTCTCAGCAGGAACCACAATATCCCTCTTCAAATCCCTCGCGACATGAACTCGTTCCAGATCCTTCATGCTCTCAAACGTCCCTCGAATCTCCAGCACCGTCTCCGCGGCTTTGACTCCCCCATCCCCATCTCTACCTTTAATATCCCCTTCCAATTGTCTCCCCAATCCCACAACCCTCTGTACCGATCTCCCTAACCTCACAGTTCGACTCATCCTCTCGGCCACAACTCTCACTTGTTCGGCAACCGCATACCTCTCCCCAACTTCCCTCTCCAATCTCGAGTATACATCATTCAACCCCTCCAATCGCTCTTCCACATTCTCCAATACTTTCTTGGCGGAGGAATTCTGTTCTTGGGTGTGTGAGATGATTGGCAATGCGGAAGTTGTGGTGAGTGTATCGATTAAAGTGTCGATTTCTTGCGCATCGAAGAGGATTTTTTGGAGAGGTGTGGAGAGGTCGAGGGGTGTGTCGGAAGGGTTGTTGGTTTGGTGGATTAGGGTGTTGGCGTGGGTTGTTGGGGAGAAGGTGTCGAGGAGGAGGGGAGCTGTGTCCAGGTAAGGTGTCGTAGTTGAAGAGGCCATGGTATGGCGGTGATGTGTGGGAAAGGAAGAATGGAGAATGTCGAGGTGAAGGTCTTCAAAAGTGAGCTTCAACATCTATACGAGGTACGAGGTGCATCAATTGGATGGAGAGCAATTCTCCCACATGTTTCGTTACGCTTGATGGAAGTTGATGTACCTTCAAGAGGCGTCTTCGATAATCATCTATGGTACAAAACCGTCGCAATATCCCCGATAATGACGTTCCTCCAACTCCAAACATACCGTGTCTAACGATCAGCCCATCAGTTCTCCATACAACACCATTCCAATTCAAAACTTTTCATCCCATCATCGTCCATTTACACACCAAACCAACGGGACAAGTTGAAGTGCCCGCCATACGAGTCTCAAAATCTAGAGACAAGACTGCCTAAACATAGATAGCTCATGAGTTCTGTTGAAAGTTCTTCGACGATGTTGTGATCCCAAGAAACAAACTTCCATCAGCCCCTCATAGATAGCCAGTACAAGACAAACGACAAACCCTCTCCTAGCCATAGATGTTGCGATCAGATGGACAATAAGAGAGGGGGTCGTATGTCTTGACCACATCTTCATTCGCGCGCGCACTTGCCTCAACCACAAAGAAACCCCGGCGGATTCTCTACTTGCGTTGTTTTATCTTTCTTTCCTGTGTTTTTGTCTTTTCATGCATTCGTTAGTCCAGTCCAGTCCAGTGTCCGTCCGCGGAGTGTGGTCCATATCGTTCCAGATTGGGCCCGCGGGAATTTGCTCCATCACAATTTAGATGATATCCCAGACATCCTCAGCTGCGTGGCAGAATTTGCTGCAAGCTACACTTGCACTGAGAGAGTAGTTGCTGATACTGATGGCATCGTCCTTGAACTCATCAGCGAAAGAGTCGTTTCCCTTGGCCATGGCACCGATGAAGATGCAAATGCTCTCGTTGGTTCCCAGATCTTGGATGTAATCCCTCACTCTTACAACCTCTGCGTCAAAGGATAGTGTAACTTTACGGCAATTCGGCGGGAGGTGGTCGGTGATGGGATTCTTAATGACTTTAAGCAGCTTCTCTTGGGATGTCGTGGATCGAATGGAGAGTTTGTGAAGAAGTTGGACCATGAGTCCAGCGAAACGCTTGAAGGTACGGGGGATGCGCACGGTGGGTGAAACCTCGATGAGAACACCTTTGGCGGTGTGAATGTAGATTTGGAGTTTGCCGGCCTTGTTGACGGGAGAATCGAGGAGGGTGAGGAGACACTAAAGATTCAGTATCAATGTAGTATGAAGTGTCGAGGATTACATACCTGGTGGGTGATGTCGGGTCTCGCGTCGCTGATATCGCGGTTCATCTTGCGCATTACGCCAATGTGCTCATCGCTATTCAGCAGCGAGTACTTGTCGTCCTTCATGCCGCCGCGACCGCCATGGGCGGCTTTGTACGTCTCGAGACTAGCGTTGGACAAGACGACAATCAGGCGTTTCGTGTCCTTATCGGCGGCTGCAATCGGCACATGCTGCTCGGCGACGAGCTGAGGCAGACTCGGTGGTGGAAGTGACTGGGTTTGTGTTCCTGAAGTGCTCGCGGGGAGCATCTGGTCAGCCATTCTGATGCACAATCCTTGTTGAAAGGCGTGATGCGGGTCGGAGTGAAGTGAACAGTAGTTGAAAAAGGATGCTGGTAATGGTTGTGCGCAACAACGGTGTGAGCGGTCTACAAATGGCGGTGCTGATGGGGATTTTGCAGTGTCGAGTAATGGGAGTGATGAGCAGCAAGTGATGCCGGCAACTCTTTTTGCAGCAGGAAGAAGTGGGTCGGTTGGCCGATGACCGACCGCCCGCCCGCCCATCAAAAGGGATTCGGCCAGTTTGGCGGGGTTGCTCAATTTCAAGCTAATAATTTCAAGCTAGAACTTTGAATTGCCCCGCCGCCAAAGGAAAATGCGTTTTTGCGAATGGTTCACAGGAAAGACATACGAGTGCGTTTGGTGTCCCGACCAGAGGAGGAACTTGGACGACGGCCCACCCATTCTTGATCCGCAGTGGAATCGAGCAACGACTGCTCTAGCGGAGAGCGTGGAGATCGACTGCCTCTCTCAGGCGAAGATGATGGTGGGGTATTTGTCGTGAGAATTCCGGGAGCCATGGTGTTTGATTCTGTCGTCGGGAATGGAGGGATGGTGCGTTTGGGCAAAGGTCGATTGGAGCGCGGCGGTCTCTGTGAAGCTCAGTAAACAGAGGTCAGGAAAGAAGAAGCTGCTTGATTCTGGCGCTTGTGGGCAATGCGAACAGGTCAAGACGGCGAGAGCACGACGGTGAGGAAATCTTTTCTTCTTTATACGTGGCGGCGAGTCTTGGTTAGTATTATCTTGTCGTCCGGGGTGTGTCCGATCAGGCGAAGCAAGGAACTGTCGTTCGGTGAAGAAGCGGTCTGGTCTGGTCTGGTCTGATCTGGATGAATCAATGATGATGATGGCGAGAGGAATCGTGAGTTGTTTGCAAAAGGGAGATGTAGGAAACATGAAGTAAAATAAAAGCATCGCATTGGGTCTCCATTTTAAAAAAACAAGCTCGCCTCCCGCGGGCATGTTTCTGCCTGTACCGCTCCACACACAAACAAATTGTCATGAAAACAACCATTGCTCCCGACTTCTCGCGAAAAAAATCTTGCTTCGTCGATCAGCCCTCCGTCTCGCAGCTCTGCGGAACAACCAGGACGATCTTGCTCGAATGAGATGGCACGTACATCTTGGACAGCGTCGTGTCTCCTCAGTGGATCACCAGTCAAACAACATCCCTCCCCCCAATGCACCGTCATCACCCGCGTGCTACTCGCCTACGTGCATAACACTTGGCCGAATACTGCCGAAGGCCAGCTGTGAGGATGAACGGATGGGGGAGCAAGCTACGAGGCTGTGCAGGAGGAAGCTGTGAAAAGTCCACTGTGACATAGAATATTCGGACTCCGAGGCCGAAACCCACCGTGATTGAAGATGTAGAATTGAGCAGCACCGCTTTCCTTTGCTGCACATCACATCAGTATCAGCTCATCATCGACAGGCGAATCGATGGTATTATCATCATTCTCCTACGACGAGCATCGAAAAACATCCCCCACGTCACGCGACGAAAACAACCCACAAACGATTTCCTAGTCCACCCTCATCCTAACCCCATCCACTATAGAAAACAAACACCACCTAGTCTACAACAAGCAGGTGTCCACATGGCGAGCTCCAACCGAGGGTCAACACACAACAGCATTTAATCAAAAAGTGCCTCAAAGACCTCACAAGTCCACATCCAATGAGCCAATGACGACTAAGAAGATGGCATAGCGGGCCAAACGCTCACCTCCTAGTTTCTCTCCACTCATGCATACCAGCGGCTGAACAACAAAAGAAAACAAGTCTCCACAACGCTCGCTCTCGTCTGGGGAACTGAAGAAAGAGAAGGGGGGGACATAATTGCCGACGGGAGCACACTACCCAGCTCAGACCTCACCTCAGTCATCATCATCATCGTTTGCCTGATCGAGGTGAAGCTGGGTGGAGTTTACATTTTAGTCGCTCAACGACTTCGCTATACACTTCCCACGGGAAATGATCTTGCGGAGTAACCTATCTGGCATTGAGAACTCATTGCACATGTACTGTGAACGGTTATGAATTGAGATGAGAAGCTCTTCGATCATATTCCTCACTTTACGTTTCCTCAAATTCCTTCGTCTTTCCAAGCTATCAACAGAATCCAAAAGTGCAAAAAGGAGGCAACGCACACACTCCTAACTCAAGCTACCTCAAATCAGATTCTGTACCTCCCAAACTCAAAAAGAACGCCATTCGAATGCTCCCAATTTTTTGTCGTAGTCTTCGTTGGCCCTAAATTGCGTCGTGTTGCGTTGCGGGCATTGTACTCATCATCTCCTATCCCCCACCTCGTGTATAAACCAATCCGAATGCGTGGTCTAGTCTATTCATTTCCCCTCACACGGCAATCGCGATAGTGAAAGGTTTGTTGTTGGCCTCCCTCTGATCAGTTGCTCGCCGGATCCCTTGTAGATTGTGCAACGAGTGGCAAGTACGCTGGATCTCTGTTTCATAAGTCCAAAATGCATAGAAAGTCATGCGTATGCTAGTCGCTCCAAGTCCATCAATCCGGAAAGCGGTGATCCATTACAATCATCCAGCAAGACAAGACCATTCCTCGCAGACCTTTCAGCCCGGTCACCTAAACTCGAGGCGAAAAGGCTTATAACTAGAATCCATAGCATGGCAATGAGGACACATACTCATCCTTCCTCGGCTCTGCTCCGAGATGATCGCGTTCGTACAGGGTCCGCACAATCCACTTATGCATCCCGTACACGCAAAAGCATCCTTCAGCATGCACATTCTTCGACACCCAGTGCAATATATCTGAACTGGGCTACTCCCGCCGCTCAATCCGCCGCCAGCGGCATTTGTGAACACGGGGGAGCTTTCAGTGTCAATGGAGGAAGGGTTCATAATTTGGAATTGGGAACCCGAGTCTGCAGAGTCGTGGTGTTGATGGGATAGGTTGCTGCTGAGACTGCTGTMCACGGATGGATAGGTTTGTAGATGATCCAATCCTGTTTCGTGGGCTGAGGGAGGTGTCAATGCTCGATTGAGTGGGGACGCCTGGAAGGAATTGTGGAATTGTGCTCCTAGGCCTCCAAAAGGTGGCGGTAGACTTGTGCGTGAGGTTGCTTGTGGTGAGAGATAAGGCGATGCCGGTATCTGTAAATGTGGGATGAGCTGCCATTGAGAATGTCGAGAGACGGCCTTGTCCTCGATTGGAGGGGAGGGATGGTATACTCACCGGCGTTAGATCACGAGATCCCTCCTCCTCAGTAGCACTGGCTGCGGCATCGATCAAGTCTTCCCACCGCTTACCGTAGAGGAAGGCGGGGTTGTTGCCCGGCTCAACACTGAGCGCCTTACGCTCGCCGCTTGAACGCTTCAGCATCTCTTTTGACTTTTTCCGTTCATGCTTTGATACTCGTGCTTGTTGTGTTAGACTGGACTTTCTAGGACGATTGTACTGCCCTCCGCCTCTCGACAGACTTCTCTGGAGAGGCGGTAGAGTGGTGGAGCGATCGTTGGGGGAACGCGCCAGACTGCTCGGCATCAGCCCGGGCATGTCTTGAGATGTGCTGGGGAATTGTGGCTGATCGTGCAAATATGTAGAGTCTTCGAGCTGGGGATCGACGTGGAAGGGATTCGGCTTGATGTCGTTTGCATCGCTGTAGTAGGTCTGCAGGAGATCGGCCTCAGTGATAGTCGGCGACATCTGCAAGGAAGGGTAGATCACCTGTCCCAATGCGTCTGCTCCTGCTCCCCAATCCGCATCACCTCCTCTATGCGAGTGTAATTGTGCCAGGGCAGCGGCAGCCGACGCAGCGGGGATCAGCGAGCCGCGACGATACTCATCCGACGACCGCTGTTGCTGGAACTGCATGTTGTTGAAGATCTGCGCCGCGTCTGTGTCATTGGCCGTGTAGTAGCCACCATCGTGTCCGCCAAGAGCATGATAGCCTTCATAGGATGAGCCGAGACCTGCGTCAAGGTTGAACGACGGTGACAGACCTGACGGGTCAGAGTGATGATGGGAGTGTTGCGGTTGCTGCTGCGGCTGCTGCTGGAGCTGCAACGAGTTCTCGGCGGGGCGAACTTCGTGRGGTGGTGTTGATATCATCAACTCGAAGCTCTCCTTGGTGGCCGGTAGCTTCGGAATGTAGTACTCGGGGTGGGCACGGCGAATATGCTCCTGCATGGAGCGGAAACGCTTCTCCTGTGCGGCGAGACATGGTCAATACTATTCTTGTGAATGAAGGAGATGTTTGGGGGTATGGTGGGTGCATATGAGTGGGGTCGGGAGTGAATGGTGGACAGCGAGAAGGCATGTTACACGACGAGGAGAGCAGACGAGAAGTGAACACTCACACCCAGACATCGCTTCCTGCAATTGGAGCCATCCTGATTGCGCAGCGGACAGACGACCTCTTGGTTGGCATCAGGCAGGCCAAAGGTGCTCTGAGCGCCCGAGGCGGCGGCGGAGGCGCGGGGCGGCATCTTTTGGTGCTTGAAAGGTAGGTATTTCAACCCCCGGCCCTGGGGCTCGCGCACAGCACAGCGGAGCTCGTGCTTCGTCAAGCAATGGGAATCGCTGGCTGGTCTGGCAGGCCTGTGGTAGCTGATGACCGAGCTCGAGCTGAGCTGTGTGGAAGCTGTCGCTGCTGGCTGCTCCTGCTTGCTGCTGCTCTGCTGGCGGCTGTTTGCTGGCTGAAGCTGAAGCTTGGAGCACCGCACAACTGATTCGCCGCGGCTTGTGAGTGGCGAGCGAGGGGACGTGGGAGCTGCCTGCGACAAGAGTGGGCAGCCAAAGAGGTCACAGCTTGCTCGAGGTTGTGCTGTGCTTGTCTCTGGAGGTGCTCGAGCGCCGTGGATTTCCAGCAACCGTGTTTTGGTGGGGAGAGATTCGATTACCTAGGCTGCGGGGTTTGGTCGGCAGAGGTTTCAATCTCGACACTGCTTCCTTGCATGTGCCTTTTTACGCTGGCTGTGTGTCTGGCGAGCTACCGCTGCGTCGAGAAACAATAATCTCTCTTCCGGGCGGACTGATGATGAGTATCGTGTCTGTGTGGGCGTGGGCGTGGGCGTGGGCAGGCAACCCCTCCCTCTCACCACGATCGATTGGGAGAGCGAAACACCACACCACGAGCGGGGCATGGGCGGATCAGCAGAATGGTCGCCCTAGATCCTGCACAAATTTGCTTGCTATTCCGTCCGATGCGGACTAGCACGAAATCATGTTTCGCTCGTCGGTCCCGCCGTTCTCAAACAGTTCTCAACCAGTCCATCGTTTGCTGCGCCTACCATGTTCTCGGCGACGGAACCGCCGAAGGTGTGATGATAGACAGGAGCACAATTTATTGCTCTCCATCACGCTCAACACGCACACATCACGCAGCACGGTCCATGACCATGGTGCCATTGTAGATGCCGACATGGGCATCCGCTTGGCAACTCGCGTTCACATTCCTGTGAAGAAAGCAGCACGCACGCCTTCACAGCGGCTCAGGGATTGGTTGGGCGCGATCGCATCTTTGACGGCGCCTAGGGATTTGCGAGATGCTGGTCCGTGGTCGAAGCGAGCCAACGTCTCAGCGAGATGACGATGATACTGTATCAACACTACAGGCGAATGCTATGAAGTGGAAGTCTTCATCAGGATGGTGAGCGGGAAAGTGCGACGAGATGGACAGTTGCAAGAGAACCTCAGACTGTGGCCAGCGATCCAGAACGGTTGGACATGTACAGTACTTGTCCAGCCTGCTGCTCAGCCTCACAACGATTCTCCCTCCACCTGCCGGTTTGCTTCCGCATCCGGCACGAGCTCGACTCGGCTTGCTTTCTGGGCGTGGCTGGGCTCAAGCTGGGCCAGTCTAGCCGAGTGATGCTGTGGATTTGATGCTTGTTTGCCGGGTGCAAACGACCGTTCGATACTCGCCTCGAATTGCCCTCACGAAGGATGGAGAGAGTAAAGACGTGCCTCTTTTCCGTTCGTTGCCATTCACATTCACGTCCACCGCCGCACCGTTGGCGTCGCACGCAGGATGACCACCTGTATCGCCTCCGGGCAGCAATCCGCCTTCACCACGATATCATGTTGACGTTGCCACGCGACGCTGCTCACGAGCATACATCTAATACGAAGTATATCCATCGGGAATCTGTGAGAATCCCTTTACAGTCGACAACATGTCCCTCACCGTGGACCAGCTCAACGCCGACAGCACATTTATCCTGACATTTGCGCCACCCTTTGCTCCTGCTACGAACAAAGATCATCTGAAGTTCCCTGGGACTTTTACCATACTCATTGATCCGTGGTTGAATGGCGAATCAATCATGTTCCATCCCAAGTTCGCCAGCACCAACCACACTGTGCGATCGAGCGTACAATCTCTAGCCGACGTTGCCTCCACTATAGACTTGATTGTTGTCAGTCAGGCCTTGTCAGATCACTGCCACAAAGCTACACTCTGCTCATTACCCCAGGATACCAACATTAAGATTGTTGCTACTCCAAAAGCCGCAGCGATCATCCAATCATGGAAGTATTTCCACAATCCGATTATCCATGTGATGAAGCCATACAGCAAAGACAAGGATGATACGGTCGTCCGCATAGCCATCGACCCCTACTCCTCCTCAAGTGCTCAAGGCGAAGTTACCATCGCCAACGTGGCTCAGAAACTTGACATTTCCGGCGTCCACAATGCCATTGGAATCACATATTGTCCTCCGGGCACTCTCCTAACAGCCGCCGATGGCAGCACCGTCAACCTCGCAGACATGACTATGATGACCAGCAACAAGAAAACATCCACTGTCAAGAAAGGTTCCAAACAACCTTCACCACTCTCGAATTCCATACATCGCAAGGACGCAACGACATCCAGCGCGCTTAAAAACGATCGGCCTAGCACGAGCTACTCGAACACCAACCGTCGCGCCAACTACGAGAAAGTTCTTTCGGTCATATACACTCCCCACGGCACTTCACGTTCCTCGCTTGGACCATATGTTGAACATCACCTTACACCTCTCCGCGCACTACCCATCACCGCACTATTCCACAGCATGAACACCGAGACGAATCCCTGGTACATGGGCGGTCGAATCTGTGATGGAGCTCCTAGGGCTGTTGGCATTGCCGAAGCCTTTGGAGCAAAATATTGGATCGGAGCGCACGATGAAGTCAAGGAGGTCAGTGGATATGGGACAAAGCTGGTGCAGAGTCGACCTTGTGGGATGGAGGAGGCGCGGGCCATGCTTGAGGATCGTGAAAATGGTGGAGAGACGGAGGTTGTTGTCTTGGGGAGCGGAGGACGAAGAAGATTTGAGGGGTGAAGACTCGAGGATGAAGACGAGGAAATCAACGCCAGGGCAAAGTAGCTCACCACAACTGGGAGGCCGTCATATTGACATGACGAGGTTATGTCAGCACGACATTGAGGAGCCCGTACGCGAGGTGGTCAGTCGCAAGAGGCATTGCCAAATCGTCACCAAGACGTGTAATGTCGACAGAAGATCACTGATCGATTCGAGGAGGTCTGCTCGAAGTAGAGACACATCGACACAGGGAGGATGTTGATGATGATGGTGATGATTGAAGGAGAGTTTCACAGATGAACAGCAGCAGTGACAGCACAGCGGTTGAACAGAAGCTGGGCATTGCGTGAAAGTGCAGCATTAAATAGCCATTGGAGAACCAGACTCCACGAGATACCCAAGACTATAATAAACATTACGCTGATCCAGCCCTCTAGTTCTGTATTCCAACTCCCCTCCATCAAATTCTTTTTAGAACCCAAAGATCCTCCCCGTCCCTTCCCCAACAACACTCCCCCTCTTAATCGGCTTTGCCGTACTCTCACTCGCGGCTTCAGACCTCCTGGAAGAAGTATGATGGTGCTTCCTATGACTTCTCCCACTCTCACTTCCTTTTCTCCCACTCTCACTCTCCTTCCTGCCACTTTCACTCTCCTTCTCCTTCCTCCCACTCTCACTCTCCCTCTCCTCACCATGCCGCCTCCTCCGCCTCCTCCTCCTCCCCTCAAAGTCCACGCAAGAAATACTATCCTCAGGCACCACCGTCCTCGTATCCCCTTCAAACCCATCACTTTCCTCCCCAGCCGTATTGAAGCCCTCCCAACTCTGCTCACTGTAATGAATCGGAGGCACGGCCTTTTCTTTCCCGCTGCTGCTGCGTCTGTGAGGGGACGAAGCAATAGAAGAAGCTGGTAGAGAAATTGCTGCGGGGAAATACGCTGCATTCTCAATTAAGAGACTGGGTGCTTTTTGCACTGCGGGAAGAGGGGAAGAAAGAGCGGAATCCCGACGGACGGGAGCGTGTAAGTTGGACCGCAGGGCGGTTTCGCTTTCTCGACGGGAGGAGCTGGTGGGGTTGTTGTTGGTTCGGCCCGTTTCGCTGTCTCGGGATGRGCGATGGTGGCGGTGTGAGGTAACGCTAACGCCGGAGTCGTTTCTGTGGTGTTTGGCGTCTTCTTCGTCGCCGCCGCCGCGACGGGAAGAGGTATGTGAGGKTGAGCGGAAAGGCTGCTTTTCGCGCTCTGGGTAGCTTTGGGAAATTGTGCTCTTAATTGGGTCTGGTTCTTCAATGAGGTATTGGAGTGGCTCATAGGACTTCTCCGCTGCTGCCGTTCTGCTGGAGCGTCTCTCGCTGCGGGCTTCGCTACGTCCTGTTTGGGAAGCTGGAGCGTAGACGTATTCGTCCTGGGTTCGACTTCTCGTCGGCATGGCTCGGAGGGAGTTGTGTCTCCCTAATGCTTCGAGGACCTCCTCGTCTTCACCATAATGACCTGTTGCTTCCAACATCCTCATCGCTTGAGTCGTCTGTGGTGCTGGGTAGCGTGTGCTAAAGGCCGATTCTGTGGTGCTGAAGTTTCGATGAGATTTGCGTGGTTCTCTAACACTTGGTGGTGCTGGTGCTGCTGGATAGGCGATGGGAGCTGCAGATCGAGCCACAGATTGGGCCTTGAGAGATGGTAATGGTGGCGCCACGGATCTGCTGTCTTCGAAAGTCTGTCGATGTTGGGATTTCGATCTTGGTTTGGTGGAATTCATGTAAGCAGCGTGAGCTGCTTCATCCTTTGCGTTTGCTCTTTCGGCTCGACTCATGGCGTACATCAAAGCGGCTCCAGCAGCAGCTCCGAGAGCGGTTCCCACTAATGTTCTTGATGGGAAACTTGATGGGAAGCTTGACGAGAAGCCGGTAGCTGCGGGCGCCGTTGAGGTTCTTGGGATGCCTTGGCTGGGGATTTCTGATTTGATCGATTTCGATGTTGTCGAAGCGAGGTCGAGTGCAGTCTGCATGGTTGACTTCGCACGGGACTTGCTTGAGGTCTGAGAACGCATAGAGTGTGCTACCGATTGAGCGTCATCCTCGACATCTTCTTCGACATCCTCAACATCTTCGGCATCTTCTCTGCTCTGTATAGCTCTCGCCTCTGACTGTGAAACAGCTTCCCCACAGCAATTACTATCGCCGTGGGGTGAACGAAAGATGAATTCAACGGTATTACCGTCCAAATCTTCTACTGCAGCGTTGAAGCACGTGCAATCTTGGTTCCGATAGTTGGGAGAACCGCTAGGGTGGCCGCCAGAGTTCAAGGCCGCTGTATAGCACTCACGAACCACACTGCGATCCTCTGCCAAGAAAGCGATGTGGTTGGGCGAGATTCGAACGCTGTAAGATGATGTTAGACATACACGTGGAACATCAAGTTAGATGCATACCCTATTGGTGCTTGCGTGAGGAAGAAGTCGGCAGAAACAACACCGAACCCGATGGAGTTGCCCTGATGTCCGATGAAACGGTATCCGAGTGGTTGTAAAGCCGCGAGGTAAAAGGACGTTGCGGATGGAATGTGGGATACAGTAAGTCCGAGGTGGGATACCGGCATCGTGGAGCAGTTGAATCGAAGATGGARACGACAACGAAGAACACAACTGGCAAAGTGCTCGACGGAAAATGAATAAGGTAAATGTGTTTGAATCGAAAGGTTTGTGTCTGACTCGCAAAGAAGGGCGACTGTTTCGAGATGGGAAGAGGAAAGAGATCTGCCCTATAGAAGCGGGAGACGTCTTCGGAGAGCCTACATGGCCGCATACAGGCCACCTCCGCGATCCTGTAGGGGATCGGTGGTCGGTGTAGAACTCATCGCGGGTATGATCGGGTGATGTGATGGCGAGCAACGTGTGAAGCCAGTCCATCACGGCTCTGGCTCAACGCTCGCGAGTTTGGAGGTTGGAAGCCTACTGCAAGGCCGCAAAGACCAGATGTGAAATTGAGACTGGCTAGCTTGTGAGGCACTYGTGCCTACTGGTTGCATACTGATCACACAGAGACTGCCACGTTCAAGTGCATGCAGCTAAAAGACGAACGGCGTTTGTGAGTGGGCGGGCCGGGCCAAATGTTGCAGGAGCCGCTCGCGTCTTCGCCAGGGTACGGTACTGATGAGGTGGTTGTTGTGGGTCCGGTAGGTGAATGCTGGTAGATGACTGTCATGCGTTGAGCGTGGGTGTGTCGTGGTTGGATGTCTTGTGGGAGATGGTGAGATGAAAGGAAGGTTGCATCTTCTTGGCTTGTGGCTTTTCAAGAAGCGACTGCCCGATGAAGCGCTGGAGTTCGAATCCACGGTCGTCGCATACCTTACTCGCCAAGATGTTCCCCTGCCGTCGTGTGTTGTTTGACGTGGGGCTTCAATGAACTGGCGGTGTCGAGATCAGAGGAAGCACCGAAGCCATTTTGCCGCCGTCTACCGCCGGCAGTCGGGTGCGTGTTACGAATGCATGCGCGAGCGTTCTGCTTTGCCTGTGGGCCACGTTATCTACAAGGTCCATCCAGGAGGCAATCCGTCAGAATGGACAGCACAGCATAAAGTATCGTGTCTGTGGTCAAGGTAGAAGGTGAGAAAGGGCAAGAAACGCCCGCCTTGCCCCGCGCCTGCCTCGGACCGCGCCTGCCGCGGGTTGTCTTGAGGTGGACGGGACCTTGATGAGCTGCTCTTCTACCAACAGTCTAGACAGCACATGACATCACACATCGATAATGAGTACTGTTACTATCAAAACTGGTCGCTGCTTGTGCGGCAAGATCAAGTATGAGCTGAAAGGCGACAGACACTGCAAATCCGTTGTATCAGACTGGTAAAATGTCAGATTTGGTTGGCTGGAACTCTGGACGACTTTGATACGTGGAGGCCCGATACCGAGCAGTGGGTTGATTTTCGTGCCGGCTTCCTGGAGAATGAATGTCAAATGTGTAGCCACGGAGAGAGTTTTTCAGCGAGCAGTGATAGATAGCCAAGCCGACAGAATAGGGTATCTTCTATACGGAATATCGTCAAGCTGCGAAGACGAATCCAGGATTCTCATCCCCAMGTGCGACAACCTCTTCTTCTGTCAAGCCTTGCTTGATGACATCTCGCTCTCCTTTCGCCCTCTTTACATTTTCTGTCTTGAAGTAGGCGTACATTCCCATATACAGTACTGCCGCAAGAGCAACCAATGCCAACGTTACTGCGTGTCCACGAATGTAACGCGGTCCTTCTTCAGTAGTGTACAGAAAGGGGGCCATAACGCCAGCCGCATTACCTATCGTCAGTTGGAGACCTGTTGCTGTTGTGCGTTTGCCATAGCCTGGAAGTTTGCATGTCAGATCTCGATTGGTGGAAGCTGTTCAATGAATGCACTTACGCGGGTTGTTGCTCGGCAGCCATGCGAGTGGAATCCCAACTGCAACGTACAGACCCATTGCAGCTAGGAAGCAACCTGCGAATTGCACTCCGGAGCTCACTGGGGAGATGAGCAGAATGTATCCCACTGCGGATATCGCTCCAAACAAAGCGGCGACAGGTCCTCGGATCTGCTTCCAGTCACTGTATCTTGCAGCTGACATGTAGCTGATCGCACCGAGAGCATAGATCGGAATGGTGAGGACCTGAATGATTGGTCTTGATGATCCTGGTCGAATTCCTTGGATGATGGTTGGGAGGAAAGTCGAGAAGCCGTAGAGCCTGGAATCGATGAGTATGAACAGGTGAATGAATCTTTTGGAACATCGATACTCACATGGTGTCCATGCCGAATTGTGCAGCACTAAAGACCCAAATCTTCCAATCCTTCAGACCTTTTCGGACATCTTTCCATTCGAAGACATCGGTCACTCCAGTTTGAGCCGCTCGTCTTGCAAGGACCATTTCTTTGTCTTCTTGGTTGAGGTAATAGGCGGTTTCTGGCTCATCTGCCAGAAGCCACAGGCAGGATATACCAAGAATGACTGTTGGAATCCCTTCGAGAATCATGATCCCTGACAGACATGACCAGTTAGTATACGATGGAGGGCCGTGTTTCAGCAATGCACTCACATCGCCACGCCCGTTCCCCAGCAATTCCATCCATGAATCCAATACCATACGCAAGAAGACCACCACAAGCTCCGGCCAACGCAGCTGAGACGAACAGATATCCCACTCGAAGAGCAAGTTCGTGCTTGGTATAGAAAAAGGTCAGGTAGATTGCACATCCTGGAAACAAGCCGCCTTCCAGAAGTCCAAGTATAAGTCTACAGACCAACAATCCGGCATAACTTTGTACAATACCAGTCATTGTTGCAACGATTCCCCAGGCAGTAGTGATGAATGCGATCCAACGGCTGGGTCGAACATATTTCTTGAGGATGAGGTTTGAGGGAAGCTCGCTCAGGAGATATGTGATGAAGAGTACAGAGACTGCGGTTTGGTATTGGTCGCCTTTCAACTTGAGATCCTCTTCCAAACCGTAGAGACGGGCGTTGCCGATGTTTACACTGCGTGACCGTTAGATGTTTTGTTGATGATTTTCTAGAACTGCTTGACTCACCGATCGAGGAAAGAAAGAAGATAGAGTAGCATCACCATTGGAATGATGTGCATGTCCAACTTTCGAACAAGCGTACGCTGTTTGGCTTGATCGATACCACCATGACCAGCTTCGACCTCGTAGCTTTTGGAGTCGGTAGGACTGTCCATGGACTTGTCTGGCATGGGCATTTCTGAGGCCATGTCGACAATGTGTTGGCTCGACGGATGTATGTGAGGAATACACAAGGAGAAGTTTGCTTCAAGCGCCTGTGTTTGTCATCTTTGTGCCGCCTTCATGGTTTGTGATAAGGTAGGCGATTGGAGTCTTGGACTTTTGCCATGTGTTGGACGGAAATTTAGCACCAAACGAAGAGTGGGGAAACTCAACGCCTGTCGATCAATCGGCCTATCAGCCAGCTTCACTGTTGTTGTAGTGATACTCTTAGGTCCTGGAAGGTGTACAGTCTCATGAAATCACCAATGTCGATCGAAAAGGCGTCAACAGCTCTGTACGGCTCTGGGTGGCTGTGTATAGCCCCGGACTATAGACCCCTTGCTATATGAGTTATGGAGACTTGCTGGGATGAGAACTACGGAAGAAACCAACGTGTCGGAGTGGTTAACGAGTCAGACTTGAACACCCTTCGAGCTATCTGATGCCTTCGGGCGCGCAAGTTCGAATCTTGTCGTTGGTGCCATGTTTTTGGTCGAGGGCGCAACGAYGCAATGGCCATATAGCCTCCCTTCCCTTTTTGCACTTCCAAGRGACTCAACTCCAAGTTGAATGTCTCGAATCCCCCAGCATGTGTGCTACTAGCGTAAGGAGTGAGATACATGTCAGCGCACAGCAATTTCTACATGGGACAAGTGTGTCAACTTTTTGCCTTTTTGGCCGGGCTTTGGGCTGGCAGACATGACGAGAGCTACGCAGACACTGTTCCGACTACCTACTCCTCCGAAAGTCTTTGTGCCAAAGTCTTCCAGGTTGCGATCAAATGCCTGAAGCTGAACATTCACTACAAAACGGCGCTAGTCAGAATTCGTCACTTCTCCTTCACACGAGGAAGGAACACGAGCTGGCGTGTAACGAAGATGCATGGTATCACAGCCTCCATCCCCTTCACAACGCTGTTGTAGAGATACCATCATATACCGAAGATGATGCGCCAAGCTATTTTTTACCTCTTCCAACTTTCATCCCAAGCCTGCCCCTCATTGACGCCAGTGAACTCTAACGCGACTTTCCCACATGGTCAAGCACCATCGCGATGAGCTGCATGCTATGCGCTGTTTAGAAGCAGCTACATAATGCCGCGTAGGTGACCGCTTGAACATCCCCTCGCGCTTGCCATGATTGCCACTCGACGGACATCAACACCTTGACTTCAGCGCATCCTCAATCTTCACCACGCCCATCCTGACGTACCTGCATGCGCTTTTTTTTTTAATGATACGGCGACCACCGAGATCTACACAACGCATCCCCCGACTCCCGACGAACGACTTTCCTCGAAGAACAGCGACGATTGAGCGATGGCGATGGCGATGGCGAAGAGGCGGATTCGCGCTCCCACGCCAGCGACGATGGCTCCACACACATTCGCCTGGAAATGCCCAGTAAACGACCCACACTTTCCCGACGCAACACCACCAAAGGAGGAACCAGTTCCAAGAGCATTGGTCAAGCGCTGCGGGCGGCGAGGGTGCGGGAGGAACAAGAGATGCTCCTGGGAGATGGAGAAGAGGCGGATGATGATGGGTGTTATCCTCCCCGACAGAATGACGAGCCTAGAATAAGGAATCCTCACAGTGAATTGCCCGTATACGCGACCACGCACAAGATTAGGAGATTGATCATGGCGAGTATCAGCGATCCATACAGCGACGATCAGTTGAAATCCCCCCGGATGAATGCTGCGGTTGTCCGGCCTTTGGTTGATCATCTCTTCGATCCGGATGATGTGTCGATCATCTTCTGTTTGCTTGTCAATCGCGTACAGTTCCTCCGAGAACAGTCGTATCAGGCACATCATCAGACTGTCAACATCACCCGAGCATCTCTTTGTGAGATTGTGGCAAGTCGCATATTACGCCGCTTTGATGAGTATCATGAAGGGAGAGATGGGTTGTTGAAACTGGCGAATGTGCTGGTAGCTGGATTCGAGCCATTCCAGAACGCTCCTATAGAAGTTGCAAGGGCTAATCTCACTGCGCTTCATTGGACCATTCGATGGCATCTTGCTCGCTCGGAGGGTCAACGAATGCTGACGGCATTGGAGGTGGCCATTGTATCGGAGAGCAAGAACTTTCTCAGTTCCTCAGCATGCCAAAAGATTGTGGAGAATGTCTACCGTGGGAGGATCATCTACACGCCAACATCATTCATCGACATCTTGCCGGATCATTACAAAGATCGAGGCATCACCCTTTACGACCCTCGAAGAGCACCTTTGCTGAATCAATACCGGCTGATCGTCCCACGAACAAGAAACATCATCGAAGGCTTCCAATTCGGCATCCTCCTCGTCCTCTACATCCTGACCATGACCACAAAGGCACGAACTGTCGGACCACATCACCTCCAGTTTACCAGCCTGGAATTGATCTTTGTTGTATACGCCGTCGGCTGGAATTTGGATGAGATAGCATCTATCCTCATGCACGGCTGRCAAGTCCATACCGAGAATCTGTGGTCGTTCCTCGACATTGCCTTTGTCTTCATCTTCTGGACGTACTTTGGGGTTCGAATCAACGGTTTGGCCACGGGAGACCTCGAGACTAGCAAGCTCGCCTGGGATATCCTCGCCCTCGCCGCACCTGTTCTCTTCCCTCGATTGGCATTCTGCTTGATGTCGGAGAATATGCTCTTCATCTCCCTCCGCGCTATGATGGCTGATTTCACCTTTCTCACCCTCCTGTCATGCTGGTGTTTCGGCGGCTTCATCATTGCAATGTGGTGGCTGAGCGAAGGACAAGATGGTTTCCTCAACCATACCATTCTCACCATCTCCAAGTGGATGCTATACATCTGGTTCGGGCTTGACGGGACAGGAATCCAGCGTTCTGTCGAAATGCACTGGTTTCTTGGGCCACTCTTGATGATAACCTTTGCATTTCTGGGAAATACCCTCTTCCTGACAATCCTCGTGGCAATGCTTTCCAACACATACAACAGTCTCTCCAAAAACGCCACCGCGGAGATTGAATTCCGAAGGGCGGTCCTCACCTTTGAAGGAGTCAAATCCGACGCCTTATTCGCCTACCGTCCACCCTTCAACGTCGCAGCGCTCGTAATTCTCCTCCCGTTGAAATTCGTCCTCACACCACGCTGGTTCCACAAAGTCAACATCACAGCCGTCCGGGTCCTCAACGCTCCCATCCTCTTATTGATATCCTGGTATGAAAGAAAATATCTCTGGAAACGCGCAACGTTCCTCTCACCGCCGAGAAAACACACATGGCTTTCGATGTGGGAGCGTTTTGGCGCGCATGGAGACTTGCAGGCTGTGTTTGACAGTGAGCCGCCGCAGAGTGTGTTGGATGAATTTGCGGATGTGGATGAGGTGTTGGATATGGAACTTGTGAATGGGTATGATGTTCAGACTGCGAGGGAGAGGAGGGGCAGTCGGAGCATGAGTGAGGCGAGTGGGATTTTCCATTCGAGGAGTAGGAGTATGCTGAATGGGATTGTTGGATTAAATGGGAATGGGAATGGATTTATGAGGGGGAGGGGAATGAGCATGAGGGGGGAGTACATGCCGGAGATGCCGGTGCCTGATGGGGATGTTGGTGGGGAGGCTTGATGTGTTTTGATGAGAGGAGATTGGGAGGGGAATTACCTTTAATGACGATGATCATGATTATGATGATGATTCTTTGAAGATGGGTAGATTATGCTGTAGAGAGAGATATCAATCAGGGCATAGAATGGCGATGTTCATCTCCTGCGTTGCACACTCTTTTTAAGCGAGTGATGTATCTGATTCGCGATGATTCTGGGCGATGGGATATCTGCCATTTGACATTACAGAGCTGTCGTCGATATGAGAAATCGTCAGAAAGAGCAGCGCCCTGAACTGCTCTCTCGGTCGATTATTAACGGGCTACTACTCTGCTAGTAGTAAGGATTCTATGTAGCAGGTCTAAATTCGTCTATCTAGCCTGCAGAGAGAGAGCGAGGCCTTTTGACATTATTGTGAGGATGACTGAGGAGGATGTCTTGTTCCAACGAACAATACTCATATCAACAGACAGCTCTGCTGGCATTTGAGCAGATTTGGGAAAGCACTTGCCAAAGAGGATGTACCTAGGACGACATTATCATTTCGTTCCCGACATCGACTTGAGTGGATGGGTTTGCCAGTCAACACACAACTCTTCGACTGGGAAGGGAACAGCTGTCTTTTCCTTCAATGTACTCATGATCAGGCTCGAATTTGCGGAATTTTCTTTCTTCACAAGTGTTGGTACTCATGATCGAAAGAGGAAAATGTAATAAGAGCCAGGGCGTGCATGTCTGCGGACCCTCTCTCTCTCCCTGGACCCATGGAAGTCATGGATCCAAAAACAAGCTGGAAAGTTTTTGCTGCTGCTTCTGATAGTCATCTGACCTTTGTGYCCTTAGTTCGGAAGTTTCTTGTGAACATGTGGGATAACTGAAAGCATCATAGTTGGAGAATGCTAACAACCTACGCCAGGAACTTACCACGTTTGCCCACGGGAGTGGACTACGTAACGGCTCACGTACCTGGAAGTTCTTCCAGGCAGGTTTTGACGAAAGTGTCCATAGGTGCAGGACAGATGACCAAGATCGTATCATCATCACGGTCCCTATTCTCCTACCCGATGGATGGTTGGTTTGAGTGATTGAAAGTCGGGAATATCTGAAGAGTCGACAGTGATCATCATGAACCCATTGAGCGCTGACCTTCCCATCAATGCTTCTCTTCCGTATTCCCCTGTTAGGAGGTCGCATCAGAAGCCAAGCTGTCGTAACTTCATAACCTCATAGTCAGTAGTCTCGTGCATCTCATAACGACATGAATTCGTCCATCTCAAAGCGGCAACCTCTTCCACCTTGTCGTACAAGAGCATATTCTCATACATCTCAAGGGACCCTCTCAACCATCTCTTTGAAGTGCCTCGGCCAACCCTACCTCTGCAACTCCGCACTCCTTCAAAAATTTGGCCGTATCAGCTTCCGACATKTCTTGCAGCTTTCCCTTCTGTAGCTGCAACAATACAGGTTCAGAAATGCATTGTCCCAGAGCCTCCAGAAAACCTCTCACGGTCTCTTCGAATTGCTTCATACTGTATTCCACCGCCAATCTCTCCAGTCGTCCAGCAAAATCTTCCCCTTCCACCTCCCTCATCAAAGCATCCAATCTCCGTTCTTTCCATCCTTCCCAACCCTCGACTTCCCTCTCAACCTCCTCATCTCTAAACATCGCATTCACCACTCCCTCTCCTTTCCGTTGCCACCCCCAAGCAAAGGCCTCATCAATGAATTCCGTGTTTGTTGCTCCGTATACGAAKAACTGCTCCAAACAAGCCTGTAACATCCACTCACTTGCCATCTTCATCCATTGATCATTGATCCCACCCGGGACGAGTTTGCCGCATACCACAGCGGAGAKATCCATGAACATCGGGAGGAGATCTACGAGGGACACACTCTGTTGTGACCCGTAGAATGAGGATGTGGTGAGACGGTTGAGAGAAGCTAGGACGGATGTTGTATTGGCGAGGAGGGCTGTTTGATCCGGGTGTGAGGACCTGGGGGATGTTATGAGAGGGTAGGGGAATGTGGGAGCCGCTGAAGATGCGATCCACTTTCTCGCGCGAGATATGTTTTGATCACGGAGGGCGATGAGAGAGGCAAGAGGTGGAGTGGTGGACTTTTGCTCGTAGCGGTTGGTTATCAGAGTCAAGAGTTGAAGGAGGAGTTGGCGGAAATGGAGTTCCGGGTCTGGGGAGTAAGTGGGATGGCGGTCGTTGAAGATGGAGAGGAAGTCGTCGACGCGGCGGATGGCCGAGTCGATTGAGTGGGGAGTGGACAGGCAGGTTTGGATGGCATCGTGGAGGAAGAAATCGAGAATCATGTGGTCTACCTCCAGACATGTCGCTTCATCAGCGGTGGAAGTGCGGATCGCCAGAGATCCATGCGCTTCTTGGGGAAGAGGATGGCGGGTCTGCGGGGGAGGGGTGGATGTCGCTGTTGACTCGGGAGGTTGTATGTCGAGATCGACGGCCATTTCTGTGTGCTTGTCCATTTGTATGGTCATCAGCGTCTCCGCACGCGTTTCAGGCCGCGTCTTGAGTGTGATGGAGCTTCGCCGTGCATGCTGAGGGTGTCACACTGCTGAGATTGAGTGGAAATGTTCTTCTAGACGAGGAAATGCATGAGGATGGAGGGAGGAACCATTCACAGTCAGATGATGGCATGTCTCGGCGGGGTACAGTAGTTCGACGTCGGCCCGCCGCTTGTCGATCCATCTCCTTCCGCCTCTTCCGTCATCCGGGCGGGTGTGCCTCGTGCCTTCCTTCCTTTTCGTGCGACTACCACAACGTCTCCACAATTGCATTGACCATTCATGCAGATTTGAGACGGTTACATTGACGTGTAGCATATACCCACTGCACATGCAAGACACGGCACGACACGTCAACACATCACACAGCAATCATGAGTCGCGTCTTCTGATGCTCCGACACTACTGACGCACCCCAGAAGCTTCAAAACACTGCACGCACTGCTCCGCCTTGTTGAGCGTCGTCAACAGCTCCACCATCTCTTTTCAATCTTCCATCTTCTACCCATCCCTCACCCTTTATACTCACAGCAAAACATACTTCCATCCACCACCTCACAACACTGTCCAATCCCACCATGTCCAACTACCGTAGCGTCGCCTATTTTGTCAATTGGGCCATCTACGGCCGCAACCACAACCCACAAGACCTTCCCGCTGATAGACTAACCCACATCCTCTATTCGTTCGCCAATGTCCGCCCTGAAAGTGGAGAAGTCTACCTGACAGACCCCTGGGCCGACACCGACAAACACTACCCGACAGATTCCTGGAATGATGTCGGAACAAACGTCTACGGCTGCGTCAAACAGCTCTACCTATTGAAGAAACAGCACCGAAACCTCAAGGTTCTACTATCCGTCGGCGGCTGGACGTATTCCTCCAACTTCCCCCTCCCAGCCTCCACGCCTGGTGGCCGCCAAACATTCGCCAACAGCTGTGTCCAGCTCCTCAAAGACCTCGGATTCGACGGAATAGACATCGACTGGGAATATCCCAAATCTTCAGCCGAGGCTTCCAATCTCGTCTCTCTCCTGCAAGCCGTTCGTCAAGCTCTTGATGCCTACTCTGCATCTTTGCCCAATCGGCCTCATTTCGAATTGACAATCGCCTCCCCTGCCGGTCCACAGAACTTTCCCTACTACAAGTTCCGCGAGATTGATCAATATCTCGACTTCTGGAACCTCATGGCTTATGACTATGCTGGAAGCTGGGATGCCAATGCTGGACATCAAGCGAATCTATTTCCTTCCCAGCAGAACCCCGCCAGCACGCCTTTCAGCACCGACGCTGCTGTGGGCCATTACATCTCACAGGGCGTTCCGGCAAATAAGATTGTCTTGGGTATGCCTTTATACGGACGAGCATTTCAAAACACCGCCGGACCGGGGAAGCCGTTCAGTGGAGTTGGGGAAGGAAGTTGGGAGAATGGAGTTTGGGATTACAAGGTAAGATGCTTCTTCTTCTCCATCTCTCTTCAACCCACACTGCAATGATGATACAAAAGAGCCTCCCGAAATCTGCACCATCAAATATGGGATGTGGATGTAAGAAGCCTCTCTTTCCTCGGGAAATTGACGGTTCCTGCATTCCCATCCCGCGGATGCCTGTCGACAATAAACTTGATCTAATCTGAGCAATCTTCTCCCTCACAGTCTCTTCCAAGATTCACAGCCACGAATACTCCCAACCCGAAGCCCTCTCACAACAAACTAATCAAAATTATTAAACAGGCTCTGCCCCGTCCCGCGAACGCTGGAGTGGAAATTGATCATCAAGCTGTGGCTTCTTACTCCTATGATCCTGCTACAAAAACTATGGTTTCGTACGATACACCTGAAGTAGCGGATGCGAAAGTCAGGTACATCCGGGAGAGAGGTTTGGGTGGTGGCATGTGGTGGGAGAGTAGTGCTGATAAACCATGTGGAGGAGGGAGCTTAATCGAGAGGGTCGTGAATGGGTTGGGTGGGTTGCAGGTAAAGGAGAATTGTTTGGGGTACCCGGGGAGTAAGTATGAGAACTTGAGAAAGGGGATGCCGTAAATTGGTTGATGGGCTGTTCATCTTGGTACGCTGGACGAACACTAGTAGAGAGTTGGGCTGTGGATATGTTTGCCTGTGTAATTTTGGAATGTCGATAATCCATCACCTGGTCACACTGCAGTTCTCTCCTTTCTGATGTCCAGAGAACACATATCGTTGTGATTGTGATGGCAATCAATCATTGATCTTTTGGTTAGTATGAGACCTGCCTCCTTCTTAGCAAATGAACATTAGGGTAAGGGTTGGGGTAGTGTACAGTGCTTTGGAAAACATGAGTTGAGAATTCAGAGACTAGATACATTGCATGCTGGATGTCAATGTGGCGTTTAAGACTGTATATAGCATATATTGTCCTCGTTGCTCTGCCAAATGATGAAGAATACCATTTCTCCTGAGAATTTGCCCAGCAGGAATTTCCCACTCAAAACTTACGACATGGAAAATATACGTGTTCAAGAGAGACTTTCGAATCTCACATACCACTTGCTTGGGGTCCCGTCGTTGCATCTGCAGTGTTATCCCGATGAGAGTCAGCGACAGTTTGATCAGGCAGTGTGATCAATGCAGTAACTCCAGGACATTTGACTCAAGATCAAGGAATAGGCCGGTGGTGACTTTGAAGAGCATCTAGTCTGCTCCCACCGTGATACAGGCAGTCGTTTGWTACAGCTCTTTTCACATTCCCTTGTCACGTCTCTCACTATTGATATTCTTCGGCGGGAGTGTCTCTCTTACGGGTCAGGGATGATATCACTCGTGTAAAAAAGCAACGCCAGTTTTCCCTGGAATCTGCTTGCTCTAGTCGCTACATCTGCAGTGTCCAAGCGCTGGAGGTAACAGCAAGAGCTCATTGCCATCGGTAAACACATAGCCTACCGAGCGGTCTGTTTACCACAAGTCGAGAGAGCGAGCGGGCGTATCTCATGACACTCCGCCTCCTCTCTCCTACGTTGAAAAGTATCATCTTAGCTCCTGGGCATACCACATCGTCCAGAGAGCACAGGTACGATCACTCGAGCTCTTCTTGATGGCAGTACACACGCCAAGAGGAATCCGACGAGCATAATGACGATGCCGAGATAGTCTGCCTCAGAAATCCCACAAGGACCAGGAGGCAGAGACAACAACAATGCCAAACCTTCCACCATCCAAAAAGGATCGGCCCACCGCCAGGGAACAGCGCTCGAGAATCAGAGTTCGTCAGAACGATATCTCAACATGTCTTGATTCCAAGAGCCGGACCCAAAAATCTCCTCTCCTTGGCGCAAAGCATCATGATGGGCCCATCCGTCAAATTAAGAAAATTAAGAAAGCGGCTGAGCTCTAGGATAGCTATCTTGACATGCTCTTGGAGCTCTTGGATCTTCCTACTTGCCTTGGATCTTGGCTCGTGTCGCCATCTCTTGGAAATGGGCCGTGTTCTTGTCTTGATCTTGGCTCATGGTTATGTTGCGTGAAAATCTGCTTGGAAAAGGCTTGGAGATGTGTCCACCTCCGCCGCCAAGAGCACACGCCGCCGCTGCCAACGACGACAATGATGCAAGGTATCGCAAATCATGATCACTAATCAAAAAGCGGCGGTGTAAAGCGAGGTGATATTGTGCTCGCACGATCCCGAAGACCTGCTTCGCTCTTGGCAACCGCCTTCAGAATCGTGCAATCGATGGCCAGAAATGAATCGGGGGAGAGAGAGGAGAGAGCACGACAATCTCGCTGGTCTTGGCACCAGTAAAGCACCACCTCCTCTTTCATTTCCCCCTTCGTATTCCTTCGGAGCTTGCAAAAGGTTATGCCAAGCCCTAAACTCACAATGCTGTTGAGATGAGAAGATGAATGAGAACACGACATGTGAGACTGCAGGACCATGCAATCCATCTCAGCCCAATCAATCTCTTCACCTCCCCGGCAGATTCTCATCATCGCTCCCTCGACAGAAAAGCCTCAACTCAAGCCATGTCCCTAATGGACCCTTGGATAAGTACCTCACTAGTCGACTTTTTCGCAAAACGCTCTTCCCCTTGCCTCCCTCTCTTTAACAAGTTGCCGCTAAGCTCACCCGTGATGATGAGACTTTTCTGGCCACGCGGCAAGCGTGCAGCAGCGTACAGGGATGCTGGGCTTCAGCAGCTGGTCTTTTGCCAAGGTCTTGTGAACAGGAGAAAATCTGGGGGAAGTGCAGTGAAGATCCCCAATTGGCGAGGCGCAGGCGAGAGGAGAGGAGGATTGCGCAGTTGCTGGTCCATCCATTCCGTCATTCATCCATCCCTTCACTCATCCAGCGTAGCATTTCAGTGTCTTTTTCGGGGACTTTGGACAAGAGACTCCTCCGTCATTTTTCTGAGACCACGATGCAACCCTCAATGTACTCATCACAAGTACCTCGCCAGGGAACATGGGAGAAGAAGGTTCCCTCATCCCCAACTCTCTCTCAAACAAAATTCACCGCACCGCGTGGCTACCCTGCTCGGTGTCTCACTCCACCAAACAGTACTTAAGACGACGATCATTAAAAATAAAGACACCGCATCTGAAAGTCCCGACGCCAAAAGGTTGGTCGCTGTTGCTCAACCGGACCGTCTCCTTCGAACAGGGCTGTTCCCTGCCTAGACCTCGGTCAGGAATCCGCGGGAGCGATGTCCATAGCGCCATAATTAGGGCTCATTGAGAGTAGTGATGGACCGATGGTAAGTGTGGTGCCCTACTTTGCGTGGCCATACACAATAGGCTTCTCCATAGGCATCTCGCAAGCGCTTTCCTAATCCTTCACTGGGGTGAGGTGCACGCGCACGTGGGAACGAAATGTATCCGAGGGCGATCATTTGTTTCGGTATGCGGGATTGAAGTAGCCGGATGTTGGATTGAATGTAGCATTGACCACGCGAAAGACGTGCGTGAAGCAGGACTGTGCGCGGGTCTTTTCTTGCTCCATGACGATGATCTTCTCTGCGTCATGCACTGGATATGAGTCGACTTGAATCGTTCCCCCGCGACGGGTTTGGCTGTATTCGTGGTCGACAGTGGCTATGGGTAGCATGTTCGCTTGAGTGATGGCGCTAAGGACGGGTATGTTGTTAGCGATATCACTCTTGCAGGGCTCTACAGGGATCGCCAGGCAGGCAGAGTATTTGGGCGCGCGTGGTTGAAGCAAGGTTCAACGCTATTGATCGTGATGGCGGTGTGCTCGGTCCTTGTCACCTCAACGATTGTTGATGAATAGATCAGTAATGCAATGCTCATGCGGGTAGCATAGCTCTCGTTTTGCAACCTTGGAAGAAGTCATCGACGATGGTCTAGAATGTGCTCGTACACATTACATGTTGTATGTTGCAATGGTTGGCAATGCAATGCTTTCTCCCCGGCTCTAGCTTTCGACGTTTGTGGGGTAGGTTGATTTTTAGACGTGACAGCCAGCAGCGTGTTTTGGACGTGCAGGGGTCGGCCTGCGTGTTCGCCTTGTCAATCTGGACTCTATTTTCAACAGAGACGATTCCGGCATAGCGAACCTCGAATGTCGCTGAGTGTTCGTCTTGAGTTCCACCACCGGTTTGGTGTCTCGTCGCTGCGAGGAGAAGAATTGAGCAATCGATCTTGCCAGCTCTTCGATCACAGCGCAACTGCGGGGGACTCCCCGGGTTCGACCTTCCACAAAGTGCAAGGCTCTTGATCTTCGGAGCGAACGACTTCACAGTTACAGCCCCTGAGCGGCACCGGGCCGATGGGCTGGATGGGTATCCTGATGAAGTGCAGGTGGTCCCGACTCCCTRGCGGCCATCAGGATTCAGCACGTTTTTGCAACAGATCTGAAACGCACCGGGCGGCTTTCATCGTAGATTGAAACATGGAAACGTGGGAATGTCGTGATACTCGCTCAGGATTAGATCTGTCAATTCGGCAAGTGTTTCTCGCTGGACCTTGCTCTTCTTGATGGAAATAGACGATGTGAGGGACGTTCGATCCAACATGCGATGTCTCGGTGTGACCAGAGGGGAACAACGTCAACTTGGAAGTGAGACGGCTGTTCTACACTTTGTCCCTACAAAGTGCACACCCCTACCCAGGAGTTGGACTTGGTGGACAATCGCGCTGGAGCTATGGCCTGCTTGCAATAGTATTGCGTAACTCGTGCTCTCACCCTCAACAGAGGACGGTGAACACAGCCAGAATGTCTCATAGACGAGTTCCAGCCATGATAGCACTGCCACGCTCGCACGTATAGCTCAGCCTTTGTTCTCCGCACGGGCGCAAGAGGGTGCACGGTCTATACATGAAACCATGTCGTGCATCGAGCAAGTATGGTCTTCGCGGCGAAGCTCTTGACCGAGAGATGCATTCTCATTCGACCGTGTGTGTGCTGTGGACTGCGATCACAACTTGGCGTTAGTCGAAGTACTGTTGTACCGCATGGGCTTCTAGGCTAAGCAAACTCTCGAGGACTCGAAATCTCGGGCTGCGTGGAGACCGGATTGCGAGAACCTCAATCGTCTGGCGGCCATTGCTGCCACGCATGTTGGTGATCACACAGGATCGCGAAGCTAAACAGCACGCTCAACCGCGGCAGTCCTCAGGATCGGTGTTCCGAGATCACTATACAGTACATGAGATGGTCGAGCCACTTCGTTTGGAGTACGAGTAATGAACCGCGTTTGTTGAGCTTGGGTCTAGATGATGGAGAGCTGCACGATTGGTTCAAATGTCGTTGGGATCCGGTGTCTTTGGTCGGTGAATTTCACGTCGCCAGATTCCACAGCAGAGATTAGAGGTGATGCCGTAAATAGTGCAGAATTCCGGAGAATTTCAAGAGTCTCATCAATTACTGGAGGGCAGTCCACACTCTCATCAAGACAGATGTCAAGCCCCGGCATGGAAGTCGGTAGGTAGGGCGGTGCTCCGGTAGGGGTCGCCCTGAGCTGCCTTAATAGCCCGCGAGATTTAGTACTGGCGCTTGTCCCATCAAGACAGGTCTAAAGCGGCACTTGCGAAGCTGCATCCCGGCAGCTGCACGAACCTCTGGCCAGTCAAAGAGCAGCTAGAGTCTCGGGTGCAGGGTGGCAGACAGAGCGTCGAGTGCAGGGTGCTGCGCAGTTGATCAACGTCAGCAGGGCCCGCGAAACGTCAACACATGGCGCCCAGGAGATAGCGAGACATGGCAACCTGAGACCAGACGTGCGGCCCGCTTGGTAGTGATGGGATTGGCAGCACTACCCGCTCTTTGCATCGGTTGGCATCGGGGAGCAAATCAAACGTGACCATGGCGATGGGCAGGGAAGAGATGAGGAGATGGTGACGAGAGAGGGAGGTGAGGTCTGACTGAGCGAGGCTGCAGACGGTGTAAGGGACGCGCGCGGGGACGAACCGCGAGCGTATCGCAGGTGGTGTGGATATCAGCGCATAACTAACTTGACCGTGGCAAGCACGCATTTGAGAATGTCCGAACGTCCGTTGAAAATCTGCGGTACCTTAACTACTGCGTGGCATGGACTGTCCTCATTCGGTTGTTCGGGTCGTCCTGCCCTCCGGTGCTCGGAATTTCACTTTTCGCCCTCTCAAACCAAGTGCACGCTTTTTCTGTCAGCAGGGTGGCTAGCGAAACCCTTTCGCCCTCGCTGCATGCATGATGCTGGCTCATTTCTGCGGTACAGGTGGACCGCTTGCTTTGCGCTAGCGACCCAAGAGCCGTGATCGCTCTTGTCGACATTGCGTCGACGGCACGATGGCAGATGAAGCTCCGTGCACCCTGAGCATGAGGCCGTACGCACAACCACTGCTGGGTATGCTGCTGGGATGGCCCGACCAGCGTATCAACAGCAGCCATGCGCCGAGACTCCGCGGACAGCACCATGGTCTATAACAGTTCGAGCACCTCGTCCATGGACCAGCCGCCCTCTGCCTTGCCATTTCCACTTCCCGAATTGATCTTGTCAGCACATTGAATGTCAAGACACTTTCCCTCCCCACTATCAACCACTCACTGTATCTTGAGAGAGATATCCCCAACCAACCATCATCAACTACTGTATCAAGAGAGAGAAGTCCACGATCAACCACTGTATCTGCCAAGAGCGATATCCGGAAGCACGAAAGCAATACCAGGAAGCTACCCACCGCGCGACTTTCCAACGACCGTGAAGCGCAGCTTCCTTTGAATACCCCGTCATGATGGCCTCCCATCGTAACCAGCTCTACTGTCTCAACTTCAACGATCTCAACTACAACGACATCGATCGCAAAGATTTTTACCCCAAAAATATCACTCACACCACTCTATCGTACCATTCGCATACCTTGGGACCAAGAACGCACTCGCCCATCAACAACATGGCGCCCCCCAAACGCCCTTCCTCGCAAGCCTCGAGCAAGGACGGTGGTCGTAAGCGCGTCTGCAAGGCCTGCGATCGTTGTAGAATGAAGAAGAGCAAATGCGACGGCGCAAGCCCATGCTCGAGATGCAAGTCAGACAACTCTGTGTGCGAGTTCGGGTATGTTGCGAAGATTGATGCGAATGCGAGATCATAGACTGACTGTGCTTTAGCGAGCGAAAGAGAAGCAGCGACAAGGTGTACCCTAAGGGTTACGTTGAGATGCTCGAGCGCCAACACGAACGAATGATCGCTGGCTTCCAGGAGATCAAGAGGAGAGCGCAAGCTGGCACACCATGGACCGGCGAAGGACTGGAATTGACCCACGACATCCTCAAGGACCTTGGTGTACTGGTGACTAAGAATGGCGAAGTCGAAGATTTCCAGGAAGATTTCCAGAAAATGCAAGATGGTCTTCTTGAGCAAGGCGCTGGCTACACTGCAACAAGACGTGAAAGTACCGGCTCGAGATCTGAGCACAGCGAGCCCACACCGCCGTCGGACACCATCGCGACGCCACCAAACGAGAGCAACTCCGCGTTCAACTATCTCATTGCTGAGACCAACCCATTTCGAGGGTCAAGAGAGCCGGCTGCAGAATCGGCACTCGGCACCTTCGCACATCTGAACCGCGATCCATCCAATTCATACGGTGCGGCCCTTATGGAGAACGACTCAAATCCTCAAACAGCCTTGCCTTTTGTTGCAGGGACCCATGATCCCGACCAGACCCACATCGACTTCCCGATGGCCTCGACACAGGAATTGGGCGAGTTTGAGATGAACACATTCGACTTTGGCAATCCCATGCCGCCGGGTCCATCATACACGCTGAACTATTTTGAAGAGTGGTGCGCCAACGAAAGGATCCAAGGACGATGATTAATATTTAGCATGGCGTTCATTGATCGGGGGAGGGGGTCATCACTCACGAGTGATTGATTAGGATTGGGATATATAAGGTACTTCCTTCTTTGCTAGCGCGAATCAAATCATCTCTTCTTGCTCATCTTGGATTACGCTCTCTACTCTCAGCTATGATTGCATGGTGCCGTGTAGGCTTGTCGTCATGCTCCGAAAAGGAGGCGTCGAGGGAGTCGCTACAGCAGACTTGGTACGTCCCCAGCAGTAATGCCAATTTCGATGGTGCGTTCCTCATCTCCATCTGCGGCTTTGAAGAGATGATGGTCCATCACATGCTGTAGCGGAGATGGAAATCGTCCAGAATCGTCTGACTTTCATCTCGCTTTTGTGCTCTTATCTCTGATGAGATAAATGGGGTGGTGTGAAGCCGAATGTCCTCTTCAGGAGATGCGAAGTTGGCGGGATACCTCACGATGCGTACATCAGGGCTTGTTCCGTCGCTCTTTATGCCGTCCACCTCCAGCTAGGCTCCGAGAAAGCTGTAACTTTAGTTGTAGTATTGAATAAATGAGGCAGCCCGAACCCTCGAGGGCTCATCGGAGACGCCGTCGCTTTCGCAATGTCAATGTGGTCATTGTGATCGTGAGGTGAAGACGCGCGAAGACGCGACCGGGGATGACGCCAAGCGCGGGGACGACAACACGCAGGACAACACGTCCATCACTCAACCCTCGCACATCGAATGGAAAGGATCCATGACGAGCTCCAGACGGCCATGCAGAAGATGACTTTCGGACACGACTTTACTTTTGTTGCTTCCGCAAGAGATGGCATTAGGCTCAATTGCTCTCGACAATAATCATGCGTGGTATAGGCTAAATGCCCCTCATCGCGGCTCCACCACAGACAGAGATCTAGCAACGCGCTGAAGAATCCACAAAGGCGTCTCTCATTCAATTGACATTCACTTCACTTCGGCATCACCACTCTCCACTTCCTCACTAAACATCAGCACATCAAACATACATCAACACCATCATGGCGTCAGGCAAGTTCTCCGATGCCTTCACATTCCTCCCACAGGGCGGCATCATTCAGGAATTCAGAGTCGGCGGCCGTAATATAGTGCTGGGCTTCCCATCAGCAGCGTCGTACAAGACCGAGGCCAGCCCGTTCTTCGGCGAGAATATTGGCAGAGTAGCGAACAGGTGAGTGATCCTCGCGGAAGCTAGTAGGTAGGTAGAGATGTGCTTGGGCTGATCTCCAGTGCCTTAGAATATCCGGAGCGAAGATCAATAGCTTGAACGGGAAAAGCTATCAGCTTACTGCCAATAATGGCCCGAACACATTACACGGAGGACCGCAGGGATGGGGAAAGAAGGACTTCGAGGGCCCGACACCGACTCAACGCAACGGTCGTGATGCTGTGTTGTTCAAGTACGTCAGCAAGGATGGAGAGGAAGGATTTCCTGGGACGGTGGAGATGAGAGTGTGGTATACCCCTTCGCTTGAACAAGATGAAGGCATTGAAAAGACAAGCTTGGAGATTGAGTACGAAGCCGAGTTGATCGGCGATGAGGTGGAAGAGACAGTTGTCAGCTTGACAAACCACAGGTATGCAGTGTGCGTGAGGAATATTGCATGACAGCGCTGACCAAGATTGCAGCTACTTCAATATCTCTGATGGACCTACCATTGAGGGCACGAAGGCGCGCGTGCACACCAACCTGCACATGGTCACAGACGACGTCGACATTCCCACCGGTGCGATTGAGCCATACCCAGGCATTCCACTCAACGAGGAGTTTGTGCTTGGTGCAAAAGAGCCCAATCCAGATCACTGCTTCGTGATGAACCCCAACGCTGCGAGCATTCCATTGGACACCCGCACAGAGCCGATGAAGAAGCTGATTGAGCTGTCTCACCCAAACACTAACATCCACTTTGAGGCTCTTAGCACAGAGCCTGCATTCCAATTCTACGCTGGCCGCTTCATCGATGTACCTGCAATGGACGGACAACCTGCTCGAGGTGCCCGAAGCGGTCTCTGCATCGAGGCAAGTCGTTACGTCAACGCCGTCAACCACGATCCATGGAAGCACATGGTGCTGCTCAAGAAAGGCCAACTGTGGGGAAGCCGTACGATCTACCGGGCGTGGGTTGCGTAAGATGAAGTTGGGTAAGATGAAGTGAGCCTCGGAACTTGCCTTTAAGGTACACTTCAAGAAATCCATGGCTGCCCTAGCTCGCCCGAAGAACATTTCTTTTGCGGGTCGATGCGAGCATTGACTTGAACAAGCTTGGAAGCAGAAGATCGTGGCTACCTAGTGTTGGCAGATAGTGCTTTGATGGCTTGAATGGTATCAACTCTACCACACGTTGATTTGTGTTCAATGACAAGCTTGTGAATTGGCAGCTCAAGGTTGTTTTAGGTAATGCTTAAGGCGCATTGGCAATGTCCTTGAACGCCATATTGCACGTATCGAAACCCACAGTTCCAGCGATGACGATCTTCCGAGAAGAGARCATGACGAACCGATTCGGCACATGATATTGTGCAGCCGACAAGATGGAAGAATGAATCACTCAAGCTCCGCGCCCGGCATACGACACTTGTTCGAAAAAACAAACCCGTCACATGTTGCTTTCACTGACAGAACGGTGGATCGGGCTCAACAACCGGCGATGGTGGTGGGGCCTGCAGATCCAGGCCTTGCCACGTGGGTGGAGTTCAGCAAAATGTGGTAACAGGAACGGATGACGAAATGATGCACAGAAATAATTTCGCCATACCACTTGCGCCGAATGAGGGCGCGAAGTCCATTCTGCATTCGAGAATGGGCTTCCAAGAACGCCTCTCGAAATGCCACAACTGTCGCGGCACGGAACGCCTTCGGTGAGTCTGCTTGCAAGCAGAAGTTCGCAAAACTTCGTCTTCCTCAGCCAAATTTTCAGCAACCCTGTTCCCCAAGGGCATATCGATCTTCAGGCAGGGATTGAGAGTCTTCGTACCCACATCGATTCACATCGGAAGATGGTCTGTAATGTTCGGTGCTTGTGTGTCTGTGAAGACCGAGAAACTTCAGCTGTTCGTCTCGCCCAAGGTTAGCTCAAAATGTGTCACATCTGTAGGTGCATGAGAGCTGCAAGTAGAACTGCAGCCGTTGTTCTATGCCCAAAACATGACGTGCGGAGGAGTCCTCCGCGGCGGCGGCGGAGTTCCGTTTGAGAAGGGTGCCGTGCACATCTTGCATAAATCGCTCAGCATCCAACGGCGAAYGGGTTTAACGGCCACAGCCACCACGAGTCCGAACCCACGCGAAGGGCCCACGCACGCTCGATTCGTCCGGCTCGTTCRCTGCCGTGCCGTCCGTTGATCACCTCGTCGTCGATCTCGGAGGCCAGAGGCATGGGCAAGTCAAACCGATGCACATTGAAGCATCTCGGACCTTGTGGATTCGGCCACGATAGCGCGCAACCGGTCAGCGCAAGTGGCGTCGCGAGAGAGGAAGAGCTTGTGTGTATTGGCGTAGCTCGTCATCTCGCCGCCATCATCTCGATGTGGTGAGTAATGCGTGTCGTTATGCTTGGTTATGATGCTGCCGGTGTCAATATCTTGACATTTACGACACCTACGCGTCCTCTTTTCTCTAGTTGCACCCGCTGGTTGTTTATAGGCAGCCTCGAGACAAGCCGGTGATGACCATCTCATCCAGCTGCACGAATTCGACGGTCTTCCGGCGGTCTGCCGCCAAAAGCTCCACATGGGTGACGGATTTTTCCAAGGGCATGCGTTGCGAAACCGAAACCGAGGGCATTGAGACGATGGAACCTTTGGATCGCTGTCCAAGAAGGAGGCATCTACTCCATCTTCCATTATGGTGCGATCTCGGATGCGGTCTCGGACTCTGCGCGAGGCAGCGACGTTGATTGTGTTCAAGGAAGTTCTTGTCGCAGAAGACCTCTTGGCATGAAGCAAGAAGGTTCGACTATMCGAAGCCTGTTCAAACAGCAGCAACGACGACCAAACACGTTCTTTCATCACGAAATGAGGCAGGGAAGGTGGGGACAGTTCAATGTGCTTGTCAAGCTCAATTTCAAAATACTTTCATGGTATCATAGGTAAGGTGGGTGCTGTTGCCCAATCATATCGCTTTTCCATCATTCCATCTCCATCACGCTCCCCAAAGTAGCAGAGCCCATGCCGCGATCATCGAGACGTCCGAAGGTCAGAGGTGATTGCAGGTTGAGAAGATGTGTCGATGGTGTGAGATGTCATGAGAGACATCTATTTTCCGAGGCCGACGGCGTCCTTGGCCTTGTCCATCATGCCTGGCTCGCCCTTGGCTTCATCCTTGGTGCGGGAAGCCTTGTCGCCGAGGGACTGACCGGTAGACTTGTGGCCTGGAGGAAGGTCAGWGGGAAGCAATGATGAGAAGAAGTTGGAAGGAACGTACTGTCTGGAACGGCGTCACGGCCGGCCTTGTCGGCAATGCCGCTGACGGTCTCGCCAGCCTTGTCGAGGGTGGACTTGCTGGAGTCTGGGGTAGCCTTGTGAGCGACCTCTGTGATGAAGAGTTAGCAGACTCTCAAGACGGCAGCAATGATGTGACATACTGTCGGACAGATCCTGGCGGCCGTGGTCAGACATGTTGGCTGATGTGTTGGTGGTGGTTGATTGTTGGTGGTGGTGTTGTGTGGTTGAGTTGTTGGATATTGGTTGGGTGGAAGTGTGAGTCGATGTTGTTGTTTGGGTCTAAAGAGAATGGAAGAGAAGACGTCTTAAGTAGACAGCGGCTCACGAGCACTTGCTTGTCGTGCACCATGTGCTTGCTGTCGCTGTCGCCTGAAGTTACGCGCAAAGTACGTCATCTCGAAGACAAGGAGAAGGAGCAAACTGGTGATTCAGGCAAGCCCCACCTCATGATCATTATGATCTTGATTGCTTCATGCAACGACGCTGGGTCTCTCAATGATGGAAGCGACGATACGGGAATTTGCCTCTGCGTTTCCATTGAACATGAACAATGTTCAAACTCCAGCGACCTATCGGTTCGAACCAGTCGTTGACAGTTTCTGCCTCGCAGTTTCCCCTCTCTCTCTCGATCTGTAGTGCAATGTAAGCATCTTCGTGCACATGCAGTGGGCCAATGACGACCCGAGCGACAGGGATCATGCAAGGATCTTTCATGATCTTTCATGCCATGATGAGTCGCTCCACTGTTATTCTGAGACTGCCTCAGTGATGCAACATGTGAAGTTGCATACAGTCAAGTGATCCGCCTCGATACTGCCGAATCTTCGGACAATCAGGTTTTGTGGATCTGAGCGTTCGTCACCAGCCTCACAGAATGACGAAACGCCGCAAGTGACATGACGCCTCATCGTGAGATGCGAAGACGATTGAATTGGGCCATGATAGTCGAGACTGACGACAACTATGAGAGTCGTGCCTCTCAACATACGGTTTCCCAACGTATCGAAGTGGAGAGAGGACCAATGTTCTCTGCATGTTCGGCTCCCCTCCATTGGTTGCGGACCTTGCTATGCCTTGATACTTTAGAGATTTCGTCCCACTCCGAGATGTCGAGATGCGTATTACCTGTGAGTCTCAGGTGTTTTCCGCGTGTTCTCGCTCTTGCAATCGGTGAATTCTGGGTCCATCGACATTGAAGGACGAGAAGTCGAGAGTCGCTCATTCGCGCCGTCGATCAAGTGAAGCCGCTGTGCAATGATCACAACGAGGGTTTGCTAAGTCTGCAGCAACATGTCTGGGACTGCTCACAGCATGCTTCGGCCAACGTTCCTGGGAGTTTCACGGACCTCTGCTTCACGGCATACAAGGCACTACATTGTTGTCCCGGTAGCACAACTACTCGCACACGGGAGCACCAGGACCGCTCAAACAGGTTTGGAATCGGAGGATGTGGAACACTGTGCAGTGGCCATGGCGCTGTGAGCGACGCACTCCCGAGAACATCGGTCCAGTCCAGTGTGGTGTCAATGCGGCGTTGTATACTCCGTACAGCTTCAACACATCCGCACGAAAGGCCGGTGTCCCGTATCGTGCAGACGAAGCATCCTCACTTCGTCGTTGAACCCGAGAGGTCGATCGCATCGAATATGTTAAATAGCGGCTGAGCCAGTCTTGATACTTGCTTGTCATAAATCAGGCTTCGCTCTTGTGGTGTGATTTCATTCGTGTAGCGCATTGCGTTCATCGCATCATGTCTCGATCATCAGCAGTAACCTAGGCCTTGCCGTTGGCTCCCTGCCCGTCGACCCAGTCCCTCCACTCCCTCCATTCCTGGTATTGCAGACCGACCTGCTTGCCCTCATATGTAATCAGTTCACCATTTCCCTCCCGCCAGGTTTTCTGCCACGAGCTGCTGCTTCCATTCCAGCCACCCTTCCTCATGAGCGATATCAGCGTCTCCTCTTTTGTCCAGCCTTGCTCTGGCGCCACGTCAGGCAAGTAAGTTGCGCCGTAACGTCTTCCTTTGTGGTTGAATGAGATCCGAATGCCGTGCTTTCCGAGGGTCCAGTCGAGAGGTTCTTTCGAAGGTGTGGAGAAGTTCGTCAGTAAGGTAACATGAACACTAAGAGAAGGGATAAGGGAAGATGGAATGGGCGAGAAGCGAACATCCTCGAGTGCGCTGTTCGAGAAGTTGTGTTAGAAGCTGTGGTAGGCGATGTGTCGACAGCCACAGGAATTGGATCAATACCTTGTCAATGCGTACGAACGCAGCCCGTACTCGAGCTCTTGCGCCTCAAAAGTACCGATGCAACCTCGCAGGTTCTTCTGCCCGCTCCGAGTGACGGTGTTCCACGTGACAAACAGAGGATACTCTTGTAGCGAGGCACGAGAGCTCGTGGAGCTTGCGGGGGTCGCAGCACCTGATGCAGCCTTACTACTCTGTGTTGACGAGGATGTGTTCGTCGATGGCAAGCTACTATCGGACGACATGGCGGATTGGGCGGGCTCTCTGTTGAGGAGTCTCGAGATGGCGGCTGGTCGAGCGCTCGAGCTTTCCTCTTCATCTGCGTCGTCTTCCGTCATGTCTGCATCGTTTTGGCCACCATCGTCCAACTCTAAGGACTTGTCCACATGGTATCTCGCCCACAGCTCTTCAACTTGTGCCAATCCTAATGGCTTTCTGCGCTCAAAGTTCGCAGTGAGTGTTTCGAAGCAGTAAGCGCAGTGTGCCTGGGTCGCCATTGGAAATGTCTGAAGGTCGCTGAAGCGCCCTTCAGTATGGTATCTGGCGGTCGAGCGATGGTTGCAATACAGAGGGCGCGTTATGTGATGCTAAGGTGGGAGAGAGAGCGGGAGGGTCTGAAGCCGGCAGCCGGATCGTTCCTATCTTGTCGCGAGTCATTCACCTCATCTAATGTGGGGTAACGCTAGTAATGCACACTCCCGCCTTCATCTATCGATTGTCCTGACCTAGTGCTTTTTCATCCCACATTAGCATTCACCGACTCATTCTCAATGTTGACCGGACGTATGTTGATGTCAAGTGCCAGTTCAGCAATGCTGTCCAGCGTGCAACTTCCACCATGCGCTTTCCTTCTCATACACTTCACCTTACAGTCAGCTTTCGCGTTCCAAGACCTTTCTTCTTGATCGCCTTTCAAAATTCTATCGCGATTGGTGATTTCTGTGCATCTGGTTCCAACCCAACTATGCATACCCCGATCGGCTTGGGCATGCGCGCAGGATACACCGACTCCACCACACCATTTCTTCGTCAAGTCGCAGACAAAGAATCCTTCGGGACGGCGTAACATCCATAGACCCTTCGGAGTACGAAGCCTCAGCCAGCTCAGCCAGCATGCAGGAGCAGACGATCTTGAGCTCCGCAACTGGTCTATCGTGTTTTGAAAGATAGAGTCACGTAGCACGATAGCGTGTGAGCAGGCCATACCCCAGGGGTCTGCATCGGAAACCACAATTCACACTGCGTTCCTTCGTCAGACTCTATGCGAATCCCAACATGGCCCGCGCTGCATCCCGTGAAGATATATCCATGGACAGTATGGACGCGGTGGACATCTTTCGACATTTGGATGCCAATCAAGTGCTTCTTGAAAGAGAGCTGTCTTCTTTCGTTGTTGCCAATGAAGGTGCACATACCTATCCCAGGAACGGGGTCGAGGGATTACTACAGCTTAAGCAGCTTCCCACCCTTTTCAGGGCGTCTTTCTCGGATCTTATCGCAGCGCTGCCGCTTAACGTTTCTGTTGGTACCGGCATCGAAGATCCGACTGCGACTCTCACAACTGCCGATCTACCCAAAAGCCACTATGCACGGTATCGATGCATCTTCTCCAACGCGGACGGCATCCAATGCTCCACGTGGACTCGAATACCTTACGTTATCGACACTTATCTGCGAGGTCTGGCAAGCGTACTAGCCGTTGCAGCCAACTCCAGTATCTTCAAAGACCGATTGGAAACACAATTACAGTCAGGTTTGAAATTAATGGTTTGCCAACAACACGACGAAGAATCGGTTACTACTCAGACCGAATCCATGGCCGTTGCGTGCCGTGTTGTTATCGAAGAATGGCGGAGTAGCGAACACCGCTGGCGCAGTGCCGGCAAACTTGCGTCGCAGGAGCGGCTCGAGGAAGAATCTCCCTCGTCCGTCCCAAAATTGGCTCAAAATGTCACGCAAGAAGTCATCAGGCTGCATGGTGAGAATGACAAACTTCGGGGAGAGCTCCTGGCATTACGCGAGCTGTCGAGACTTTCGTATACCGGCTTGGGTACACCGGGTGACACCACACCGGGGTGACACTCGGAGTTGATCTCTCCATCGATCAACTCTCCTACAACGAATAGCAATACTAGACTGCTATATATACAGAGGAAATTTCACTGGCCAGTCTGCTGGCAATTCTCTGCGAATACAATCTAGCAATTCAGGCTTGATATTGCTTAGATCTATCCATACCATTGCATACTTTGCCGCCGCTATTCAACACTTTCGAGCGATATTCCAAGGTGAGAAGCGAAAGTCATTCATTCCTCTATATCATCTCGCGTCTACAACAGAATTCCTTCACTCCGCAACATACTCCCACAGCTTCTCCAATTTTCCATCCAGAACCTCAGCTGCCTTTTTCAACTCGTCACCCGAACTCTCCGCGCCTGCAATCAAGGTACTTGGCTTCACTGTTCATAGTTAGCTAACGCAATTCGTTTCACGCAGATGAGGGTCTTACATTGAACGACATCTGTGCCTTTGCCATCCTCCCTCTCAATGATCAGAGCCTCTACAGGCACAAACAACCCAGCGCTGACATCATGTTTCAACATCGTAATGGCGATCTGGGGATTGCCGAAGATAATTCTTGCCACTTTGCGGCCTCCATTCACGCCGTATAGCTTCATCCAATCACCATGGTTGAATTGTTGGAATTGCATGAAACCATGAGGTCCCAGAGCCTCATTAGTGGCTTGTTCGAACTTTTCTTTGGATTCCATATGGTTGAGGATTCCAAGGCCTGTTCCACTGGGTTGTTTGATACTGGAGTGTAGACGTTCGACGACATCGTCGAAGGGTTTGGAGATTGTACGGGTTATCCGCGTGACTTGGTAAGTGGTCTCTGTTCTGGTTGCCATGGCTTCTCTCTCAATTGTCCCTGGTAGATAGTAGTAGAAACCAAATGCAATGGGTTTACATCATGTATGTATGTCTCATTGCCTGCCGAGGTCGTGCTCAATTCACTTTGAACCATTAGTAATCTTAGTGGTGTCGATCGATGAGTGAACGAATTGTATTGGCCTTCTCTGTGCTTACGTRTGACAGAGACAGTGGTCAGCATCATGAGTTTTGGATTGGAGCTGCGCTTGAACTTACTCTGTTATTACATGTGCGCACTGATTATTTGCCGAATTGCCTCAAACAACTTCCTACTTGGACAAGTTGCCAACCTCCTGCAAGGCGAAGTTTGATAGCACTACACACAATTACCATGGACAAGCTGGGTACAGCGAACAAAGCAAACTTCTCCTTGACTTCGATTGTTCAGAGAAGAGAAGGGAGTAAGTGAGGTCCCACCGCAGTTTCGAGGTCACATCAGCGCTTTGAATTTCCAGAGACCTTTTCACATTCCTTCTGCTAACCAACAAGACACTTTTCTCGGAGCAAATCGTACGGGAAGATGTGAGACATGCAATTAAGGTCAGGCTGTGGATACGATCGAATTACTTGAGGCTTACCGCGTATCATGATATGCTATGAAAGGGCAGAACAGGACTTACTTCGTTGTCAATCGCTAGACGACCTACGCGTCAGACTTGTCGAAGACCTATCACCGACGTCCTTCGACCAGTCTCAGAGCCATGAGACTCAGCACCAGCATCACTCGATGGCTCGCCAGTCTCGTACGATGACCACGGAGGGCAGAACCCCAGTATCAGGTACTCGGGCACCCCAAACTCCAGGGCTATGCGCTCATCGAGATAGGACTTACTGAATTGACCGTAGCCGCCCTGCAAGAACTTGCGATTGATCAACTGTCTGACCTTTTCAATGTTAGTGAGTTCGGCTCTGCTCTTGATCAGATGCTTCATGACAGGAGCGAAGCAGTCATTCGGCCCAAACCTGTCGACGGCTCTGAGTGCCTGCATTTCGATGGTTTCAGAGTAAGGTCTACGATTGGGGAGTTCTCCCAACACGTTCGCATAGTGCCGGAAGATATCGTCCTGAGCCCGGTAGCCAAAGAGTTTCAGAAGGTCGAGCATAGTGAATGCTGGGTTGTCCCAGTTCTTCAAACAAGCAGCCTTGACAGCAGCGTGGTTGGTGCTATTAGCGTACTTGAACAGACCAACCAAGACCCCAATCCAGTTCAGAATCTCTGCCGACTGGAGAGTTGCTCCGTGCTGGCGGAATTCGATGGTCATCTTGCCATCCCAACGAGAGTAATGCGAGGCTGCTAACAGTCTGTGTTCTTTTAGATTCGTCAAGTTGATGGTGGAAGAATGAGCGACACCGAATTGGAAACGTCTGAGATCTTGAACGGAGCTCGCGCACTCAATCAGGGTCAGCCAAGATCCAATGTCGCACTTCTGCGCCGCGAGTTGAACTTTGGGTCTTCGGTGGAATTTGCTGGCAGGATACACAGCTGAAGGTTTAGAAGACTGAGTGCGCCTCTGGAGCCTTTGAGCTTCGGATTCTCCCTTGTAGTGCTTGAACGCAGAGTCAGAAAAGTGTGCTGACCAAGGCTGGTTGTACGCAGCCGGAATTGAAGTTTGAGAACGACACCCCGACGTTGACGACAAGTGTTGCCAGGTGCCGTCCTGTCGTAGTCGGTCGCATCCAGTAATACGATCTACAGAGTGGACCGCATCGACCTGCAATTCATGAGCGACCAAAACAGACATGACGTTCTTGACTGTCTCCAGGGGAAAGCCATTGTAGGAGGATCCAATATGGACATGTGTCGAAGCCGTCTTATTGATGACCAGCCTGCAGTCCCTTGCATGCTCACTCCTCGGGTCATTGAAGCTCTTCAGCAGACGTGAATATACAGCCTCAATCTCTTCACGATATGTGATCTTGTGGGTATGGCTGGGGTTCGATTTGCTTGTCGCGACGGCGAAGTTCTCTGTGAGCAGCATTACGCGAGACTTGATCTCGATTGGTGCGACATGGAAGTCCAGCCATCTGGCGTCGATTTTCCTTTTCTCCTCTGAGGACAGATCTAAAGATGGATCAAGTGATACATCCCACTTAATGTAATCGCTTTCATTCGGGTCTTTCGGGTTGTACAGCGGCAGATGATAGTCGAAAGTAGCCTTACATTCGACGCACACAACTCGAATCGGGGGTCTAAGAGCTTGGTACACCCTGTTTTGAGCTAGTACCGTGCTTGAAGCATCGTCTCGTAGATGGCCCCTATCCTCAGTTGTGTGACTGGTGATCAGCAGGCACTCGATTTCTATGCCACCTGTTAGCTTTAGCGAGGCTCTTGGTAGCGCCGGACCTTGTTGTGTGGTTGTTGACATTATGGCAGGCCAGCTGCGTCGGGGGGATAATTATAAGGGGATTGATATTTCGGACCGGCCGAGCGTTGTGATGGAAAAATAGAAAATAGAAAATGACGCAAAAGACTTCTACAGTTGAGGGGGGGAGGCAGAGGATATACACAACGGTGCTGCGAACAATGGTCGGAGCAGTGAAAGAAATGAGGAACGAGCATTGTTGTAACGCCTCTGCCAATAAAGAGGCAGGCCCGCCAAAAAAAGAAGCCCAAAGAGTCGAAGGCACTCAGTTGTAGACAAAGCGAAACCTACTCTCTGTCATGTCAATCTTTCTTTGAGCCGACACACCACCGACCTCGCCCGTCGTGAGCGCTGGATCCTTTGAGTTTGTGCCCGATCCGATATCGCTTTTCCGCAAGTTTATCGCCTCGTTCATATTCCGTGTAAATCTCATGCCTTCTGACGACACAGTGAACGATGGCAGACTGCGCAGGATGGTGGGAATTGGATCTCGGCATAGGAAACCCGACACAAAATTCTCCGAGATCAAGAAGGAAGCCGTGCTATCCAAGAAGTTATCGGCCAAAGAACTGGAACTGAAGGCGAAGAAGGCAGCCAAACAGGAAGCGGACAAGGAGAAGAACACCGACCGCGGTGAAAAGCTGCTGGCTCTCCTGAATATCCGATGAGATGACCACAGTGGCCTTGAAGATTGCGAGACGTCATGGTAGTCAGATGATTGTGAAGTAGCCATCAGTGCCGACTTGCGACTCCTGAAGCGCATGCTGGGTATCTCGAAATTTCAACAACACTCCCCGGCTCCGCTCGTACTGCTTCATCTCCTTTCAGGCATAGAACTTTAGGCATTTGTTCTCATCGTGAGAATCCTTGCAAATCACGGAACAGACCATGTTGCCGCATTTCATGCACTTGACTCGGCCCCAGTAGCCGCAGATTTCACAGAACTGGCGAGGAGGCGGTGCGCCTGCTGCCGGAGGAGCTGAGCGTGCCTGGTTGTAAGTCAGAGGTGGAGCATTGAGCAGTGCCTCAAGTTCAGCCTGACTAGGCAGCGGCGCAATAGACCGATCTCCATCTTCCATATCTTCATCAAAGTCAATGGCGTCCACCAAGGGAGGTATTTGCTGCCGCTGTACTGGTGGAGCTGTTGCAGACGGAGCGGGACTCCCGCTCATGCTGCTGTCTTCTCGCTGCGGTTTCCTTCGTGCCAAGGGTGTCTTGCTCGCTCGCTGTGGTGGGGCGGGCATGGGCTCGCCTTCACCCTCTCTCCGCCCTGTCCGGGCAATCTCCGCCTCTTCATCGTCCAGGTAGTGTGCAAAAGTCTTGCCGCTGGCGAGGATCTTCTTTGTGTTGGGTGTCTTACCAGCTCTTACTGGTGCGCCTACGCCACCGCCGCCATGTTCCCTCTTCTGCGCAGGAATGGCCACCACATCGCCCCTGGCAGCGTCGCTGTTCAGCTCGCGGATCTTGCGTTCGATTTCCCTCTGCTGTCGCGCACTGAGCGCCTCCTTCTGGCTATCGGTCTGTCCCAGGCCTGCGGTTCGCGCGCGCTTGCGGTTGGTTGTGCCCCAATTCTTTGCCGGATCATCGGTGGGACCGGACACGGCCACCCACGCGAAGCCAGGAGCCTGCCGCGTCTGCGCAGTCGGCAGCTCCTCGATGTGAGGCGTGCGGAAACGGAGAGCCATCAAATTCTTTGCTGCCAGTGGTTTCGACGCGACGCTGATTGAGCACGATATCTAGAAAAGAAGGGCCGAGTTGATCGCGAAACACGCGACCGATTTGCACATGAAGGTCTTGGTGGGGCACGTCATACCGAATTCCAGCCTCCTCGCGCCCAGTGCAAGCGCCGTCTTCTAGAGCGGCCCTCTCTCTGACACACCTCGTTACAGCCGAGAGAGCCCGAGGCTTGCTCTCCGCTAGGCCGCTGGAGGCTGTTTGACAATTACAATAGTGAGCATGAAGTAGTGAGCGGGGCATCGCTGCGCGCGTGAGCAGCATCGTCTGGCATGCGGCAATGCACAAGCAACCTAGCTCCCGGTATTAAGTATCCCCCTCTCCTTCTGCTCTTTACTCGAGCATCCTCCTTGATTATAGGAAAGGATTGTCTTTGATACGAATCTTACAAAGAAATACTGCGAAACCGTCGACCTGTTCTCCCAATCACTTCCCCACCACGTAAGAGCCAACATGGCGATGAAGCGACGCATGACCCTGCCCTCGCTCCCAGGAAGAGTTGACCCAATCTACAAAGCTGCTCAAAAGCCGGCTTCAGATCCGGGGCACAGCGCAGCGTTCATTCTTGTCCATGGCTTCGGTGATACAGCCGAAGGTCTAGAAGGTGGCAGTTATTGCACCATCGAGCTCCGCCCATAAGCTGACAGGCTTCTTTTTAGGCATTGTCGACCAGTTCCAGAATAATTCGAAGCTCCCTTATATGCATTGGGTCATTCCGAATGCAGAAGAAGATCGAGACTCCATGACAACAGCTTGGTACTCACCCAATTCGTTCTCGCCATGGCCCAGCGACCGACCTGAGCTGGCTCCCGAGGAAGATGTAGATGGCATGTTCAGATCAGTCGCATACATCGAGACATTGATCGACGCATGCGTCAATAAAGGCATCCCTCCACAGCGAATCGTACTTGGAGGGTTCAGCMAAGGATGCGCCCTCAGTCTGCTTCTTGATCTCACGAGCAAAAAGTATGCGGGCAAGCTTGGGGGGATTGTGGGCTTGATGGGATATTTGCCATTGGCAGAGACCAGAAAGATTGAGGACATGCGAGCCAATGCGGGATTGCCGCCGCTTCATGGCGAGGTTCCTATTTTCTTGGCCAGAGGAACGAAGGATATGATGATTCCGAAGCGAGTTTGGAATATTGCGCTGAAGAAGTTGGAAGAGCTTGGCTATGGGAAGGACTCGATGGAGGTGCATGAATATGAGACTGGCCACTCACTAACCGGGCCGGTGTTGCGCGATGTGTGTGCATTCATTGAGAGATATGTACCGGCGCTGGAGGATTAGTTGCGTCAGGCAGTGGAAAGTATGAACGTTTCCGTTCAGCTGCGCTCGGGCGGAGTGTATTCATAAGATCCTGCGATGCACCACAACATTTCGACCGGGAGTGCAGTCGTGAGTTAGAAGTCCAAGATCGAATGTCCAAATTCGTCACCCGGAATCTGCGAGCCACCCCAGGGCGTCACGAGGACGGGAAGACACCGCAGGCAATTCTGGAAGCACTGGGGTTGTCTGCCCCACAGCGCTATCCCGTCGCTGCCCCTTTGGCAGACCGAGCTTGCATCAGTTCTGTGCAAAGACTAAGACGATTGGGCATGTGGCCTGTTGGCTTCAACCCGAAGCCCATGTGTATAACGCGCTGTCGTCTTGATTCCTCTTCTTTCTTCCATGCCAAGGTCAGGTCAATACCTAGGTATGGCACGTTTGCGATGAGATCACTCGTCTCCTCTTCCCCCGTCACGACGTGCGCCCTTTTTCTTGCTCTGAAACTCCTTCATTTTTCGCCTTCCTGCGGCTTCCGCCTTTTGAAGCTGCTCCACACGTTTCCTCTGTTCCGGTGTCGTTTCGCCGGGTACAGTCTCTCGTCCGGCTTGTACGATCAAATCGTGAAGCTTGCGGAAGCATGCATTGACGTTATCATTCTGTTTCCGAGAGGCGTCTGCTTGTATCACAATGTCGCTGGACTTTGCAGCATAGTAGCGACTGCTCATGAGTGGTGGATGCATCACTTTTGGAACTCGTTGAAGAAGAGCCGAGATGGGTAGACGGAGTGTAGTCTTCGATGACACTCTGAGATGCATGAGAGGGTTATCGTCGCAGCGCAAGGTGTGGCTGCACTTACTTGTTGACATTCTGACCTCCAGGACCAGAAGACCTGCTGAAACTCACATCGCACAATTCGCGAGGAATCGTGTTCAGGTCCAAGTTGGAGAGCCATTGGCGAGCYGCTTTGAGCTCATCTTCATCTGCGTCACTGCTGCGATTGGCCGCAAATGATCGCGACGCTGGTGCGCTCCAGCTTGTTGTCGTCGAGAGACGAGCAGTCACACGTTTGAGCGCAGCGGCTTGAAGCATTCCTCTCGTTCGAGGACGACGACTCACGAGACATCGATAGCGCAAGCTGCGGCTCTGGACAGGCGGCCCCGGAATGGCAAGGCTTCCACGGAGGAAGCTTGAAAGCCACTGTGGTATCGGTGGGATAAGTACAGATTAGAGCATTGCAATATGTATCAAAACGAACTCATTGGAAGCATTCGCATAGATTGACTGGCTTGAGGGGCTTGCTATGAGATGACCGAGCTCTACTCTTGGTTCAGAATGAAGAGAACATGAACAACGAATGTAAAGCTTGTGCTGATGGTTGTGGTGCGGTCCATCTTCGTTTCCACGCGATATCCACACACTAGCCGCGGCTGCCGAACCAACCGAACCAAATCATGTTCAACCTCACTTCCAGCCTTCTGCTTTGATTTTCACCTCTGTGACCTCAACACTCCACGACCTTGTCGCCAAACTACTGACCGGCGCAACATCACCACCTGTCTCATCCGTACAACTGACAAACTTTGTCCACCCGGCGTCGTCTTTCGCCCCACTGCGTCCCCTTGCGTCGGCGCAAACCTTTGACTCTGACTGCTCCAACAACTGATCCAAGGTAAACCTCGACCCGCATTCCCCATCGACCGTCCAGTCCGTCCTCGCGCTTTGTTTGTGTTTCCTGCGAGCATTAGCGCACTCGTGACTTGCGATTGTCGCTTTGCTTGTGTWTCGCCTTCACTCAAACTATGCCTGAGTGCTCATCGATCCCGGCCGCCCTTGTTACTCTTGCGATTCGTTGATACCGATGAACGACTACGACCTCCGAAGTGCACCACCTTCAGAGCCTCCAGAAGACGCCTACGTGCGGAGTGAGCCTCATCTACTGTCTCCGGCCTCTCCCAAGCCCATTCACTTACCACAGCCCACCAACATCCCTGTTCTCGAGAACATGATGGATGTGGGGTACAATCAGACTGAAGCGCACATGAGTGACCCAGCCTCGCGTAATACCGAGCTTCGGCCTGGTGCGTGGCGGGATCCCAATGACCTGGCCGATCAGACACCCGACCACGCATCGCCATTCTCCACAGGCGGTGATGCACTCGAGCCGGCAAAGGATGATGAGGCATCAGGAACTGAGCCGGTTGCCGTGGAAGTYGACACCCATAGCAGCAGCACCGACACCCTTGCGAATGAACCAGAAGTTCCAAATGTGTCGCACTCTAATGGCATTTCTTATGAAGCCAACTCTCATCTTCAAGCGGATGTCATCTCTGAAACCCACCACGCCAATGCAGATGCGCCATTGTCCTCGTCAGACCACAGCGTGCCCAATACTGAGCAAGCCGCGCCGGTCGCAGACGCCGTTGTAATCCAATCACATGAGACTGACGACCAGGCGCACCCGCCCATAACGCCATCTATACACCCAATCAGTGCTGCATCTGGTGATGTTGAGAATGTCTCTGCACAGACTCCCATCCATGGTGAAGCTCAGGCGCCCGTCCCTGCTGCAGACCCATCTTCTCCACTGTCAGCGTCAAGTCTCGGCGCGCACCCTACCGGGCTCCCTCCACGCCCTCCGCCGCAAGAGCAACCGCTCATCAACCCACACTATGTACACTCGCAACATATACGCGATTATCATCCACATGCCACTCATCCGGCACTTCATGCCAATGCATCCAACAATAGTTCTGGCAACCCTGCACCACCCCCGGCAGCCAGTTTTGCCCCTCCATCACTTCCTGCCAATCCACAACAGGCAGTAGCAGGCGGAACCAACGTATATCAGCCGCTGCAGGTCTCCGCTGCATCCCATCAAACTCCTCCAACTCCGCGAGAATTTTCACAGCAGTTCCCAGCCACGAACATACCCATCGAAAGTCGCAGAGAGTTCAAGCTTGCCGCTGGCGAGACTCCCACGATAGATGACCAGCCCTGGACACAAGACATTCAACGAAAGTATGATCATTTCCTGGATGAAGAAAGAAAATATGTGAATGAAGCCAAGTGGGATCAGTTCCCGTTCGGATCCCGTCTATTCGTCGGGAATTTGTCATCGGAAAAGGTGACGAAGCGTGACATTTTCCACGTATTTCATAGCTATGGCGATCTTGCCCAGGTTTCGATCAAGCAGGCATACGGCTTTGTTCAATTCCTCAGGGCCGATGACTGCGCACGAGCGCTGGTCAGCGAGCAGGGCAGACAAATAAGTGACAAGCGAATCCACCTGGAAGTAAGCAAACCCCAGAAAGCTGCACGAAGCCAGCAGAACAACGCTCGGAGATCTCGGTCGCCGGAACATGGCGGTCGCGGCAAGCGTGGTCACGACGGCGATCGCTACTCATCGCATGGCAGAGGAGGGGGCCACGGCCGCAACAGGGATTCGAGGGACTCGAGGGATGGATACAGGCCCAGCCATCGCTCGCCGTCCCCTCGAGCATATCGAGAGCGGCGTGATGACAGATTCTCAACACGCTCAAGGTCTCCCGCGTACGGTCACCGGGACAGAGATCGATACAGCCGCGGCAGCCCACGTCGCGAACCCGAAGACGACCTCCCACTCCCGCGCCGTATGCCGCAAGATGTTCCAGATGTGCAGCTCATCATTCTTGACCAGCTTGAACGAGACTTTATTGCCTGGGTGGAAGCGGAATTCTCGAAGCGCGGTGTACGTGTCGATACACTCATGATCTCGCCACGTCTCAGTGAGGAAGCCGTAGTCCGACGGCAAATTCTCGAGGGTGTTCTCGCCGTCTCGAGGCTCAGGCGTCACAATCAGCTGGAGAGCAAGATTGGCTTGACGATCTTCAAGCGCAAAGGCGCCCTTCAGGATGTGCAATTTGAGGAGTACGAGCACCTTGATCCGAACATTGCTTGCGAATTGGTTCTGCGGGATAAACGGACACTTCAAGATTCTGCTCAACGCAGTGCCGGTCCATATAGCAATGGACACCCGGGCCAGGGGCAGTTTAATGGCCAACCACCACAGCAGCAGTATGGGTACCAGCCACAATCCGCTGGCTTTGGACCACCTCCGGGCTTCCAGCCGCCGTATGGACAGCAGCCAGTGTATGGGCAACCGCCACACGGATCATTCCCTCCTYCCGGTGCACCACAGCCGCCTCCTTCGAACGTCGACCCTAACAATCTTCAAAATCTCCTTGCGAACCTGGGCCAAGGTGGAGCGCCGGCACCATACGCAGGAGGCCCTCCCCAGTATGGCGCTCCAGCTCAACATCACCCTGGCTATCCTCCGCAACCTCCCACGCAGCAGGGCTACCCACCTCAATCTCACCCACAAGCTTACGCCCAGCCAGGTCGTCAGTATGGCCTCAGTCAGCCTCAGCAGATCCAGGGCGCTACGTATCAAAACTACTCAGCGGCGCCAGGCAGTCAACCAGGGCCATCGCCTGCGGGTCATCAGCAGGCGCCGGCTGGTCAATCTCCAGCGAACATGCAAGATGTGCTTGCTAGGCTTGGAAGCTATGTTCCTTGATGTGGCTACAGGTCATGAAGAGACTTGCTGTAGGCATGTGTGCGGAAGTGATGTTCTGCGGTACACGAGTAGACTTTTATACTCTACTCCACATTTCAATGCTCTGGGAATCACAACAGTCGAGCGGTTTCGCTCAACTATTTGACGCAGTATTGAAGCTATCGGCGGTCCATATGTAAATATTCGGACAAATTCACTAGGTACTCTACGCCTCGGCTTTGAATGTGTAACCTCGTACTCACGTGCAAGACATTTACAATCATCCATCACATTGACATGTGCTTTCCATGTACAATTTCGCTCTCCATTGGAAAGTTCAACGGATACATCTTGGACTCATCACAACTACGCGCTCACCTCATTTTATCCGCACTCTTCACTCATCCACTTCCAGAATGGCCGCTCAACTGCCACATCTCCCGGATGTTGAGAGAATCAGCCCACGTGTTGTCCGAATTCTAGGCGGCAATCCCAGCAAATACACTCTCCAGGGCAGCAATACATATCTGATCGGCCAGGGTCGTCGCAGAATTCTACTGGATACCGGAGAAGGCAAGCCAGCATGGAAGGCAACCTTGCAAACAGTTCTCAAGGATGAGAATGCCGTCATTGAAAAAGTCATCCTGACGCATTGGCATGGAGATCATGTTGGTGGCGTCTCGCAAGTTTTGGAGCTTTGCGATGAGAAACCTGCTGTTTATAAGAACCAGCCTGGTGATGGACAGACCAACTTTGAAGACGGAGAGGTTTTCAGAACGGAGGGTGCTACGCTTCGGGCATTTCATTGTCCGGGTCATACTGTTGATCACATGGCGTTTATACTGGAGGAGGAAAATGCCATGTTCACCGCTGACAATGTTCTGGGTCATGGGACGGCTGTTTTTGAGGATCTCACAGCGTATATGGATAGTCTGACGAGAATGGAGAAGGTCTTCTCTGGTCGTGCGTATCCTGGACATGGCGCTGTAATTCAGGACGGAAGGGCGAAGATCAAGGAGTATATCTCGCATCGTAAACAGCGAGAGCAGGATGTTCTTGGAGTTCTCAAGGAGAAGCCTACTTCTGGTCGGGAAGGGTGGGACAGTATGGATGCTGTGAGAATCATCTACAAGGACTATCCGGAAAACTTACATGAACCTGCCCATGGCGGACTCAAGCAGGTTTTGAAGAAATTGGAGAGTGATGGGAGGGTGAAGCAGTTGGAAGATGGGGCATGGCAACTCAGTGGGAAGGCAGCTCTGTGATTCCGTCTCGATCGGCATCGAGTTCAATTCCATCGTCAGAGCGTAAAGCGTGATGGATTTCACTCCGCCTTCCATCTCCTGCCACCACCTTTGCGCCACAGCCACACAGCTTCCGTGGCATATGTTTTAGCACTCAAGTGTCTGCCACCGTCAACGCCTCTACCTTCACTTTCTTCTACCAACACTTGAACGACCTTTAATCTCTCAACCTCCCTCCAAAGACCCCTTGCAAGCTCGCCAAATGTGTCTTCTGATCCAAACCTATCCGCGCCAGGTTCGCCGGCATCGCCAAATTCGCCTTTACTGAGGCGGTAGAGAATCCGACCCAGAGTTTGAAAGGCAATACAGCGTTGAGCAGGGTATGTAGAGCGAGAAAGATGAGCCAGCTCGCCGATTGTGTATCCTGCGGCATCCGGTGCATCTCCATGATGGTGCAGGCCTGCAGTGACGGGGATCTCAGATGCAGTCTTGGGAGGTATCAACTCGCCTCGGAAAGAGAACCGTATATCCTTCGCGTTAAATTCCGTTGCAGTCGGATCATAGGTGCTGTCTTTTGAGGTTGCAGGTTGCATCCATTCTAGCTTGTCGGGGTCGGAGGGTAGAGMAGGGAAATACTTTTGGTGGAGATCCTCAAGGAATGTCTCCGATGATGGATCGAGCTCCGGTGGCTGCGGTGCAGATGGGAAATGAACGCTGTCTTGTGGTAGTGACTCTTCAGTGGTGATGTTGTGATTGTGGGCATGATCGTGTGTATGATCATGAACGCCTGTTTCTGGCTCCGCTTCAGGCTGCTCCACTCCGATCGGCTCCTCAAACTTGACAGTTTTCGTGGATTTCAACTCAGTCTTCTTCGGCTTCACTTCTGCCGCATCGTCTTCACGAGCGTCTTCTTCGCCCATTGGACGTGACAGATCGACTTCATTGCTACCCGCGGCGATGTTTGATCTTTTTAGCAGACGCTCGAGCAAGCCGGCGCCAAATGTGTTGAGCAGCTCCCTTCGTTCCTCCTCAACCTCTTCTGGCGACATGGCCGCAATTTTCCGATTATTTTCTTGGTCTATTCGCGCCTTTTCTTCTTCATCCCAAGATTTAGCTTTGCCATCGAAAGGCGTCTCACCATCTGTGCTTCGTCTCTGCGAGCTCGCGCCATCTTTGACCTTTGCTTCGTTTGCTGACTTTTGCCTCTTGAATCTGCTTTCTACAGGACGCTTTTTGTGTTCTGGAAAGCCGGTTTTGTTTTTCAGCGTTGGAGCGCTGGGAGGTTTGGGTGCTGCCGGCTTGCGCTCCAGCACATCGCCGACGAAAGCCGCGGGCAGTGGTGCACTCGGCTGCTGCACTTCATCCTCGTTGTCCGACAGGTTGAGTTCGAATCTCTCGCCTCGTATCATTGTAGTATCTCTTCAGATCTTTCTGATTCGTGGTTGGTCGTCAGAATGCAGGAAGATCTGAGACCGCAAACCTAAAATGTGGACCCTCCAGGCGCGTACCAAGCTTTCGGGACACGCTAGCGGCCGCAACGGATCGAGCACATGCTATCGCAGCATATCTTGAGATGAGAGGTGACGGATGAGCTTCACATATATATTGAGAACAATACATTCCAATCAATCGAATATTACAGCAACCTCTCAGATAGCCATCTTATCGTGTGTTGAGCGTCCTCGTGATGCATATGATCGTCTGTCGCAGCATCGAGATCGATCAACTACAAAAGAAGTTCCGCTCTATGGACTACCACCCAATCAAAACACCGCCAAGCGGACGCATCATCTGTCGCTCTCTCAGACAAGGCGACATGAGCCGACACAGCTTGTGCCAGAATGGTCACCGGCGCAGCACACGAACACAGCCAACAATGGGAGTGAAAATGGGAATGCTGGAAGTGAAGCTATGAGGTCAACCATCTCTCGAAGAAGCTCGTCTAGCCACGCTAGTTCTGGGGCTACGATTCACTCTTCAGATTTGACTCCTGCTTTGCAATGATTCCCTTTTCCTGGCTGGCCCCTCTTTGGGTGAGGGCCGGTCATCTCTCCAACGTTCCGTGACTTGCTGTGCGCACGTTCCCGTTCCTCGAAGGGTTTCGTCCTGCTGCCGCTCGCCTTCCGCGCTGGCTTTCGGTCGCTGGCTTTTGCTTTATGCCCTTCGCTTTCCACGCAGCGTACTTCTTCCTTCTACATCTTCCTTTTGCGTCTCCTGCATCGTGTTGTCGAGCGGTTTTCATCACCTTTAGCGTCCGGCTCATCAGCTCACGTTCACATACCGCCGGCACTGCACGCATCTGCCTTTGCACTGTCTTACCAGCACAACTGCCGCCGCTCGCGAGTGTGCTGCGGCCTGATATTGAGAAAAGTCGTCCATCCCGTCGCTCGTCGCGGTCGGCCTTGGTGGACTTGCACTCTGCAATTCCGAAGCCGGCAATCCCATTGGACAGCTGCACCTCCACATCGCGGACTTGTTCGAACAAAAGAAGCGCGACATCTTTGGCCGCGATCTGCCCCGCATTTCACGCATCGCAACTCCCGACGTGTTGTTAAACTGGGAAAAAAAGTCCCTATACCATTAAATTGTCTTGGCGAAGATAATAGTCTATACCACGCCATGAACGCAAACATGCCACCAGCGTTGAACGATCAATCTGCGAGCGACACCTCCAGCATAATATCATCGCCGCCGCAATCACCACAGCATTCAAATATAATTGCCGACGAAATTACGGTTGCAAGACCACATCGGCCCACTCCTGCTTTTGGTGAAGGTGTTGGTGCAAGTTTGCACACCCCTACCCCTACCCACAACACCCGTGAACTGCTACCACAACCACMTGCACAGCCGACGACCGCACCAGTCAAGGTCAAGAAGCAACGCAAGCCTAGAGAACCAAAAGAGGCCAAAGTTACTCCCGATGGCCAGCCTGTCAAAGAAAAAAAGCCTCGCAAACCTCGGGAGCCCAAAGTCAAGACAGAAGGCGCTCCCAACCCAGCGCCTCGCAAGAAAAAAGCCGGAGACAAGACGGCAGCTGCACCTTCATCCGATGCTGCCGGTCCTCGCCAATCAACATTAATCGGCCAGTTCTATCAGCCTGGGCAGCCAGCCAGCGCACCACCACCTCTACAACCACATTTATCAACACTTGGAGCATCTCCGCGACAACAACTTCCACCCGCATCAGAAAGCATGTCACACAACAACATCACACCACAAGCGCCCATTCAAATACCGGCTCCACCTTCGCGGCCCTTTTCAAGTGGGCAAAATTATGACCCTATCCGCGGTGCATATGAGCATGCACCTCCACGACCAGCGGCAGTCACCAACGGCGCACTGTCGGCTCAAGCGTCGCCACAAATCAATCGAGCGTCCGCGTCACCTTCGATTCAAAGTCTCATCGATCCGCCAATGAAAACGAGCACGCCCACGCTGTCATACGCACAGTCGGCAAACCTCCAGTCGATGCCGCAGCAAACCGCTGCGTTCGTTAATACGCCATCCTCGCCCAGAACAAACGCTGCTCCTACAGGCGTCCAAACCATGCCGCCAAGTCCTCTGCCAACCCAGCACCACCAACCCTCCGTAGCATCTGGCACGGATGGTGCCATGGATGTCGACATCCCGCACGAGCCTCCTAAACAACCCGCACTCAAGGCACAGCCACCGTCAAAGTCTTCCTCGACAGCACCAACTCCGAAACAGAGCAAGCCAGTCTCACCACCAGCAAAGGCCGCTTCGAAGGCTGGAGCTGGGGCTGGAAGTGGTCTTCTTTCGAGTAGCAACCTCTTTGGTGGTCCATCTTCGGAGACAGACTCGGAATCCAAGGGTCTGACGATTGAGTTCCAAATTGCGCTCAACCCGGCTGGAGGTAATCAGATCAATATCGCCAAAGAGATCATCAAGAAGTACGGCAGCGATGCGATCGATCCGCACGCCGCTGCCCACCGCAGCCGTCTCCGTGCAGTCGCGCTGGCACAAAACAAGCTGGAGGCCAACTCCACCGATGACATGTCCGTCGACCTTGGCTCTGAGCTGGATGGTGACAGCAATGTTGAGATGGGTGGTATGGACGATGAGAGGAGTGGCGCTGGAGGAGAGCCGGCCAAGAAAAGGCGCAAAAAGGTTGAGGAGTACGACAAGGAGGATGACTTCATCGACGACAGAGAGCTGGCATGGGAGGAGAACGCGGCCGTGGCCAAGGATGGTTTCTTCGTATACTCTGGACCACTCGTGGCCGAGGGCGAGGCAGCACAGGTGGAGAGCTCGGCGCCCACGCGCGGCAGAGGCGGGGCTAGGGCCAGAGGCAGGGGACGTGGAGGTGCGAGCGCCGCGGCCGCCGGTGCAACCACGAGTACAACTGCAGCAAGAAAAGATCCAAGTGCTGCATCTGCCCCAGCTAGAGGTCGAGGCAGCAGAGGTGGGCGCGTTGGAGCCCCGACAGCGAGAAAGCGAGCCACGAAAGCGGAGAAGGAAGCCGAAAAGTTACAGCGCGAACAATTCCCAGTCCAGCAACCGCCTAATCCACCACCCGCTCAAGTTCCGACGATTCCTGTCAAAAGTCCCGCGACTGGAACCGCATCCACCATGCCAGCGCCGGTGCAACCTCAGCATGTGCTGCATTCGAACTACGGTAGTTCCATGCCCGGCGATAATGTGCAACAGGCGAGATTGCAGGCTTAGTACGCACACCCTTCTCAGTACTTGCGTTGGAAATAAGGCGATGGCATTACCGCTGGCGATGTGCAGTGCGAATAGGACGCACGACATGCAACGGGAGACATTGTCGGACTTCCGACCCAACAAGAGCGGCTGCGCGCTACTAGATGATGCACGACATGGAACAAAGTCATCTATGAAAGGCTTTGTCGAACTTACGAATCAGCAAGATTTGTTGTGCGCCCCAGACCACGCCAGAGATGGAACATGACACTACTGTGCCTGCGGGTGTGAGCGAGACTCTTGGTTTCATCATTATCTATCATAGCATCTCGTTGTTGTTGTTTTGCGGCTGGCTTTTTCCGTGTATGATATGAGGGCTTGGATTATGCTGTGATGGGAGCGTCGTATGATWGTAGAAGCATAATTAGATCAGATGGGAGGAATGGCTATGTTACGGCCGGTGAGACTAGAGGGCAATGAAGCCCTCTTTGCTACATGCTGTCATGTCAAGTCCTTTTCATCGCGTCGAGTGTGCATAGGTCGCAACAATGAAGCCGGAGGACTGCCTCGAAGCATTATGGACGGTAAGCATGTCTGACACAAATAGGACAACATCTTCATACAGATATATGCTCAATATACACAGGCGACGCTCACTTCTTCTTTTCGCCCTGGTTCTCGCCCAGCTCCTTGGCGACCTCCTCGACCTGGTCYATGGTCGAGTTGTCGTCATCCTCATCCGCAAAGTCTTGCAGTGTGGGTGTGGATCCTCCTCCAAACTGTGCCAGATCTGCCGCCTCGTCGTATTCGTCCTCTGCAGGGACAGAATAAGTCTCGTCCGTGAGAGATGGATCAACAGAGGTGAGATCTTCGGTCTCGCTCGCAGCATTCATGTCCTCCACCCCGCTTACCGCCTCTGTGGCTGGATCTGCCTGCTCCTGTGTATTTCCTCCATCACTTCCAAACAGCGCTGCGTTCGCATCATTCAACAATTTCTGATCTGCCTCAAACTCCTCCACAGACTGGCCGACGTGGTCTTCGGGGAACTCTGGGGCTGCAGCGACGTCCGGTCTAGATCTCTGGCCTCTATTCGCGGTCTTCTTCGCGAGGCCTTTGGTCGGCTCGGCCAGCCCATGCCTGGGCGTATAAGTCACGATCCCTTGCTTCGCAGCTGCTCTCCGCTTCGCCAGACCCTGCTCTCCAGCTCTCCCCAAAGTGCCAGCAATCACTTGTATCGCTCGTAAACTGTCGTCGTTTGCAGGAATCGGATACGTCACCCATGTTGGGTTCGCATCCGTGTCGCATATTCCGATAGTCGGAATGTTGTTCAATCCGCACTCGTGTAGCAAGACATAGTTCTCCAGGGGGTTCAAACAGACGACCAGATCGGGCTTGATTGCCGCTTTGGCACCTAGCTGGTCCTCGAAGCCTTCCACATCCTTGTCGTGCTCGTCAACGACTTTTTTTGCGCAGCGACCCAATATTTGCTGTCCGTTCGTAATGCTGCCGGGAATCCACTTGGTAAATAAATGACACCCGCCTGCAAGTTGTGCGGCTTTGACAACAGCGCGTGCCTGTCCCTCGCGGGTGCCTACGAAGAGCACTAGTCCTCCACGTTCAGTGACACCAGATACAATCTTGCAAGCGCGGCGGAGGTGAGAAGCTGTCGTATCTGGAGCGATGATGTGGATACCCTCGCGGATACCGAAGATGTAGCGGGCATTGCCTGGATGCCAAAGGGAGGTGGCGTGGCCAATGTGTGTTTGTGAGGCGATGAGGAGCTCGAGGGTGATGTCTGCGGGTGATGGCGGGTTGGTGAGAAGTTGATGTGGGCGGTAGTGAGGTGCCAAAGATGTCCCCAGATGGTTCAGGCGCGTCTTTTGGTGATTGAAGAAGGCATAGTCAAGGGCGACGGGATGATTGGGGTCATTGATGGCCACGGCTCGGGAGGCATCGACAGCGGCGATTTGCGGGGCGGACTCAGTACTGGTCAGGAATTGAGGAGTTGCGAGGGGAGTGCTGTCGATGGTGGTATCGGCGGGAGGAGTGCTCTCGAGGGAGGAGTTGGCGCGGTGTTGCGCAAAAGGGTGGAGCTTGGGCAGCGCGATGCGGCCTGTTGATAGGAATTAGTTGGGATAACCAAGAGGATAGGACGGCAGCTCATACCATGCCGCAGTCGCAGCGCTCCTCTTATGATCATCGCTGCTGGTCTGGAAGATGTTCAATGCATGAGAGCAAACTTGAAGTCCTCCAACGACGGCTTGGCACCACCGAAGACCTCCGGGGAAGATGGATGCTAGGAGCGTGTCTAGTATTCGTTGTAATTGAACTGACGCACGGTTGTTAATTGACTTCTCGCTTTAATTGAGGCTCGTGTCTAGTATTGTAATTAACAACAAAGATGTTAATTACGCTAGATTGCACTAGATAGCTAGTAAGGTAATATAGCGCCGCGGAGGCTCGGTTATTACTTAATATATATTAGTATTAATTACTATTTTAATGTTACTTAATAGTAATATTAACAACTTACTTACGGCGCTACCGAAGGTTGTTATTAACCTTACTTCCTTTACTATAGAGCTACTAGAGCCGGAACTACTTAAGATAGCCGCTATATACTACCGCTACCGCCTTACCGTCGTTATTACGTATATTATAGCCCTACTAGAATAATAGCCGTTACCGGTAGGTATTTATACTATCGACGTCGATAGTGCTAGTAAGGGCGAGGCGTTTACGCGGAGCTTGCTTTTAAGTAATATAAGGCTATATTAAATAACTCGGTTCCGGCTCGCTTTATTCGAGCGATTATTCGAGTTAATTAAGCCTTACTTACCGGTTCGAATATACCGTTCCGTAATAAGCCGTAAATAGAAGGTTCTAATCTTCTTAAAGGCTATTACTTATAACTCTTATTACCGCGACCTTACGGAGGACTTCGGCTATTCTTTAGAGATAATTAGATAGGCCTTTCGTATAGTACTAAACGCTATAGTATATATATATTCGGAGGTTATAAGGCCGGCGAAAGAGGACGATAGATTAAAGGTCCGGTAGTTTAAATAAGGGCGTTTCTAGCTATAGTTTAATTACTACGTTAGCGTACTCGATAGCTCTTATATTAAGGCGTATATAAGAGGTAAATAAGCGGCGTATCGGAACCGTAAGGGCTCGCTCTCTTAGAACGTATTAGTAGTAGTAGATTTTAATATACGCTTTACGTACGTACTAGCCGGGTAGGAAGGATCTACGTATAATAGCTATATACTTACTAACGCGCGCTCGTAATACGGTTTCGCTACTCCGGAGGGCTATTACTACTTCGGTAATACTAGCTACTCGAATAACGAGATTACTATAGTTCTATTTCGTAGCGTACGCTACTATCTAAGGGAACTACGTACTATTAATTTAAAGCTAAAGAACTCTAAGGAGCTCTTTAATCTACGATACTCGTCTATACGGAACGTTATTAAAAGGACGTTCGGTATAATAAAGCGGCGGTTCTATATTCTTAAGAAGGCTCCGTAGTTTAACTAGATATATATATAGGTAGATATTATATACGTATACGTAGTCCTATATAACGTGTTAATTAATACGTATAGGAAGCCTTCCGAGTAGGTAGAGCTCGAGCCTAACTATACTAATAATATTACTAGGAATAACGTAGCTATATAGATAGCGGAGGATATAGAGCCGAAGGATTCGATAGCGGTACGGCGTAATAGGGTAGCGAAGGAGATATAGTAGGCCTATTAAGTATACTTAGATAAAGTAGTAGATATAGACGGAGGATAAAGGAAGATATTATTAAAACCTAATAGGTTTAGAAAGGGAAGAGAGCTTAGAGTAGAATCTACTCTAAGGTAATTCCCTAGTTAGGTAATTAGGATGCTAAGGCTAAAGGTATATACTTATTCTTAATATTTAGTTCTTAAGATAATTAATTTAATTAACACACTTAGTTAGTTCCTACTTTAAGTTCTATATACCTTATAATAAATTAGTTTAAGATTAGAGTCTCTTATCTTTCTCTTTACCGCTATATTCTACTACCTCCTTAGCCTCTAGTTTTAGATTTTTAGTTAGATAATTTTAATAGGTTATAAGCCTAGGTTTTACTAAACTAAAGAAAAGAACTTTAACCTTAAAATAGTAAAGGTATTCCCTACTTTATACTAGTATATAAAAAAAGGAAAGAGGATTTTAGATCCTCCTATACTACCCTATAAGAGATACTAAGGATTAGTATATAGATAAGCTAGGAAGAAAATCTAAAAGGATAAGGGTCTAAAGCTATAAAATAGTTAAGGCCTATTTATTAAAGCCTATATTAATATACCTTCTCCTCCCCTACTACTAAAAGCCTTAGTAGAACTAAGCTAAATAAAAGAAAATTTTTTATTTTATAAAGATAAAAGATAATAAGAATATAATCTCCTAAGCTAGGATTCTAATTCTAGGAAGAGAGAACTAGAAGAGATAGTTTAATCTCTAAAAAGATAATCTAAAAGGAAAAGGTATCTTTAATACTATTAAATTAATAATAATAGTTAATAAAGAAAAGATTACTATATAGCTAAAGAAAGACTAGCTAGGAATTATAGTATAAGATTTAAGCTTTAGTAAGAATAATATAAAATATAGATATAAACTAAAATTAAGGATTAATTTAGATAATATAGATAAGCCCTAAGCTAATTTAGCTTTACCTTATACTATTAAGATATAGATCTTTCTACTTTTAAAGTATAGTAAGATTCTAACTACTTATATAATAGTTATAGTTTAAGAACTTATTAATTTTAGAATAATAGATAATAATTTAGTTAGATTAGCCTAGAGTAAAATTAGTTAGATAGCTAAAAGAATTGCAGAAGTTAATCTAAAGAAAGCTTACTATAAAGACCCCTATAGGAAAGCTAAAATCCTCTTCTTAGCCCTTCTACTAAGATTTAAAATAACTAAGAATGTTATTATAGCTTAACTACTTCTTAAAGGAGATTATAAATAGATTCTTTTAATTCTAAAATTATAAGAGGCTAGAGATAGTTCCTTAGAGATTATAATAGCTATATTTAACTTTACCTATTTCTTATATAAAGGAAAATATAGGATTAAAAAATATCTAAACCTTTAAAAGGCCTAAAAGGCAATTAGATCTCTATTCTAAGATAATACTTACTAGTAATTAAATACTAATAAGCTAAGATAGGTCTAGAGATCTAATAAGAAATTTTTTAAGAAGCCTTAAGGGCTAAGAAAAGATTCTCTAGAAGATCTAAAAAAGGTAGTTAATTCTATTATTAAGGAGATAAGAAAAGTTAGAAGAATATTTAGAAAGAGAGCTTATTAAGCTAAGGATATTACTAACTTAGAAGTATTATCTCCCTACCTATTAGATAAAGAGGAAGTAAATAAAATTACCTATTTTTTAATTAATATAAAAGGCAAGTTATTATCCTAAGAATAGCTTCTTAATTCCTATATATTAGCTTATATAACTAACTAGCTATAACTTTTTAGATCTATAAAACCTCTTTYTAAAAGRAGGTAGATTAARGTTARAGGAGGTTACCTTTARRGAAGTTATATARRGGAGGCTCTAATARAAGRAAAAAATARAGGAAAAGTTTTACTTAAAAATACTCTTCTAGTTCCTAGTYTTARAGTTAACCTTATCTCCTAGAATTAGTTTAGTTATTAGTTTAGTATTTAACTACTATAGTTTACTCTTTTATCCTAAAATAGGACTCCTATTATATATACTAAAATATATAATAGTATACCTATTATTTCCTCTATTTCTATAGCCCTTTTAGAAAGGGCCTTTTTAACTTTTAAAAAAGAACTAATAAGTTAGTAAGAGCAAACTCTAGTTAAGTAATACTTCTATACTACTAAAAATTAGTAGGAGCTATAGTATAGAAGACTTAGTTATTTTAGAAAGAACCTCCTAAAGAATATCTATAAGGTTATAAACCTTAAAGAAATTCCTATACTAGAAAATTATAATAAGGTATATAAAGTCTATACCCTTATAAAAATAAAGAAGTAGAAGGGAAAAGTTTTAGAGAGAAAATCCTAAGTATTAGAACTAGTTTCTCTTAATATTTATAGCCTACTTCCTAAGTTAAAATAAGGATTTAAGTACTAGCTCGAGATTATTAATAATTTCTCTAGAAAGAAATAGGAATATCCTTTAGTAAAAAGAGATAATACTCTAGCTACTTTAAAGTAATAGAAGATCTAGATTAAGAGAAAAATATCTATAAAACTAAGGACAACTAGATTAGATAATATACCTAAATTAACTAGCTTACTAAAGTAGTAGGAGAAGGACTTAGAAATCTACCTAGACCTAACTAATTTATATAACTCTCTTTAGAATAAGGTTATAGAAAAATCTATCTAAACTTTAGAAGACGTAATTAGGGTAATAATTAAAAAATCTAGAATGCTAATCGATTTTTAGCTAGAAGTACTTTCTACCTAATATAAAATTAAGAATAGACTTCTAAATAGACTAGTTATAGAAGACTTTCCTTTCTTACTTAAAGAAGTATTTAGTAGAGTAAAACCTTTAGTATACTATCTTAAGGTATAGGGTTATTAAGCTATTATATATATAGATTTAAGATCTTAGCTATAATAGGTAAGATTAGATAAACTTATAAATAAAGGTAAGAATACTATATTTATTAGATATATTAAGGGAACCTCTAAGTTATAGCTTTTCTAGGATCTAAATATAAGAGCTATAAAATAGTACTCTAATATAATCTTCTTTAAAGATAAGAAAGAAGGAGATCTTAATTTAAAATTTTAATTAAGATATTAGCTTTTATAAATACCTTAAAGAAAGCTACTTAAGAGACTATTAAAGCTTATAGAAATTCTATTAACTAGGCCTAAACTAAAGTAAAAGGAAACTAAGGAAAAAGCCCTAGAAGTTTTAGGAAACCTATCTAAGGTATTTATTTAAGTTTCTTTACCTCTAAAGGATACTTATAAATATATTAAGTACCTATTTAAGACTTTACTAAGCTTATAGCTAGTTTAAGAAGAATTTTTCTATATAGAAATTAAAGGAAAAAAGAGATCTAGAAAGGATAACTTAGACTTTAAAGGCTTTAAATCTAAAAGAGAAAGAATTCTTTAAGCTATAGCTATAATTATTAGTATAATAGAATAGCTAGAGGAAATAGTAGCTAAAGTCTACTAAATTACTTTAGAATTCTAGTTAAAGAAAATAAAGGAAGAAATCTATAAAACTACTTTCTCTACTATTTTAAAAGGGATTATACTTAAGTAGGATATCCCTATCTTATAAAAATATAAAGAAGTAGTAGGAAATAAGGAATAGGAAAACCTATAAAAGGAAGCTATTAAAAAAGGATTAAATTCTTTATAAAGTAATTATATATAAAAAGAAATTATTACTTTAAAAGGTATAAACCTTATAAGTTCTAAGTAGGTATTTATAGTTAAGAGACTAGTAAGTAGTGCACTTAATAAGCTAAAAGTAAGGCTTATTATAAAAGGATTTTCTTAAAAGTATAAAGTTAATTTTAAGGAAATATTTACTCTAATAGTTAAATATAAGACTTTTAGGACCTTTATAATAGTAGTTTATAAGAATAACCTTAAGCTATATCTAGTAAATATAGATAGTATATTTATAAATAGTTACCTAAAGGAAGATATCTTTATAGTAGTACCTAAAGAGGTTAATATTACCTTAAGATATATTTTAAAAATCCTAAGAAGCTTATATAGACTAAAGTAAATAGTAAGAGACTAGAATTAATTTTATATATTAAAGCTTCTTAGTCTTAGATTTATTTAGTCTAAGGTAGATCTATACCTTATATACTATTATAGAAAAGAACTTATAGTTATAACTTATATAAATAATATTCTAATTACTAGAAGATTAATAGATTCTATAAACTAATTTAAAAAAAGTTTTAGAAAGATCTTTAATATTAAGGATCTTAAGGAACTATTAAGGATCCTAAGAATAAATATAACTAGAGATAGGAAATATAGAACCCTAAAGCTTAACTAAGAATACTATATTCTTAAGAGCCTTTAGAAATTTAAAATAGATATAAAGTTATTAAAGCTAACTCTCTTACTAATAAATAGTTATAAGGAACTAGAAAAATCTAGCCTAGATAATAAAAGATATAGTAGGGAAGAGTACTAAATAATAATTTAGACTTAGATATAGCCTATAATTATTATAAGGCTAGATATTATATTTACTATTAGAAAGCTAAGCTCCTTTTTTAGTAATTCTTCTAAGAAATATATAAGAGCCCTAAAGAAAGTCTTAAAATACTTTAAATTAAACCTAGATCTTAAAATTACCTTCTTAAGGGATAAACTAGGATTTCTAACTAGATACTTAGACTTAGATTTTACTATAAATAAATCTAATAGGAAATCTGTTTTTAGAAATATTTTTATACTTTATAATAGACTAATCTTATAAATAAGTAAGAAGTAGAAATCTATAGCTATCTTAATAATAGAAGCTAAGTTTATAGTAATAAATACCTATATAAAATAATTATAGTTCCTCTTATCCCTTCTTAGAGAAATAGGTTAAGGAAATTTAATTAGATTATCCCCTTTTTAACTAAAGATTAAGGCTAGAGAGGAAGTATTAAATAAGCTTAGACTAGTTCGTCTTTTTAAAGATAACTAGGCTTACTTAATACTAGTAAAAGATGCTTATATTTATAAAAGGTTAAAGTATATTAATATTATATATAACTTTATTAGAAGACTTTAGTAGGAAAAGAAAATTTCTATAGAATATCTTCTAATAAAGGAGATAATTATAAATAGGTTAACTAAGCTATTAAATAGACCTAGCTTTTAGACTTCTATAACCTAGTTAAGACTCTAGTAAATAAGAGAAGAATAAAGGGCAAAAAGGGTAGTATCTCCTAAACTAGGTTTTAGTTTAGAAGATATTATATACTAAATTAAGGAATTATACTAAGATAGTAGCTAAAATAGAACTATACTTCTAGGCTATAGGACTATCTTTCTATACTTAATAGAATCTATAAAAATATAGGGAAATATATTTAGCCCTTTCTTCCTTAAGTAGGAGTATTAAAACCTAATAGGTTTAAAAAGGAAAGAGAGCTTAAAGTAGAATCTACTTTAAGGTAATTTCCTAGTTAGGTAATTAGGATACTAAGGCTAAAGGTATATACTTATTCTTAATATTTAGTTCTTAAGATAATTAATTTAATTAATATACTTAATTAGTTCCTACTTTAAGTGCTATACACCTTATAATAAATTAGTTTAAGATTAGAGTCTCTTATCTTACCCTTTGCCGCTATATCCTACTACCTCCCTAGCCTCTAGTTTTGGATTTTTAGTTAGACAATTTTAACACTACTACTCCTTTACGTAAGCGGTACGGAGCGCACCGCTTAATCACTACTTCTTAATTACTCTTACCGGACACGACGTAATTGACAGCTGTATACAGAGTTACAGCTAACTATGGATCTACGTACGCTACCGAGTCCGAGCTCAATTGTCAATTATCAAAACACACTGGACACGCTCTAGTACTCTTCCAATGCCAGTCCACCTGCACTTTTTTTATGCATCCAGATTTGGCACTCCATGCCATGTCTCTGCCCGCAGTCGGCACCCTCTTACACGGCGCTCTGGGTCACCGACGACATACTCGCTGCAGMCTGGAGACGCTTCACACACATCTACAACAGCCCTCATGGCCAACTACATCGCATTGATGGCGGTAGGCGACATGGTAGCAACGTGCCCGGTCCGTTGGAATTCCGCCGTCGTCTGGCGAGGAGGCGCATGGGTCTAGCGTCATATCAGCAACCTCCCAATGGTGGTGGAGCAGACTTTGGCGCGTTATTTGGATTCGGCACGCGGAGCGCGGATAGGCAAGATGTGGAGAAAGGCTGGTCATGGCAGGCGCCAAGGTCACAGCAGGCAGACACTGTCGTTGGGCCCAAGGAGAAGAGTGCGTGGAGATATGGATGGCCTGGTGGTAAGCCCAAGAGGAAAGCCCAAGAACAAGAACAAGACGCATGGGAGAGGTTGCTTGATTTACCTGGCGACAAAGATGCGGTCGAGGGTGGAGGTCTCAACAGCGGCAAGATAGGGAATGTGCCTGTGGATCCTGTGGTTGTAAGTCGCAACGCCTTTGGGGATCTGTTGGCCAAGTTGGACAGCTATGAGCCGCTGAGTGCGGAGAATCTGGCCGATGTGGTTACATTTTTACAATCCTCGGCCGACGAGTTCGACGCGAAGAACACCTCTCGACTGTTGACCTGGCTTGGAACGACAAGATTGGAGGCAAGAGAGATCCGGGATCTTGTCGTGGACATGATCGTCAACAAGATCCATCTTGGTACTCTTCCCATGGACGAATGCGCCCATGCGCTCAAGATGTTGACGCGTGCTTTGCAATCCGCCTCGCCTGACTTCAATTCAACACATCACCTGCTGCGAGCACTCTCGGTCAAGGATATGCTCGTAAAGACTTGTGCAACAACAACCCGGCTGATGGTGGATGAGAGCCCGGATCACTCCCAGCTTGCTCCTATCATCGATATGTGGCTGAGTTGTCTGCATCATTTTGAAGAGAATGAGGGATCGATATCATTTGATGTGGTCTGGCTTGGTGTGTACGAGCAGCTCTCGCTAAAAGACCCGCGTCTCCAGGTTGCTGTGCTGCACAAGCATCTCTCCGCACACGATCCCGTGTTCCTTACCGACATACTCATGCACTGTTGGGTCCCTCACTTCATCACAGCCGCGGTCGAGGCGCGGGACCGCAGGCGTCGGGAGAAGAGGTCCCTCGGCCCTGGTCCGCCCACCCATACCATGCTCCTCTCAACTCTTTGGAAGACTGATCCTTCGCCACGCAAGAATCAATACTCCCCTTACTCTCCTCTCGGGATCAAGGCGCGGAACCGCAGGCATCGGGGGAAGAGGTCCCTCGACCCTGATCTGCCCRCCCACACCATGCTCCTCTCAACTCCTTGGAAGATTGATCCTTCGCCACGCAAGAATAATTACTCTCCTTACTCTCCTCTCGTGATCAAGGCGCGGAACCGCAGGCATCGGGAGAAGAGCTCCCTTGACCCTGATCTGCCCACCCACACCATGCTCCTCTCAACTCCTTGGAAGACTGATCCTTCGCTACGCAAGGATCTATTATGTCCTTACTACCCCCTCGTGGATCTGATCGGCCATCTCGCAAAGCACCGAATTCCGTACGAAACGCTTGCTCGACGAATATTCGCCATTCTCTCCTTTCGTTCTCTGCCCAAGAGCGATAAGCACCTTTTCAGAGCCTATCTGAGGCTGTGGCGTCACTCCGACCTCAGACCCACCGCTTGGCTTGGAGAAGAGTTGATCCACCACTTCGTCGCGAGAAAGGCACTCCACTACGCCCTGTACGTTTTCCGCAGCATACCTAAACTATCACTGAGCCGCGTGCACGACCTACCCATCGCAATCGCGGATGACAGCAGTAAGATAAGTTCCTCTGCGATCTGGTTTGTGCTCAATCGCGTCACACAAACAGACCGCACACCTCGACCACGGCTGGGCTCAGCACGCCAGCCGCTGATATTGCCACCCACGCACATCGATCTAGTACATCGTGTAGCGTTTGCGTTTGCTAAACAGGAGCAGCTCCGACCTCGGGTTGCTTTTAGACGAGTGTGGGAATGCTACCGGTTCCTGAAAGATCGCTCCGCTCCGGTGGAGAGCCTTATATCCAGGGCGATGGTCACTGCAGGTGTCATTCGGCCGCTAAAGATGCGTCGGCGGATCCCAACGCAAGTACTGAGATACACATTGCAGGCTGTGGCGTCTGTGGAGGGGCAAGATGTTGCAAATCAGCTTGACCAGAAGGTCTTGGAGATATGGGAGAGGGCGGTATTGCCCGAGATACTGAAAGCTAAGAGGTCAGGGGATGAGGAGGTCCCCATAGCACAGAAGGCTGACCGGTGGAGGACTATCGTCTGGGCAAGGAGGAGACGAGGGAGGAACAAGGGGGTTTACCCTCGGCCGAGTATTGAACTCGAGGAGCACAAGGTGATGGAGGGGAGCTATAAGCCTTTCGTGTTCGGGGATGCCAAAGGGGATGTCTCAATGTCTTCACCAAGAGCTGGAGCGGACTTTGAGGCTGCTACCGGGTTATCCACGGCACGGAAAGACTATCCGGACGACCTTGCGTTGCCGAATGACGAAATAGTCGTTGGCCAGGAAGCGGCATTGATCCCCTCACGCGATGAGGAGGTAGGGGCCTTGCTGCAGCCTGCGGTCGCCACAGTCAGACGTGGCTTGGGATACAGCACCCACACTTTGGGGACGCATGATGATTCAGGGGCGAAAGCGATGAAGCTCAGCTCCGGCAGACTAATCGGAGAGCTGCCCGCTGCTTGCATACTAAACAAGTCTCCGGACACTACACCGTCACCATCTTCCATGGCTAGTGAGCGATATTACAAACGCAAAGAACGTGTTGCAAGCTTGGAATACTCCCACGGCCTCGGAGAACACCTTGATACTCCACCCCAATCCAACTTCGGAACCCAACCCAACCGTGACGGACTTTCTACTGTAGCAGAGCTGTCAGAGCAAGCGAAAGGGAAGGATCAATGCCCATCTCCCTCTCCAGCAATGACAATCGCAGACCCGTTCCCCAYCTGGTGGCGTGGGAAGCCTCGTCAAATGAAGGAGGCCAACTTCATTTTCCGCAGGTTGAGCAAAGAGCACTCTAGGCGTGGCCCCACAGAGTCCGAAATGGCATTCATGCAAAGCTATCATGCGGCGCTGGATCCCGTCTTTGATAATGGGAGGCCGATTACTGGGCAGCCGGCATATGAGTTTCCATTGCAGTGGGGAGATATTATGATATCTAAGGATTTGTGTTTCAGTGTGCGGAAGTATGTCACTGGGCGCGCTGAGACTTCTGGGAGGGAATTGGATGAGCGGGAGAGGCTTTTCGTAAAGACGGTGAATCGTGCGAGGGTCGCGCTGATAGCTAAGCGGAGGGAAGAGGGGAAGGCCGGAGTCGACGATGCTGGGAAACTTCCTCCGCCGACATGAGTGAATGTATACCGCATCTCCCTATCTGTGCACACGCACTTCTCGTGTCATGTTGATGTCGTATCTGTGGTGAGGTTGTCGACGAGACTTTGGCAGGCGAGAAATGAAGAATACGGTATTTTGGTCCGCGCTCTGCAAGTTAAAGTCGATGTACACAAGTAAGATGTTCCAAGTGAACGATGACCCGCACTGGTGTATCGGGGGACTTTTGAGTGACGGCGTTTGGGTTCTTGGTGTCACTCAGGACAATCCACTCGTAAATCTTCCATCGTGAAAGTGTCCCACAGCTCATCTCATTTTTTAACCTCGAATTTTATCATACGTCTATTAGTTCCTAATATCACATCTTTCGTTTTCAGATCATGACGGTGTATGCCCCGTGTGCTCCGTTGTGAAAAATTGCTATATCCCAGGGTTAGGGTTGGGGTAGTGACACTAACCAGACCGATCGTTTCCATTCCATCCCCGTCTCCAACCTCAAGCTTCACCATGTCCGAGCCAAGTTTCAAACCGCATTCATGGCGACGACAGAAGCAGCCTTGGCTTATCACGAGCCAGGTATCGTCACAATCCTAATACTCTCTTCATTTTTGATATTGGCGAACGCACTCAATTGGGCTTTAGACAAACTACTGTACTGTGGCCTTCTCGGCCAGATCGCCATTGGGATCGCATGGGGCACGCCAGGTGCCAATTGGCTGTCTGAAGATGTGCAAAGTACTGTGATGCAAGTAGGATACTTGGGGTTGATCCTGATCGTCATGGAAGGTGATTGATGTTGGACGCACTTTTCTAATGGACGAAATTTTGTTGACTTTGAATATAGGCGGCCTCGCCACCAACTTGAAGACTCTCAAATCCAACTTACCGCTCTCATGCCTAGTCGCTTCTATTGGAGTGAGTGCACCTATTGGCATTTCCTTTGTCCTCTTGGGTTTGGTAGAGGGCAGTACACCCGTGCAGGCATTCGCCRCCGGAGCTGCACTTTGTTCGACATCACTTGGGACGACGTTTACGATTCTCTCCACGAGTGGGCTCAGCGCAAGTCGGCTGGGTGTTGTACTGTCCAGCGCTGCCATGATGGACGACATTGTTGGTCTGGTCATGAGTGGCATAATCTCCAGGCTGGGGGAGAATTCCGGAGGCTTTCAAGCGACTACTGTCATCCGACCGGTATTCGTGTCGATTGCATTCGCGATAATTTTGCCTTTGATATGCATGTTTATCGTCCGGCCCACGACGAAGTGGTGCTACAATAGCCTGGCGAAAAGTCCAGGCTCTCAGACACATCGACTGTTAACTACAGAGTATGCTGCGATAATACTGCATACGTTAGTGCTATCAGTCCTCGTCGCTGCTGCCAGCTATGCAGGAACCTCTGTTCTGTTCGCAGCGTACCTTGCCGGAGCGGTAATCTCATGGTGGGACACCCTTTGCGAAGACCTGCGGAATGAGCGTTTGCCAAAAGACGGAAAGAAACCCGAACGCGAAGCCCATGATGCATCTCAAGTAGCTGAGCACGACAACTCGAGCGATGCAGTGCCGAAGAAGCACAACGATGTCCATGGTATCAGCCAGAGCAGTATCTCAACCCCAGAAGCCGATGGCAATGGCCCATCTCAAGCCTTGGGAGTCTTTGCAGACTATGACCACCTAAAAGGTACTCACATATTCGAGAAGTACTACGAGCCAGCACTCCGTACAGTCCTCAAGCCATTCTTCTTCGCGTCAATTGGATTCGCCATTCCAATCACTCGGATGTTTTCCGGTGCGGTGGTATGGCGCGGAGTTGTCTATACCATCTTGATGGTTTGGGCCAAACTGGTCTGTGGCATCTGTTTGATTCGCTTCACAAGCCCGGTTCTCCCCACGAGAGCGCTCCGGAAACTCATACCCGCTCGCCTCTCCAGGCACGCAATATGGCCATTCGGAGCCAGGCTACAATTCTCAAACGAGCCATCTCAGGCCGCTTCGCAAGTCACCGCCACACCGTCAGCGCCAGCGCCAACGTCGACGCCAACGCCACCCCAGCAATCCACACAGAAGTCGAGGAAGGTACAGATCCCCAAGCCAATCTCTCTCTATCCCGCCACCATGCTCGGAAGTGCAATGGTTGCAAGGGGTGAGATCGGCTTTCTCATATCGAGCGTGGCAGAAAGCAATGGTGTCTTTGGCACGCCCACAGCAGGTGGATCGTCGGAGCTCTACCTCATTGTGACCTGGGCTATCCTGCTATGCACTCTCATCGGGCCCGTGGCGGTCGGTCTGATGGCCAAACGTGTCAAGCGGCTACAAACCAAGGAAAGACATGACTCTGCTGGCAGAACCGATCCGTTGGGCATTTGGGGCATGCAGGGTGTTGAATAGACCCGGGTTGAACGCCTGTGATGGCGATGCGATGCAGAACGGAGTACGGCACTGGATGTTCATCTCAGCTCGTCCCCGAATGTGAGGGATTTCTGGGTAGAATCGCAAGCGAGGCCGATGGGTCGGAATCACCCAATTTGCCCCCACGGCATATCTTGCCTTGAATGTGTTTTGCGACTCCACGTTCGGATCTCGCTTCGAACAGTCGCTGATTGCTCTTATTGTATCGCTGCCAATCCAACACGACGTCCACATGCAATGCCACACACTGAGCGTGGCGCAGTAAACCTTAAGATCCATCAACTTTGGAGCGGTACAAAGGGCAATTCGAGTCGCGACCCGGCGAGGGAATTGAAGAGGCGATCAACAACACCACTCCTTCTGCATCATCTGCCGGATCGCGCGCATGTGCTATTTTGTGACACCTCCAATTTCCCGTTCAGACCAATGTTCGTTCTCAAAAGGCAAGACTACCGGACCACGCCGTTTGTATCCCGGCTCCTGGGCCTTCCATGGGCCATGCTCGTGCCGATCAATTGCGCCTTTCTGTCTTTTTCTGTACAAGGTGACTGGGAAACCCTTGCGTGAAATTTAGCTGCCGCTGTGGCGCAGAGGWAAAAGTATATCAGTGACATGCCCTTGGTAGATTTGGCGGAGCGATTCCAATTCGTCGCCGTATCACGTTCACCGACTYTGTATGAAACGACCTGGGGGATAGACGGGTTGACAGGGAACATGTTCAGCCACGTCGAAGATCGTGTTGCAGGATCGAGGAGGCGCAGCATCGGCCCTAATTTTTACAACGCGTGGCCAGACTTTGATGCGCTGGCACACCCGATGGAGCGGAGTGTACAGCACGTGTGATGCAGAGAAGAAGAATAAGGCTTTCTTCTTGCAAGCGCCATCGTTGCTCTCATGTTTCATGTTGTGTGGCGGGTGACGAGGCACTCGGCCACTCGGCACGTTCGCCTAAGCTTGGCATCATATGCTGAGAGCTAGGTTGGGCTCTCGGTCCCGGTGACCACTCCATTCGCATGGCGAGACGCTCGCGCTGCGAAGAACCCGGGAGGTGTTCACTGGCGGTAACCTTGTGCGATTAAAGTGTGGCAGCCACTGAGCTCGTTGCGAATGCTGCTGCCTATGAACGAGGGGGGACTGGGATAACATCAAACACATCTCGCGATGAGATGCTACCATTCGTATTATTCTGCCGGCTAAATGCGGTGGATTGGGTATCATCTGTCTGAGCCAGCGCACCGCCGCTCTGTTCATCATCGGTCTTGACGCTCTCCAATTCATTACTCAATCTGTGCCAATGAGGCCCCTGGCCTGTATAATCCGATGCTCATTACCCGGTACTCGCTGCCAGAGACCGTGAAACCCTTCCTTCCCATCAAGAACGTTTGCCGTGCGCGTCTGGGTATCGTCGTCTCAAAAGCAAAAAAAGGCCCGATATCAGAGGCTCTGGTATCGGAGTGCACCCCTTGAAGGGAGTTGCACGATATCTGTCCAATCCTCCATGTACACATTCCTCCATCAATGCAAGTGCGCTTCATTCGTCGTGGTTCTCGTGAGATCAAACGAGTGTGGTCTGTCCCATGGGTGGGAATCAGAAAAGTAGCTTGAGCTCATACCCCGAAGAATTGACATTCTCATCGGTGGTTACCTCGCCATCACACTGAATGTCAGTGGATCCAGCATCCCATTCTCTCTTGTGTTTTACTGGTGTGCCCGGCTGCGCTTCGCAGAATTCGGCTGTCATGTCTTGCGCCTCGGGTAGTTCGCGCACGCAATCGTCGTCAAATAGAATGTGCAGACCATCTCTGTTGATCCGGTATGTTCGTAGGACTGCCGTGGGTTCGATGCCGCATTTGGACGCGATCGCGTTATTGAAATCCTTGAGTGTACGATTCATCAGGTACACAGCTCGATAGTAGTTGTCGGTGACCGCTTTTCCTGCAACGCGAGGCTGCACGAAGATCGATGCAACTGGCTTCACCGGCCGTTCAGGGGGTGACCTGTAACTGTGGTCGACACCCAGAGCTTCTATCCATCCAGTCAAAGCACCGGACATTGGCGACTTGGTCTCGATCTTGGAGGGCAAATTACCCGGCGGGCTTTGCAGCTGGTCAGGAACGGCTAGCTGCATCTCTGTGGTTGCTGTTGGTGGCTGTATCTTCCATTCGTTGGAGTTCTCACGCGAAGGTCCGCCTATTGGCGTGGGTTGTTGCATGCTTGCATCCTTGCGGCTTCCGATCAATCCATCTGTACTGGGAGTAGGCGAGACTGCCGAGGAGGGAGGGCCGGTGCCGCTGTGTTTCTCCCAGCTCGAAGCGTCGATCGAATCTGTGCGTAGTAGGTCCTCTCCTGAAAGCTTCACTGGATAGGCGTCTGGATCGTCTCCCTCCTCACCACGGAGATATAGCACGCTTGCAGGCCTGGTTGAGGTGAACATGTCCTGCAGTGTTAAGAGCTTGACGTGCATATCATCCTCAGCGCTGCCTCTCCCACTGTTGGAGGCGGAAGAGGTCATTGACCATGTTCGCCTGTGCTTCGGAACTTTGCCTGGCCGGCTGTCGATACCTTTAGCCATCGACCCGCTCCTCTTGCGCTTTCCCGAGTCTCTCATTCCCGACTCAATTTGTGCGATTTGTTGATTGAGCTTGTCGATGGTTTTCTTGACATGTGCGACATCATTCGAGAGTTTACGTTCTGCGCCATGGTCTCGGAACAGTTTGACTTTGCAGTAGCACACTTCATTCTCCAGAGGAAGAGTATGCGCGAGTTCGGACGCTTCATCGATTCGTTCGGTCTTTGCGCACAACCTGACGGGAATGCCTTTGACGCCCTTGGAGTGACTGAAGTCGGTTGAGAGGAAATTGAACCGGACGGAGATGGGACACTCCGCGGCGCCCGCAGCTGGACTCCAGGTCACACAAAATCCGTCAAAGGAAGCACACTCGAGCTCAAGTTTTGACTTGCCCGACTCTTCGGAGCCGCCAAGTTGCCCAGCGTCGACATATTCGACAGCCTGCAGCCGACCACCGCGTTGGTGGGCTTCATTAGTGCCGCGTCCCTCCTTCCAGAGTTGCCAACATGCGGCAGGCTTCTGTCGTTGCTGTTCGYCCTCGAAGGAGACGCGGACAAAGGTCCTGTACCTGGCCGGCGGAGCGCCTTGTTGGAAGTGCGTATCAATCACGTTTAACGTATATGCCTGTCCCTTGTTCAAGTATGTGACTGGTATCTCATCGGCGTGCTTGATCATCGCGGTTGGTGCGTTCAGAGTGACATGAAATCGGAATCTATTTGCCTGTCAGCGATGTCATTGCGATTCCAAGTCTTGGTGGACCTACTTCTCTGCGGAGGGATGGAACGATGGTGGCTGCATGACATTTTGAAGAGTCTGGGGGTGGAAAAGGCTATCCATCTGTTGATGCGGATGTTGAATTGCCAGGTCCATGGCCATGTCGTCGACAGGCGACTCCCCAACCGGACCATCCAGCGCGTCGAACGAAGGTTGGTGGGTAAAGTGTTGCGGAGGGAAGCCTTGCTGCTGGTGCATGTGGAATGGGTTGACATTGTGGRATTGCTGAGGGGGGATGTATTGCGGAAGGTGGGACTGGAATCCATGGAATTGAGTAGCCTGCTGTCCAGCATGCAAACCACTTTCTGATGTCGGCATTGACAGCGGCGTGCCCAGACCGAGGCCGCCGAATCCGGAGGGAGTGTGCAAATCGCCTGCTTGACTGTGGTATAGCGTGCTGTTTCCAGGCGGGGGCGTGTAGTAGCCCGGAATATGGCTTGCAAACATGTTGAAGTTCTGGCTGTTGGGATCCATCAGGGACGGTGTGAGGCCAGACGTTCCAAATGTCCAAGACTCGTTGGAGCCTCTTGGGGTGGGGTCGGCATCCTTGATATCGTGAGGCTGGTCATCCAGGGACCTAACAATACTGTCAGTGATGACTCCCAAAGACTGGGTACCGGCCACGCAATTGGGGCTGATCTGTGCTGGCAATTTCAGCAAAGATACAGGGAGAAGCCTACCGCGGGTTGGGCGGATTTTCGAGCGTCTCCGTCGACGAAGTCGCTGGCACCGTTTGTCCGGGCGCGTCCGGGKACGAGACACCGCCCGCACTAAGTGCAGGGAAGTTGGCCTTGAAGTTCTTGTAAAGCTCGTCGCTCGGCTTTTGCGATGTTCTTCTGGGTGGTGATGTTAGCACGCAAGCCCTCTGATGTTAAAGTTACGTCGAGCCGATCGATGTGGCAGTGAAGCTGGAGGCTGAGGCTGCGACGCTCCCTCCCCCCGGCCTCGCGCAGCTGGCAGTGGGTTTGGCAACTCACCGATTTCGAAACATCTTCGCCAGGTGATAATCTAGCAGCTACGCTGGCGGAACGCAGTGCTGAAGGTCATGGAAGGACGGCGATGTGTGTTGAGAGGTATTGGTATTGGGCGTGGAAAGGTGCGAGCTGTGAAACGCACTTTCAAGCCWCAGGCGGGCGTTAATTAAGACCTCTAGAACCAGAGCGGTGGGCAGGGGTTCGCTAGCGTGACCCTCCAGAAATACGCGGCGTAAGGGCCTGTCTCCGTGGCAAGCAATGGAAATGATAGGAATCTTCCGACTATTTATGCCGTACTTGTGCGAATGCCAGCGAAGCGAGCTCTCGCTTCCCCAACTTTGCGTGTCGCTCTCGCTCCAGAGCCTATTCTACTCAATCACCACGTCTCACTCACGTTGCGTCGCCTACGCCACACCTGTGGCTGTGCGCAGTCTGGGCTTCCTTAGCCTCTTGCGCTACCTACCTGCTGTGGAGCCCGAGCTAGTGAGGTGTGCAGCCGAGAATCCTTGCTGCATCTGTGGCTGACACTCGTTTCTTCGTCCCCGCTCGAGGCTCCACTTTGCCGCCAACGCAGAGCCAGTCCGAATGCCGAGAAACTGCTCGGATGTCCTTCCGCTCACGGTCTGTGGTCAAATGTGAACATCAGAGTCGGCCACATCGGACGGCACGAAAAACCCACAACATGGCCAATGGACCCACTCATGCTCGGCGTTTAGTCCCGAACAGGCTGGCCATGATCGTCGTTGAGAGAAGAAGTAACCCTAGCCGAGACGGCATCGTGCACCCGTCACTTCGCTTCGCTTCGCATCGTGATTGATTATTGTTCTCTCGTTACGATGCGTTCTCACGATCGTTTCGCCCGTGTCAGTCATAGAGGAACCAGCGATTGTCGTCCTTCAAGTTTCATCTGATTGCTGCAGAGCACGGGCAAAGGACACTCTCGGTGAGTGACACCTACCGTTGACCGCTCAGATGGTTGGGTCTTGGAAAAGGCAACGGGCAAAGTTTCCGGCCACGCAGTACGCGGATGTGCAATGATTTCAGTTGGGTTGTGCGCTTCCTGGGTCCTTCCCGGGGTTGAAGAGCCACAGCGCAGAGAGTGTGGATAGGTAGATGCTTGCGGCGATGGCGGTTGCGCAGCCCATTTAGTGTTGTCATAGGATTCGCGACGAAGCAGTTGGTCTCATTGATCAGTGCTCCACAGATTTGAGAGCTCGTAATAAACCCCGTCTGAGCAGCTCAGCGTTTGGGAGTCTTGCTGAAGGACGTCGGGGCGCCGCGCGCAAGTGTAGCATAAGCGCATGGCAGCGGTTAGCTACCTCCCTACAGATCCAAGTCGAGGAAGACTACGACTCTAGACGCTGTTGAGGTAGAAGCCATCGTACATCGAGCATGTCGTGATTGTGACTCCCCGACCTTAGAACAGGAGCGACCAATCGCTGCTTGTTCCCAACGAGCACAACGATACCTGTACTCTCGTACGCGGAAGATCAACAGCTCCAGTCACGCAGTACACTGCCCGAGTTACACATGATTCGATTCCCCCTCTCTAGTAACAGTCAGATGTCGAAGCGTGCATGTTCAGTTGCATATGATGTGGCTTGCATATCGTGGCGTTGTGACTGTGGCGGCGAAACAGAGCGTGGCTGTGCAAACCGGCACTAATGCATTGCCGTCACACGTGGGCCTTTTCGTTCACCTCTGGAAGGCTCCAAATGTGGCACTTATCGGTTGTTCCTCTCACAGCTGACGCGGTCCTGCGGTCTTCTGACCTCGCAGTGCAGATCTCTCATGGAGCTGGCACACATGCAGAGACACGCAGCTCCGACAGAGATCGCCCGAAGACATCATTCCACGAGCCCAGCGATCTGAACGTATCCTTGCCAGCCGCAGCCATCGGACGCTGTCAGCCACACCATGTGCGTCACGTAGATCGATTGAGCGTGCCATGCCACGCTCTTTTCTGTGGCAGCGTCTGTCGCGGGGCACATCACTGTTCCCTGTTACAACGGATTGAGCCACATCCCCCTGTCTGCCCGGTGCTCTCGCCGAGCAATGATGGAGTATTCCTTGCATTGAAAATAGTCATGACGACGCTTGGGTATTTTTCAGTGGACCGCGATGATGATCCCCGAGAAGATTTTATGCACGTTCGACGTATGCGAAATAGAAAAGATTTTACTTTTCGAAAGATAGCATCGGGTGTACGCGGAGCGCGAAGCGATGAAACGTCTCCGAGGGACGGTGAACCATGTTAGCAGCAATTTGACCCATGTCGTACGACAGGTAGCGAAAAGGCGTGTGCGCAAAGGCACGACCTACGCTGGATCCGCCGACAGCTGTCACTCGTAAAGTGATAATTAAATGAGTAGAGAGGGTTTCGATGTCCCTCGCAGGTCCATCTCGGGATTTGCCAATCTCCCGCGTCCCCCAGACATCACGCTCACAGTGCAATCAAATTGGAAGCCTCGAGGCGGCATCGAAGATGGCCAATACGTGGATATCGAAGCACCTGCGCTGCTTCGGTATGGTCTCGCTTGCCGATACACATCTCACATATCGCCAACACGCGCACTGTATAAATGCACCKCATGTCATAAAGCAGATGGCACCGTGTCTCGATGCTTGCCCATCAGCAAAGGCCAGCGCTACGGCGTAGACTGTTCGCTTGTGTCTGCCGGACAGAAGTTCTCCTGCTGAGCGCGGCTCATGTCTGGAGGAGCATCACAGCTTTGGGAGATGCTCAAAGCGCTTGAGCGCTTTTCATTATTAGCAACGCCATCGCGGCTCGCATTGCCTCGAAGATTGTTCGTGTGGTCGAGTAGCAGATTGCTTTTCCTCAGGCTCAGCCCGGACATGGAATCCCTGTCTTTGGACGGCGACGTCCTATTGAACTCCTCTCGATACACGGACGGAGAGCTATAAACGGAACTCGTCCTGGAGTCGCCATCCTCGGAGCGTTTGATGACTGTGAGGAGACTTGATGAAGATTCATCTCGCTCTCGCCTCGGTCGAACAACGGTGCCCGGGGTGGACACTGGGGTTGGGATTCGAGACGGGTTGCGCGATGACATTGAGCAAAGCGACGCACTCTTGCGTAGTACTCTTTGGTCGCCCGGCGACACCACAAATCCGGGAGAAGCAGCATGATGAGCAGCGATATCGTCACCCGGCTCGAATGAGAACCTGCGAGACGAATCGAGTGAGTTTGCCACCGGATCGACCGTAAGCTGGGGTCTTAGCTTCTGGAAGAAACCAGAGGCTCTTGTCATTACAGTCGCACGTTTGACAATGCCGGCGCGCGAGTTGACCGTCACAGACGCTGACTGCGGTTCAACCGAGACACTCAGTACGGTTGGCATACTGCATGCACGATCAGCGGCCCCTAAACAGATGGCAAAAGGGTCAGTATGCGTCTGTATATTTGGGGACCCGTTCGTAAAAGAGCTGAGCATCAGCCGGTCTCAAGAGCCGGGCGAGAGATGTTAGTGGATATGAGTTGCTAACGTACCGTCCGGGTTCGCTGCAAAAAGGGTGATGAGTTGTGGCATGACAAGTGAAGGRGCCACTCCTCGCCGCCGGGCCAGAGCGATGGCAATGTGCTCAATATCTGCCATGTCGTGATCCACGCAGAACTCATCCTCAGGGATGCAATGTGTACTCCCCTCGTCTGGAAGAAGGTCGCCGGCGGAGCTGAAGGTAGAGAATGTATCATCAGTGGCGTTCGACCCATCGGCGGGTCGATTCCGTCGGTGTGTAGCTGCCTGCTTTGCCATTATGGACATGTTCGTCAGAGAGAATCTCATGTCCTTCGCTGGAGGTGTCCCAAATGGTAGATCTGCGTGTATGTTGGTCATGGACTTCTTCTGGCTCAAGCGTTGAGACATGTTGATATCCTGGTTGGACTGCGATTGCAGGAGAGGCTTCATGGTAGCTGGAGGGTATCAGTAAAGTACGGYAAAGCGAGCAAGGTGTTGTTACCTCTTTGATTGCTCCATGTGGCAGTGTCCTCGTGACGTTTTGTAATCTTTTCTAGAAACYCGAAGATGGTTTCCCTCTTCTGCGCGCCTGCTGGATACATTCCATGGACCTTACTTTCCTGCCGAGCTAGTGTGACCTCCGCGACGCCTCTGCGGCTCGCCTTGGAAAGCAGCACCTCGAGCCGTTTCACCTCTTCCTTGTAGTCATTCTTCTCATCCTCCCAATCTCTCTCAGCCATGTGCAGCTTGGCGATCACTGCCTGAGCTGTGGTCACTCCTTCGTCACACCGTAACTTCAGGTGGACATTTTCCTTCATCATCGTGAGGTAGCTTTCAAAGATGCGCATTAGAGAGGCGTTGAAATGCGGTCCGAGATAACCGTATGGGTCGGCCATCAAATGACAAACGACAGCATCGAGCTCGTCCTCTGGCTTTGGATCCGGATACATTTGGTCAAAAGGCCATTTCGGAAAGTGTGATTCCGGGAGGTCCTCGGCGAACGTTGCTGGCTTCGATGTCTGATTGAAGTATGCGGACAGTTTGGGCTTCAGGCGCCGCTTGGGTGTGGGAGGCTGCAAGTCGTCCAACTCCTCGATGTCTGGCGTGGGTAAGGTCAATGACGCTGGAGTCCGTGTTCTGGTGGGTTGGATCTTCCGCCGCCACTGCTGAATGTCCGTCATGATGCGCTTGGCGTGTTCTTGTCTCGATGCATTGGGTGTGAATCTATTGTTTGGCCGATTTAGGATGGTGAAGTGATGTCAACTTAGCGTTGCTCGACCATTTTTACTGCGAGAAGGTGCGTCGAGRCAAGGTCATTTTCATCAATGCAGACACCGCAAAGCAAGAATCAGAGACCATTAGATGAAGCAATGCACAACGTAAGCATGGCGAAGAACGGTGCATCGAGGGTGGTTCGAAAAATCAGATGTAATTGAAACAGTCATACATACTCTCGATAGATTCAACGCATAGCCAAATCGACCACTCAACCACTCTGTTCCACGTACATATTTACTCATGATACGCCTCAATGCTCTTGGAGGTCTTATTGTTACCACGTCTTCATGCACAAACGCCGACGGAGTAACGGCGGCCATGTTTGGTAATGAAATGGCAATGATCAATCTTGGCAAGTTTTGGATATTCCTTCAGTCACCGTTGCACAGAAATGCTAGGTGCTGTACACACATATGCCGTGCAGAAAGAGAGAGGATGGGGATGGGTTGTGGTGGGGAAAAGCAGACCATCATGGCCCATTCTCGAAGAAGCAATCCCTTGACTCTTGAGCACCCGAATGGAAATCATGCGTGGAGGGAAACGGGCAGATCAGGCCTGCATTTCAGCTACCTTCATGGTTTCTTCCCCAAAAGTGCATCGTTGATCCCGTGGCATGTTCATGTGACGCCGTAGTAACCGCTCAATGCTCCAGATCCTTCTCGATCATAGAACCACTTATGMTGCATCACGCTTGCCCTCCTTGACCTCCTTCTATGCGATTGTTAGTCCACCACATCTGCTGATTGTGTCCATCCGCTGGACACCTACCAAAGCCTTCATTGTGCCGTGGAGCGCWTGTCTGTGGTTTCTCCGGAACTTGGGGTCGGTTCCCTTGAGCGAAGGGTATCTGTTGGTCTTTGGCTTCTTGATACTGTACGCAAATTCATGTCAKCKTSCATGCTTGGTTTGTTTGTCCTCCTCTCCTCCTTCGATGCGCTGCGTCCTCGCTGTCGCCGAATCGCGCACGGCTTATCGAGGAAGCGCGGAGAGTGGTGAGGCGTTCGTACCCGTTCTTGTGGTTCTTCTTGGCCTGGTTATGCTGAGACGAGTTCTTGGACTTGGCCATTTTGAGGGAGACTCGGGCGTGATGGAGTTGGAGTTGGCTGTTCTGTGGTAGTGGTCGTGTCTTGAAGTCCAATCGAACGTGGGTTTGCCAAGGCGGAGAAGTCAGCTAGAACTTTAATTCGGCAAGCGATTGTCCGATGGCCGCTTCACTTCATTCTGCTTGCAACATTGAAGTTCGTATGTCCTAACTTACCTGTTGACATTGATTTTATGGTCTTCCAATAGCAGGGTGAATATATGCCACGTTGATTTACCGTGGCTCTGGGGGTAGGAAAGGCGGATTCCACAAAAGGCAGCGGTCTTGGGAGATACTTCCCGCGACGCACTTGCTTCAATTATACATTGAACATCTTCGGATGAGGCTGATTTCTGAACTCGTGTAATACATGGGCTGCCCGCCAAACTACCAAAAAGCGCCTGCAGAAGAGGGACTACTATGCACAATGCTACCACTCATCATGGCTGCTATCTATCCGCAGCGGTATGGTGACCGGACATGCTTTACTTCATCAAGGCCACGGCCTCCGTCTGAACTCGCTCATCTCATCTTCCTTCTCATCATCCTCAACTTTACTTCGACGCAGCAGCCTTCTTGGCCATGGTGTTAAGCGCACTTCCGTTGTGGAACCACTCAATCTGTGGCTCGTTAAAGGTGTGGCTGAGCTTGACCTCGAAGGTCTCGCCACCGTTTGCTGGGTGAACCTTCATGGTGAAAGGCTTGCCAACAGCAAGCTCGGTGCACATAAGGTCGATCTTGTCATCAGGGTTGATCTTGTCGTAGTCCTCTGGGTTGGAGAAGGTCAATGGAAGCATGCCCTGCTTCTTCAAGTTGGTCTCGTGGATACGGGCGAATGAACGGGTGATGATGGCAAGTCCACCAAGATGTCTGGGCTCAAGAGCGGCGTRCTCACGAGAAGAGCCCTCACCGTAGTTCCAGTCTCCAATAACAACCCACTTGATGCCCTTCTTCTTGTAGTCACGAGCAGTGGCAGGGACAGCATCAACCTCACCAGTGTCCTGGTTCTTGACCTTGTTGGCCTCGCCGTTTGCAATGTTGATGGCACCGATAAGCATGTTGTTCGAGATGTTGTCCAAGTGACCACGGTACTTGAGCCATGGGCCGGCCACTGTTTTACGTGTCAACAATTTGCAAGCGCTGTGATTGRGTCGTTCAACTTACTCGAGATGTGGTCGGTAGTGGTCTTGCCCTGGGCCTTGATCAGGATTGGCATGTTGAGAGCATCCTTTCCATCCCAAGCCTGGAATGGCTCAAGAATCTGGAGACGGTCAGAGGTAGGAGAGACGGCAACAGAGACGTTGCTGCGGTCGGCTGGTGGTGCCTGGTAGGTATCCTGGCCTGGGTCGTATCCGTTGCGTGGAAGACCATCACCAGTTGGCTCCTTGAGCTTGAAGTCCTTGCCGTCCTTGTCCTTGAGGGTGTCGGTGAGAGGGTTGAAGGTCAAGTCTCCGGCAAGAGTCATGGCAACAACGATGTCGGGGGAGGCGACGAAAGAGTGGGTGGCTGGGTTAGCATCGTTACGTCCAGTGAAGTTACGGTTGTAGGAGCAGATGATAGAGTTGGCATCGCCCTTCTTGACGTCACGTCTGTGGAAAAAGTCAGCAGGTGCTTCTGGTTTTTGGGAGTCTGGGGAGAACGAGCCGATCCCATTGCCCTAAAAATTCTTGATTAGCACATGTCAAGTATGTATGAGTAAGTGTGATGTGATGTGATGCGACGGGTCACGTGATGTGAGCAGAAGAATCCAGGCGGCGAGGTTTCCATGGGCGAGGTCCAAATGGAACACCGGCAAAATTCGAACGAGCAGCCAATACTCTCCTTGAGCGATGTCCCTTGAAAAGTACGAGCGGACGCCCCGGTAGAATGTTAAGAGCGAGCAAGGTGGAGATGTTGCTGTACTGATGCTTGCTCTCCTTGGCCTTTGGCTTGCAACTCGAGTCGGAGCTCCAACATGGGTTGTGTGTTTTCCATGTTGGATGAGCAAGGGTGAGTACGTTGGTGTGGACGATCAAGGCTCGATAGGCCTCTCCGCTCTGAAGGCGACTCTCAATGGCAGGCCGCAGCACCGAGCTTCAGATGTTGTGTTGTGGCCGCTGAGAGCCTTCCGCAATACGGGTCGGAAAGGAAGTTGCTCACATCACAGGGCACGTCACATCACAATCACAGGAAGGGGAGAGGAGATTATCTTACCAATACAWGGCTGCAGAAAAGTTAGCAAAAGAGCAACTACGTCGTTGTATGGGAAGACAACTTACACCACAAGCGTTGGCAAGAATGAGACCTCCGAAAGACTCCAGAGTCTGARGCTGTCCATCTCTTTCAATAGTTGCGCGAATCTGCTCAGAGCCGGGTGTGACGGTGAACAAAGCCTTGGCCTTGATGCCGTGGTCGAGAGCGTCCTGAGCAATAGAAGCGGCACGGCTCATGTCCTCGTAAGATGAGTTGGTGCAAGATCCAATAAGACCAACCTTCAACTCTTGAGGCCACTTGTTGTCCTTGACAGCCTGAGCAAATTTGCTGATGGGTGTGGCAAGATCGGGGGTGAAAGGTCCGTTGATGTGTGGCTCGAGCTTGTCCAGGTCAATCTCGATCAACTCGTCGTACTCGGCACCCTCGTCCTCGCGAAGCTCGGCAGCGTAACTGCTGGCAAACTCTGCGATGTGGGCACGCTTCGTGGCCTTTAAATAATCTCCCATTCTCTGATTGAAGGGGAATAGTGAGGTGGTGGCACCAATTTCGGCTCTGTAAAGTAGAAATTTGTCAGTACTGCTCTGGAAAGAAAAGGTGGAGGCCAAAAAGCCCGAAAGCTTCCAGCAAGCGCACGAACCCCATGTTGCCTGCAAACCGTTAGTGATTGTCATTCATCATTGCGAGGATTGTACATACAGATTGTGGCCATTCCAGTGCAAGACAAGTTGTTTGTTCCGGGTCCGTGGTACTCGACAATAGAGCCAGTGCCACCCTTGACGGTGAGGATTCCAGCAACCTTGCAGATAATATCTACCTGATGTCAGCTTCGCTTTCACTGTCTGAAGTATGCTCCGCAACTCACCMTTGGGCGTGGTCCATCCGCTCATCTTTCCAGTGAGCCTCACACCGAGAACCTTGGGTGCCTTCAGCTCCCATGGCAAGTTGGCCATGACATCAACAGCATCGGCACCACCAACACCAATGGCGGCCATACCAAGACCACCAGCGTTGGGAGTGTGAGAGTCGGTACCGATCATCAGGCCACCGGGGAAGGCGTAGTTCTCGAGGACAATCTGGTGGATAATACCAGAGCCGGGCTTCCAGAAACCAATGTTGTACTTGGCGCAAGAGGTGGCCAGGAAGTCGTAGACCTCCCTGTTGATGTCGTATGCGCGCTCAAGATCCTTCTCGTTACCGACCTGGGCCTCAATAAGATGGTCACAGTGGACGGTGGAGGGAGTGGCGACAGCGTCCATGCCAGCGCTCATGAACTGGAGGATGGCCATCTGCGCGGTTGCATCCTGACATGCAACACGATCGGGACGGAGTCTGAGGTAGCTCTGGCCACGCACGAGCTCCTGGTTGTGGGGGTCGTCCAAATGCGAGTAGAGAATCTTCTCGGCATATGTGAGTGGCTTGTTCAGCCTTTTGCGTACAATGTTCAAGGTCTCGTTCATGCCCGCGTAGTTGATGTAGTGGCCCTTCTCCACATTGGTCATCTCAACCTTCTTGGTGAGGAATGAGTCGTTGACGGAGGCAAAGCCGCGCTGGCCCATACGGGGCTGTAGGAGAACAATGTCAGCGCTGTCGCCCATGCATTGGAGGTCCTCGTGGCTTGCATGGGAGTGTTATCAGAGGAAACTTACCAGCGAGCGCGCCGCGACTCGTGCGGACAACATCGTGGCGGATGTCTGTCTGCTGTGAGTGTAGAGACGAGATCAGATGTGGGACTTGCAGGTCCAGCAGTCGGCCTGAAGCATGTAATGTAGATGGAGAGCAGGTGTTTACACGAAGGAAGAAACGTTCCGGTCGGATATGCGGCGATGGCCGGGTGTGGTCTCCCAGTAGTGGGTTACTTGCACGCGTCTCCATTGGCTGGATAGCTCTTGTTGCCGAGGTTTGCGTAGTCAGCCTGTCTGCAGGTCAATGAGATTTTTTCACGCCGAGATCGCCCGTGTCATCAGATCAACACGGCAGCACTGAGAAACCGTTGGGCCGCTGCACAACACATCCTCATACTACCTGCTTGCCGCCGATTGCTCCGAAAGAAGCGACACCGTAATCTCTATTGACCGACGTCGGTGAGGCGCAGCGACGGCGACAATGCCCGCCATCCGAGGACCCAAGAGCAAGTCCAAGACTCGACGACACACGCGCGATCTCGATCAGGTGCACGCGGACACGCAGTCTGAGAAGCACCTACAACAATACAAGGACACGAAGGCGCTAGAAGATTTGCCAGGCTTTGGCCAATTCTACTGCACCGAATGCRCCAAGTGGTTCGAGTCCGAGCTGAACTTTGGCAAGCATCTCAAAGGAAAGCCACACAAGAAGCGCGTAAAGCAAATGAAGGAAGAACCRTACAGTCAGAAGGAGGCTGAGGCTGCTGTGGGTTTGACTACCAACAATGGACGAAAGACGGCGGAAGCGGACATGATTGATGCTTCAGAGGATGAAGATGTGATCTGAGAGTCTGGAACATTCCTAGACACCTTGGATCATGATCAATCTGATCATCCACGCAGACTGCAGGCGCCGGAAACCGAAGTCTGTTGCTTAAATCGGCAAGGACAGTGGAGCAGTGCGGCGTCCTGCGTCTTGCTGCAAGTCTCAGCAGCCGGATGCGCGATGATTTAAAGACCTTTCACGGGCAGCTCAAGTGCGGCCAGATGAAAAAAGTGCGCTGATACGGCACACATGAAGGCTATGACCCATGCAAGTACTCTCACTTTTGAGGTCGAAGCACAATGTCTCATATCTGACATGCAAGTCTGCTACGGGTAGTTGAAGATTCTGTCATGTGACAGCACGGAACTACTTTCTAGGCACTGAACTCCGCAGAGCGATCGGCATGCTCAGACTCGTACACAAAGAGCAGACTTCTTCTGCTGTGCACTGGTGAGTCGGCCGATGTGGACAGCACCGTTCTTCCTCAAGTCTCAAGATGTGCCTCCATCCTCCAAGTGAGGTGCCTGGTCGCCTGGACACCTTCTTTCGTGTAGGCAACGAATGGAAATCGATCGCTACAACTGCCTGCAAATAGCTTCATGTTTCGCTCGCAAATGGGGTATCCGCTGGTTGCATCCATCATTCTCCTCACTGTCGTCACTTTACCGCATCTTTCTCAATAGCAACGCCGCCGCTGTCAATGATAAACCCCATGACATGTGGCGCACTGGGCCACGCTTTATCTCCTCGACTTGTTGCCAAGTGGTGACCGATTGGGGTTTCGTCCCGAGCCCCMCGAACCGCCATATGAACAGCGATCGTCCCAACGCTGCGGCGCCCCCGCAGTAGAGTCTGGTGTGCGTGGCCTCTTAGCAGGCGGCTGGCTACTCTCACTGCTCGATTCCCTGGCGTGCTCGAGGTCGTCGTGCGAGCGCTTCGTGCCAGATATGGGCAAACCTATTCCGAATTGCTCTCCCAATTGCCCGTACTTAGTCCGAAACTCCGAGTGTTTCTTGTTCTCCTCCTCAGATTTCCGAAGCTTATCACCACACTCTTTAAGCTCCTCGCGGGCATCCTCCAGCTTTCGTCTCAGCTCTTCGGGCTCTCTCTGACTGATCTCAAGCTGCTTATCAAGCTCCTTGATCTTGGCCGAGCCTTTGTCGAGATCTTGCTTGGCCTGCTCGAGATCGGTATTAGTCTTGAGGAGCATGTCCTCAGTCGCTTGCTGGGTTTGGAGCAGCTTCGTCGAATTGCCTTCGGCCTCCTTGACATCCACCAAAGCTGCCAATAGCTGCTGATGTTGCTCCCTCGCTTCAGCTACCTTTGTGTCCATTTCTTTTTGGAGATCAACTAGCTTCTTGTCTGCTGCTTTGGATGCATTTTTTGCGACGTTGAGCTTTCCATCCAGATGAGCGGCCCATTTCTACTACGTGTTAGTTACAAGCTTCGACCATCGCCAAAGGCCATCAAGGATTTATCGCTCACCTGCTCTTTCATCCTCTTCAATTCTCCCTTCATGACAGTTTCCTTCTCTGCCTGCAAAGCTTTGTCAAGGCTGGCAGATTTCTGCTGGCCGTGTTCCAACTCCCTCGCCAGACCTTGATGCTTCTCCTGCAGCTCTTTGATCTCCTCGACACGCTTCTCAAGGTGCGCCTTGGTCTCAGAGAGTTCACTGCTTTGCTCATTCTGGGTCTTCCGGCTTGCAGTGACMTGAGCTGTCAAAGAAAGGTGCTCCGTTCTCAGCTGTGAGAGCTCTTGCTCGCGGAGCTGATGCTTTTGATGAGTTCCTGCGACCTCCTTGCGAAGCTTCATCGCCTCCAAATCKGCTTGCTCAAACAGGATGTTCTTCCTACGAAGTTCGTCGTTCTCTGCCTGGAGGAGAACGTTTTTATCATCAGCAATATTCCGAGCGTCTTCGGCCTGCTTTAATATGATTTTGTCAAGCATTCTTTTCGTAGCGAGACTCTCATTGGCCTCATTCAGGTCAATAATCTGGAGCTCCGCCGCAGTAAGCTCGCCTTGCAACCATGCTTTGCTTTCCAGCTCAGTATGAGCTTGATCGAGAGAGCTGTTGGCGATGTCAAGCGCTAGCTGAAGAGACTCAATGTTGTCAGCCTGGACGGAAGCTACGCGTACATGATCTTCATTGATCGCTTCCAGTGCTGCGCTGTTGTCTTCCAACCCAGCAATGATGCCTGCGGTGTTGGCGATTTCCTTCTCTAGCAAGCCGATCCGCGTGGTGAGGCGGCCAATCTCGTTGGTATGCGAACCCTGTGCCTCTTCAACGGTGCTCTTGAGCTTCTCCACCTCTTGTTCGTACTCTCTGGCCTTTAGTACCGCCTCTGAGCTTGCTTCTTCTTTAGATTGGGCGAGGATATCGACATGGCGCTGCTCAAGCGCGTGGAAATTCGCCTCTTGCGATGAACGGAGGTCGACAGTTTCCCTCTCCAGTCTGTCCTTCTCTCGACGGAGTACGTCCGCAAACATTCCACCTGATTTGATTCTGGCTTCCAGCTCTGCAATGCGCTGTCTTTGCCAGTCGGAGTTGTCCATCAATCCACGAATATCCCTGACCTGCCGCTCTACCGTCGTCTGGTTTTTGGTGAAGCTCTCTGACAAAAAATCGAGACATGCTCGCTGTTGACTTAGTGGATCTTGCGGGCTCTGGCTGGGAGTGTCCGGACTTGGTGGATATCCCATTTGCTGCAGCGGCACACCATGCCCCAATTGCGGCGGCAGCGACCAAATCATAGTGTCATGGTACGCTGTGCTATGAGAAGGGTGACCGGTGTCACAAAGCACAACAAGAGGCATGAAATGAATGTACGCAAGAACAGTGATGATTTTGATGAGAGAGGAGAAACGAAAAGCTGATGAGCGCGCTGCGTTTGGCAGCGTAAGGGTAGAACAACTCACCACATTCTATCTAAAGCGATGCTACTGCTACTGCCCGAGACCTCGTTTGCATACTGCTCATCATCTCGTAGCCGCGTTGCTATCCTACAGCGTTCTTGAAACCGATCGTTCGGCCGAGTTTGCGCTGGGATCTCGCAGCTTTTCAACGAAGCTTCTCAAGGACGAATCTTGTACTCGAAGCGGCAGTTCAAGAGCAAACAAAGTGCTTACCGTGTGTAGATGGACGTGGTGTGTTGTGATACGAAAGTCTGGATCATGTCGCACACAACATTCATCCTTGCTCTCAACAGCATGAAACACCGCTAGTGAGTTTTACCCCTGTACGTTCATCGGACAGTCAGTACTCTGGTGGCCCGTGGGGCCCGTTGGCACCGTTTGACAGTAACACCATGCCCGAACGATCTGCTCCTGGATTGACAGCAAGGCAATCGACAGCCCGCGGGACGTTTGGCGCGCCTTCAAACTGGTGCATTGACAACCAACTAAAGCGGGAACGACAGCGAGCTGTTCCACACCTACGACCATCTTGTAGTTTTTGTGGAGGGCTTCATTGCTTAATACAGAAAAGAGTAAACGCTTTGTTGTTATCTCTACTTCACCTCACACCAAGATCAGACACCGGTCATGTCAATGAGCTTTGCATATCATACAACTTCCTCCGCCCGGGGTGAGACAGCGCATCATACGCCCCTGTGATCACAGCCCACCGTTCCTCCACCTCCGGATGCTCCTCCAGGGCAGGAGGGCCGTGTTTCAGACTCAACTTGATCAAAGACCTGCCTTTCTGTTAAAACATGCCAATAATACCCAACATGCTGGCACTTACCTCCTCGCCTTCTCCGGAAACTGGCTTGGCTCTGTGTCCGGAGGAACATCGATCATCTGGTAGAGCAGTGGCCAGTTCGATCGTTCGTCTTCTGACGACGAACAGTCTTCTGAGATCCTTCGGGTGTGCACCTTTGACTTCCGTTCTAGTGCTTCCAAGTCGGCGCTTTCGCGACGTACTCTTCCGGAAAGCGGGACAGTGGTCACCTCTTCAAGGCCCATGGTGGCAGAGGCCGCTTCGAGATCCTCCTCCGGTATTGGATGTTGTGCAGCCGAGACTGGTATGGGCATGCCCTCGGATCGAAGGCTCGTTGGAAGGATGTCCACAGTACGTGTTCGCTGTAACTTGAAACCTCGCATCTCAGTGTGTCGTAGAGCATCAGTGTCGCTCAAGGCTCGGCGGAGCGCAGGCTCGGACAACATATTCGTCGTGTTTCTTGTGACGTAAATGCAGACGTAGGGGTCGATGTTCGACTTGGAAATTTAGTCGTTGTTGTTCCCGGGGCAATGGTCTTGGATGACGATGTTTTCAACGAAGATTTATGTTGCAAAGGTCGTGGTCCAGAAATATCCCTATGATCACATCAACATCCTACAAAATGTCGATGAAGGATCCAACGTCCTTCAAGACGTTAAAGGATTGGGAGACTGCCACCTCGTCAGAGCATTGCATCATCCCGGATCGGCGCCGGATTTCCGGGACAGTAGAATGGCTCCCAGAAAACGCGCACAAAATAAAGTTTAGAATCACACTGGTATGGTAACAGGAGGTAACCACGAAGATAACACCGATGATCAGATAGCAAACAAAGGTCAAAGTTTCATAATTACATGTACACACGCTGGACACGCTAGCTGAATGCCGCCATCAGCAAACCTGTCTGCGAGTACTTTAGATGGACAGCAATATCGTACCTTGGCCCTACATTCGTGTTTCATCGACGCAGAGTGCAGACAGCGCACGCCGCCTTTACAGGGACATTGCTTTCAACCCAGGCAGCTTTCCTGACCGCAGCTGCTCCTCCACCTGCCTCGTAATCGCCTCTCGGAGTCCAGGTATTTCGTCAGCGGGAATTTCGGCTCTGAAGACGTCCTCTGAATCGTCTGATGTTGGGGCGCCGGCAAGATCTGCGTGGTGGGTGTGATCATTCGTGGGCGATGTGCCGGGTGCCGGACCTTCATGCACGCTCGCTGGGACTGATGCACGTTGCGCCATGGCTCTGGTCCGAATGAGGATGGCTTCGGTAGTCAAGGATGGAGATTGTTGTGTTGTCTTATCAAAGTGCTGTTGAAGGAAGGATTAAGGTATCAAAAGGATGAAAGTGTGAGAAGGAAGCCGCGAAGGATAATAAATCGGGAAATGGTAAATGAAGCGTCTCTCCGCCCTTCGTGGCAGATGCAGAACCACGATGCCGCATACCTGCCAAGTTCTGACTGGTTGCAGCCCAACGGATTGGACAAAGAGTCCCGTCCAGCCTGCAACCTGGCAGCTGACAGGTCTCACAGGTCGGCAACCGTGCGTGGCCGGGATTGGCCACGACTGCCAGTATGTTTTGCTCTCGTTCGTTGGCCAGACGTGCGGAGAAGAGACTTGGCCACAAGGTACATACGTACAAAAGACTTGCTTGCATATGCTCCCGTCCAAGCCTCTTCCCCGCTGCCCTGCTTTGCTGATCTCTGCGGTCATCTGTCCTGCAAGGCCATCAGATCCTTCGGGACGGGTTCTCGGGTTCCAACTTCCAGACTGCCAGAAAAGAGGGGTGCAAACATTCCGTAAGGATGATGTGGCGTACGGCGTGTCGTGGAGGCCATGTGGTCGGACAGATTCAATTCTTCGAGAATCGAGATACATAGAAGTGGGTCCATCCATATTTGGACAAGCGCGGCTTGGACTGAGACCATGGAAGACTGGGATTCTTGGGATCAATCGACCGTCGTAGAGATTCTGCATGTCACGAATGCGCCACCAGATTCTCGTGCCATGATACTGTCTTGATTACATCACTCACATTTGCTCAATCCCCACATCACCGCGCAAATGGCCGATCAGCGGGCACAGATGCAGTCGCTTTCGGACGAATACCAGAGTCTGCAGACAGGTACGAGCAGCCAAGATGAAGCTTATTTTCAGTGTTGAACAATTTCGTAGAGCTCTCTACCCTCATATCCGCGCGACAGAAGCTGGAGTCCCAACAGCAGGAAAACACTAGCGTACAACGGGTTCGTGAGAGGTCAACGTCACATTCGCTTCCAGCGCTGATGAAGTTTTCAGGAGTTCAAAGACCTAGACGAGGATGCTACAATCTATAAGCTTGTAGGTCCAGTTTTGTTGAAACAAGACACTGTCGAGGCCAAGAGTACGGTGGAGCAGCGGCTGCGGTATATTGAGGAGGAGATGTAATTGTTTCCGTTCCGCCTTGTCATGATCAATCTTCTAACTTGTGGCGTACAGCAAGCGCATCGAGGGCAGTATACAAGGACTGCAAGAAAAGAGTGAGAGCAAGAAGATGGAGGTGAGATTGCTGTAGCTTCGACCGCTTCCTGATGGCACTGTACTGACTTTGACTTAGATCATGCAGATCCAGAATCAGATGCAGCAGGCTCAGTCGTAGTCTGATATTGATTTTTGACACGAGCCGGATCATCCTGAAATGTCAACAATCAGAAGCCTAGCCCAGTTCGATTTACAGTGTCATGCATGCCCACGGCACGTTGGCAGCATGCTTCTGCACCCACCCGAATGTGATCGAGCTGCTCTCGCACTTACCGTGTCCGGAACCTTCTCACACGACCTGTGCTTGTGTCGTGCCTGGCCGTTCGCCAATCCAGCGCATCCCATAAGAGCCGCTCTGGCCGCTACGGTCATTCCAATTCCTCGCTGACGTGCTCTTATAGTCAGTGACCAAGCTCGCATATCTGCGGCGGCTTGATCATCGAACTCATGTGATTTAATCTCTGTAATACACGGAGGAGATACGGTAGAGAGAGTCTTATGGGCGCCGTTCAATCGCATGCTAGTACTCGCGGAACAAATCGAGCCAGCTCAGTAAAGATGGTCCTGACAATCTGCTGATTTCAGGCCGACAGCATTGTGTGCAGCGATTGTGTTCGCTTTCAATGCAGATCACGCCTTGAGGCTTCATCTGAGATACCACAAGTGATGCTAGAAGAATGGCATGTGCCTTCATTGTGAAGGTGATGCGCGGGGTAGGCATATTCATTCACTTTACCTTGGCGCATACTTGGCATTTCTTATTGTTGTTCCTGCCAGTTCTGGTAACAATAGCATTGTTTATTTATATTTATTTATCGATTGACAACATCTCATATTGAGGAGAAAAAGCAGCTTCCACCTACCTTCGAACGTTGCTGCTCTTCTAGTGAGCAACAACAACAGCAGCAGCAGCATCCATCCGTCCATCCCGCCATCCAGACCCATCAGCCTCGACCTGATTCCCTCAGCCTTCTTTCGAGTTCGACCATCTTCCGAAGCAGTTCTTCAGTCTACCCAAACAACATTCAGTATCCTCGCTAGAACATTCACCATGGACTTCAAGAGAGCCCCAGGAAAAGCTCCGCCGGTCATCAAACAAAGAGTCATCCTGGTTCCCAAGGGGGCCTCTGGCTCTACCATCAAGAACAACAACACCTGGCCATCCTCGAATGCTCGCTCTATTGTCAAAGGCCCAAGCCGCCTGGACGCCAACAACACCAGCACTACCCCATCCTCGAGTTCTAGCTCTGTCGTCAAAGAACCATACCGCCTGAACACCAACAACATCAACACCAACCCGTCCTCGAGTTCTCGCTCTGTCGTCAAGGAGCCATACCGCCTGAACACCAACAACACCAACATCAAACCATCCTCGAAGCCCCGCTTTGTCACAAAMGAGCCATACCGAGCCACGCCAGCTTCCATTCACAAAGCATACCGTACTCCAACACCCCCTCTCTTCACCAGCACCATGTCTCCGAGCGAACTCATGGAGCTATACCTCCAGAGCGGATTCAGTTCGCACAGCCGGCAATCGATCAGAGCGAGTCAGGAGGGCGTATCGCTGAGAGATGTTGAGGAATTCGACCTCACCACGTTGTGGGGAGCACGAGAAGACGCAGTAGAGCAGCTTCACGCCAGCAACGCTCTCTGGAGCTCTCCGGCCCCTCTCTTCACGCCCGGCCCAGTGGAAGAATTCTCGATGTTTGAATCAGGAGACGATTCAGGAGACGAATTTGGCTGGGATGCAGAGCAGGTGAATTTCCTCCCTGTACCCCAGGTGGAAAACCCTCCCGCAACTCCGCGACTGATGGTGAGCTTGCCCATTCCAAAGGGCTTCACCCCCGCCCCTGCCATCCCCGCCGCCCCTGCCGTCACCGCTCCCACAAACAAGGGCGCCAACCGTCCCGCTGCGCCTCCCGGCCCACCYCCAAATGCTGTATACGCGGAACAGAGCCATCCAATCCCACAAGCTGTGCAAGCGGTAGTAGACGAGATCCTTCTTCGGGCGGCGACGAAGAGCAACAAGGCTGGATTTCCCCAGCGGGTGGATTTGAGGAACATGCCGAGCGGTGTCACAGACCTGGACAGAAGATATGGCTATATCACGGCTGGATCCGAGTTGATGAAGTTCTACGGGGATTTGAGATTGTTCAACGAGGCGACTTGGAAGTATCTCGTGAGCAGTGGAAAGGCAGTATGAAGTGCTCCGTGTTGGAAGGGAAGAAAGGATGGAAAGCACGAGTGAAGTTGAGAAAGTTTGATACCCCCTGTAACCAATGATTCAATTATTACGATGTTCTGTTCTTTTCATACTCCCTCAGAATACTTTCAATCCCAAGTGTCAGACTCTTTGCTCTTCGTAGACCCTCTTCCCATATCTCAAGTCTTTGRTTCTCCAGTGGAAGCAGCTCTCAGCTCTCGCTCCGTCTGCCGAATCAAACAGACCTCCTCCTGAGTCCTTGAAATATGGCTGGACATCCGTGTTCCAAAATAATACAGCACCCGACTCCTCGACAAAGGCAATACCCATGTAATCGATCGTCTGCGCGTGCGTTCCTTGTCTTTCGATCAGGAGAACTTCCAGTACAATTGCAGGAAATTCGCTGTCCCCAGTATTTTGCAAACCACTGGATCCGCTTGCCATAGTTACATAGGGGAGAAAGTCGGAGAAGCCGCCATCAATTGTCTCTTCAACGAAGATGTGAGTAGGTAAGTCATACACATTGCCGAGTTTCTCCTCCCTCAAGAACTCCGCGAGAAACGTGCTCCAGTTATCAAGATATCAAGCGAGCATCTTCGTATCACAGCTGGGACAATGATAATGGATCAAGTTCTTCAGAACTTGATAGCCTTGCACCCGGGTGAGGAATGAGTCTTTCGGCCGATAGTCTGGGTAGCAGAGGAGCTACAGTCAAGCAAAGTAGTCCAGTCATGTATGTGTCGGCATGAAGTACAATGAGATATGGTGGGGAGAGGTAGAACTGTAGTTGGGATATGAGTGAACCACTTACCATTCAAATCACATGTGAAAGTCTCGTCTGGTAACACTTGTAGCGAAATTCCTAGCAAAAGGCGAATCCGCCTGTCGTTTTACGGGGTATCTTCAAGCAGATGTACGCCAACCATGCAATGCAACGCAACGCTCCCAACCCGCCAACAAAAACTAATAAGAGCCCAYAATCCACGTTCGATGCCCCCCATCCCTGTCTCTAGTCCTGTTCCGTGTCTGGCGTATACAGCGCATCTGTGCTGGGACTTTTCTGAATCTTCTTCATCGCCAATGCYCGTCTGAGTTCCACCTGCTCCAGCTTCCTACGCATGGTAAACGCCATTCGAATCAAATCGTTCACCTTCTCCGGCTCCTCTGATACCCAGACAGTGTTGCTCATATATGCGAACCATTCTCCTTGGGATTCGCATTCAATGAGGCCCTTTGCATGCTGTGTCAAGAGCGTGAGGGCGATGTTGAAGAGGAACGTCTTCTGGTTTGGTAGACAAAGCCATACATCCCAGATCCGTAGCAGCACAGTTTCTGGCAAAACACTTGCGAATGCTGTCAAAAACCAGCTGAGCGGGACCGTATGTTCTGGGTCGACTTCCAGCTCATTCATCTTGTCTGAGAGTTTGGGCAGCAACTCCCGGACATACTGGCGTAGAACCACGTTGTCCGAAATGGGCGCGCTCATCGCAGAGTCTTTGGAAAAGTAGTTTCGTGGAAAGTACTCATCCACCATTTTGCACAAAACCCAAAAGGCATCGCTCTCGTCCGGTATCGCTAGTAGCAGATACCCGGCAATCATGTTCAACCCCTGGGTATATCCAAGACCTGGGTACTTGCTGACGAACGCAACGAGGACCTTTCTCAACCTATCGTAGCCTTTCTCGGCGTAGTAGTCGTACTTGCTCGTCAGTGTTCGAGGCACATCCTTCAGTATGGCATCAATTTCTCGTGGATCCTCGTTATCCCGAAGATTCAAGTAGTGTTTGTAAGCATCGGGCTGCATTATGGCGTATGTGTTGGACAACTCCATCCAGATAGGATGMCGCAGCCGCATGGGGATGCCTGCTACGACAAGCCGATTGAGTAGCTCCATCTTGTGTCTCCCGCTGGTACCCTCGTTGCCGAATCGAGAGGCACCAACCAGTTCGCCACTTCTGGCTTCCTCTCCCGCTTGCTCACGAGATCTCATCAGACGGACCAGAAACTTGTTCCACTCGGATTCCTGGAGGTTCGTGGATGGCTGGGCAAGAGCGGGCTGAGACAGAGTTGGAGGCAGCTGGTCTAGGTCATGACGAGTGCTCATTTCCACGGGCTCTCGGGGCTCTCGAGCGGCACGAGAGTCGCGATGTACACCGTTGGTCAATCCTTTGATCGTACCTGCTCCAAACAAAGTAGCAGTCCAGCCCGCGCTCTCAGTGCTATTGATGCTAGTCAGACTATGGACGTCTATTGATTTTGGTCGTTCTGACCTGCCTCTCACAGCTGACGGTGCTGTTGAGGCTGATCTTGAGGAAGAGGCGGTCGTCACGGACGCGTATGGTCTCAAACTATCCTTTCGTTTGCCACCTCCGAATAGTTTAGTCAAACCACGAATCGTTCCGGTGGAGACAGACTGTGGCTCCGGTGCAGCATATGTACTGGTCCGGGGAGGATTGWGAGGGCGAACATCCTCGSAAGCGGCCGCAAGGGATAGTCGACGGCGTTCGGATTGCTTAACTCGCTTTGCGGTGTCGACGATACGCTCCGCTGGCACCTTGTACTCTTCGGCAAGACGAGTCAAAGCAGTCACATGCGCATCCCTTTGGGCGAGTAATGTCGATAGGTGGCGGACCATTTCCACCGCGCCTCGATGATCGATGATGGTTTGAAGAATCTCAGTCGGCGCGGCCGATAAAGATTGAGGGTCGCTCGGGACGCTCTCTTGCTCGTCGAACATGGACGGTCCGGTATCGAGAAGGCCATTGAGAGAATCGCTAACAGCGTCGAACTGGAGTGGCGATGCGTTGGACACTGCCCTGGTCAAAGGCTCATCGACGGCGTCCAGACTTGTAGTACTCTCGGTGGGATCCGGAAAACTTGTCAATGAGTTCGTATCATCGGCTTGGATCAGATTGAGGCGACTGGACCGCCGACTGATCTCGTTGCTCATGTTGCGACAGCAAAATAGTTAGATGATCGGCTGTGTGCGAAGATGTGAACAGGGAGATTCGGATCAGGTTTTCGGAGTTCGGCATGACGCAAACCTTAAAATTGGCAGGTGCAGTTGGCAGTGAGTTAAAATTGCCCTCACATCCTGTCATACAGAGTAAGATTGCGCAAGAATTAATATACCAAAGACTTTTGCAACGTCGGACGGCATTCTCAAGGGCGAGGAAGGCCGTGAATATCTTAACACGCAACGTGTCCTGAATGATCTACTATCCACGGTTGTACCTCACATGACAACGTTGAAAACATGTTTTGGTCCTTTTCCCAAAAACAATTCCTTGCTCAAGCAAACCCATACCATTACTGCCTTGACACCTCGCTGATAGATCGTGATCCAGGAACCCTTTTCGTGACATCAATGATGCAAAATATAAAGTTGCCATGGTTTTGTTGCCTCTGGACCTGAAAGACTCTTGACATTCTAGTTCTGCCCTGGCCACCCTCTTGGGACATGATGAAGCCGTGGATCATAAGGCTCCCGTCGAAACACACGACCTTGGCCTCCCCTATTATCATCAAGTCTTTGGCGAGCTTGAATGGGCTGAGCTTCTACTTGTCGAATCTCTTGCCGTAATGGTGGAGCAGGATGGACCGGGGGTTGCTGCCGCGGCTGGTAATCATACAGCTCCGCGGGATTTCGATTGCGGATAGCTTCTAAGCGTTGCTGGAACTGTCGTATTTGCTCCTGGTTGGCTTGGGCCTGGCCTGGTCTGAGACCTTGTGCCGCTGGCACTCCCATGATGCGGAGTGCTGGTATGAGTAGGGGTGCTGGTGCAATTGCAGGTGCTGGCAGTGGAGCTGGATTGATTAACCCATTCATATTGAAAGGGTCTCCATCATCTCCCTCTCCAAAACGATCTTCGTCGAAGCCGCCAAGCATGGGATCGAAAATGAGTCGAGCTAGAGGATCCTGTATTGGCCTCAGTGCAGGCATGCGTCGCCTCAAAGCGTTGGGTCGATCTCCGCCAGCTGCAGCATTTTCGTCGGCCATCTGTTGCCTCTGACGGCGTGGAACGTCCCGCATGCCGTCGGGATTTGCTGCCGCGGCATCAAGCCTCTCCGCGAGCTGTAGTTGCATGCGACGTCGAGCCTGTACGCGTTCACGGTTAAGATCAACCACGGCGGCCTCCAATCCGTCAGCTCGGTCTCGTAATCTAGGTCCMACGCCTGGCGGCATGAACAAACCTCCCGCAAATCCAGCGTAACCTCCGTAGCCCGGTGGAATTCCGCCAGGGACAGCCCCGCCTCTCATAACGCGTTCGTCGGTGGCTTTCTTGACAGCGTCCGAGAGTTTGATCTCAAGATCTTGCTCTGAGACGTCCGGATTTTCATTGATGACTTCAGCCCGCGCGAGTGCACCTGCTTCTTTGATCTCGCGCTCGTGTCGTTCCTCAACATTGTCGTAAAGAGGACATTTCGACGACTTTGAACCAAGTGGCACCCTAGACGCTTGGTCAAAGTGGTTGTAGTCTTTCAACGACTCGGAGCAGACATAGCACTGCAGATTTCCGCAAGACGGACATGACTTGAAACGGCTCACGTTAGCTAGCGATACGAATAAGAAACACGCATACCCTCACCATTTTGTTGCAACCATGGTCTTTGATGAATGGCTTCTTGCACTTGTTGCAGTTCCGGATGAGCGCTTTCGTCATGGCCTCTTCAATCTTGTGACGGCTGCTGAGCTTGTGGTCCTTGGCGTGTTCCTCGCACGATCTCGGGATATGCGAGATGGCTTTGCAGCGACGGCAACTGACTTTCTCACACTGCTCATTTGCGCAGCGAAATTCGAAGTCTTCTTCAATGGGCGGCAGTATTGCTTTATAGTCGCAAAAGGGACACTCTTCAAGATTGTCCAGCCCTGCATCGCGAATGTCCCTCTCCTGTTGAAGTTGCTCAAGTTTTTCGAGCAGTGCCTTGTCTTCGAGCAGATGGAGCTGCGTGCGGGCGAACGATGCACCACACCCCGCAGTGCACAGAACTCTGCATCGCGAGTCACCGACTTCAGACTTCACGTACGCGATGGCGCAGTCAAAGCAGGTGAAGTGAGCAGTATCGCCGTCACAATGGATCTGTCTGTTCATAGGCAAGTCATCAAAACACGCTTGACACTCTGCGGTCTCGCCCGCGTCGATCGCTCTCTGGAGATTCTCCTTTTCTGCCCATTGCTTGGCGTCTTCAATCACACGTCGCCGTCTGCCGTCTTTGACGTGCTTTCTGGCGGCTTCTAGTTCTTCGCACATGGCAGGCCATCCGCAATCGGTGGCCAAAGCGTCCGCTGTTGTGACATCTTTCGCAGGCCTTCCGCCCCACTTCTTGTTGACATTGCTCGTGTCCTTCATCTTTGCGAGGGCTAGATATGTCGGGTAGAGATGAGTGTGTGCGACAAGCTCTTTGCTAATTGCATTGACGGGAATTTCAGGAAATTCGGCCTTCAGGATGGAGGCCATCGCTCCTTTGAAGGCAGGTCCGGCTGCCTCGCGATCTTGGCCCTCCCAGCGTTTTGAGTCTTGGTTCGTGATCTCCTCGCTGCGCTTGCGTTTATGCTGCTGCGGCGGCCTGGCTTGACGTGGATAGCTCTCASCAGACAGTAGCTTCTCTACAATCTCCTGAAGTCTGGCTTCTCCGGGCAGAGCTTCTGGTTCTCGTTCGTCGTATTMGTTGTACAGCTTGACCACATGCTCGTGTTCGATATCCGGAAACATGGCCAGCACCCGCCTGAGGCAAACATCTGCAGTAAATGTGGCGGAATCTAAAGCGTACGTGGCGTCTCCGCTTTCCGGAAGTTGCGCATGAGCACGGACTGGCCGGGCTGGAGGACTGTCGGGTATGAAGACATCCTCTCCATCGATGACTATGATCTGACCCGGCGGTTGAGGCGATGGCTCACGTCGCGCCACAGCAGGTGGTTGATCTTCAGGATACCCACCAGGTCTCTCGAGGTATTGGTCAAAGTCCATCATGTCTTCAAGGTCGATGACTTGCGCGCCGTCAATATTGAAGGCCCCTGGGTCAGCGACAGCGCCGCCGTCGTTTGCGCCGTCGTGCATCATTGCTGGCTCTTGGGCAGGCCTCGGAATTGGAGCAGGCCTTGCAGCTACTACAGGCGCGAAAGTAGGTGCTGGAGCTACAGGCTCAGGCGTGATGGCCGTAGATGATGCTGGTGATGCTCTGCCGAAGAGTCCGCGACGCCGGACTCTCGGAGGAGGGGCATCTCCATCTTCGTCACTGCTTACCAGGTCAACCACGGTTCGGTGGGCTGCCGCCATCATGGCCACGTATGGAGTGGCCGTGAGGCAAAGACAGATGGAAGATGCCTTCAAGATCCAGCGCACAGCTTGTAGTGGTGATGATTGAATGTCATCAGCGGTTCCGAAGAAATGCAAGGAGAGTGGAGTGAAGCCTGCATGAGATGAATGCAGTGAATTTGAGAGGCCTCGTGGATGTCTCCAGAAAGTCCGCCACTTGCAGGCTCACGAGCGGTACGACGATGCAGATTGGCCGCGTGTGAATGAGAGACGCACGACGGCGAGTTCGGGAGTCGTCAATGGCAGAAACAGTGGCGATTGTGCTTGGAGCCCGCCGGTGATGCTACTGCTGGTACTGGGCTGTATTGGAAGTTGCCGGACGAGGTGTTGGCGGGCGGCCAGTGCTGGTTGGGAGATTTCCTTTTTACTGCACCTACCCGATGTTTGGAGACAGCAACAGCGGTGCAGGCATGCGTCGCCTTCCTCGAAAGGGATGCAAATGACCCTCCTTTGCCGGACAGATGATGTGGGCTACCTTAAGGTATAGGGAATGAATGGATGGATATTCACCGGGCCATCGCGCACCTCATCGCCTTACTCACCACAGCGCATGCCGACCAGGAAGCCCGTGTTCCACAGCGAGGGCCAAAGAGGAATTGGCGCCTGTTTGAGGCCAACGAGGGCCCGACGGCGGCAGGAGCGCGCGGCGACAATTGCACAGTGGATATCTGGGACCACCAGCAGTCCGTGAAATGTAATCTGTCAGATGAGACTGCCGTCTTGTCTTTGGCTGTCCCGCCCCGATTCGTCTCAAAAAGTAGTGGTTACTTTGCACCGTCATCCCTTGACATGGAAAACGGCTCTGGCATCTCCCACGAATGCTTTGCTCGCCCAACGAACGACGTGCAAGGACACCGATGTCGACAGGATGTCGAAGCCATGTATGACGAACATCAATCTACTTTGGCAGATAAAGTAGATCTATATCGGCGCTGCGATCCGATGTTCACCATCTCGCTTTGTAACCTGCCTGCCGATGCCAATCGCTGCCATGGAAATCTAGCCCATTCTCAACATGCCTGGGCTTTCTTTGTATGATTCGCAGAGATCATCGTGTGCTGTGGAATACTGGTTACCTACCTTACCTATTCCTGCTTTCGTGCCGCCGCAGTTTCAAGTTTCACCWCCATCCACCCGGACTTTTGCCCAATTCGTGTCGAGGACGATCTTCACGACATCCACGCGTCTCGACAACCGCATTTGCCATTTCCAACAACAATGCATCTGTCACTACTTGCGGCCTTTGTTGGCCTACTATGCCAGGTTAATGCACATGGCGAGCACGCGCATTCAAAACGGCCTGAAGTGCCACCAGGGGCGGATTGGACCACCAGACATATGATTGGTAGGCATGCTGGATCCGGTAGACATTGATGGCTCTAACACATGCATCAGAGGAGCACCACATAGCCGATTTCGACGCGGGCGCCTTCTTCACACTGCACGACTTCGACAGCACCAACCAGTGGACACACGACGACATTTACAAGTTCTACGGTCTACACCACGAATCCACAAAGCACATTTCAGACGCGGACAAAGAAAAGGCCGTCAATCAGGTGCTCGACCTGTACGACCACGATCACAATGGGGCGATTTCATTTGCGGAGTACACCATTTCAGAGGCCAAGGGCGTGAGGTTACCCGACTTTGGATACGGTCCTGGCCATCATGGCGATGATGAGTATGAGTATGAGATACATCATTGGGAGCTCTATCACGATGAGAACACTACGGAGGAAGATCTGATCCATCCTGAGGTGAGCAGCATGCAGCTCCGCTTGTGTGGAATGCAGGACTAACCCCAAGCAGGATATTGAGCACTTCAGACATCACGAAGAGATGGAGGCGGCAGAGGAGCGCCAGCAGATATTGGACCGCATGCCCATCAACGAAGCGAACATTCCACAGAAGTATCGACGATGGCCTTGAGTAATCACAACCGACAGGAGACATTGCAAAAGATTCGATGTGCAAGAGCGCGACGAGCAGGAATTCGATGTGCATACAGGTGGGAATATGGCATGGGCGGAAGGCGGCGGCAATGCATGCTGCCTGTATGAACGAAGACATGTAATAGACTGGGTCTGTACAAGCGCAGGCGCTATGCAGGATCTGTTGCAGCTACAAGGATATCTAATACGCAATGCTCGATCCCAGGAGCATAGCTTTTCAGCCAACTAACATACTCGAGCTCAACCCGCACATCTTTGCCACGCTGATCACTGACAAGAGATTGGAGCTCCTTTCGCGTCTCCTCTGCCTTCTGATCGATTTCGCTGATCAGGAAGTTCTCGTGCACATGCACCCAACCATCGTGTCTGGGATCGATGATCATAGCAGCGAGCTTGAGAGCAGATCTTGAGCTGGGTAACATGCCACAGTTGATGTGCCTGATTGGAGGCAGGAGAGCCCTCATTTTTGAAATGCGCTCCGGGGCGAGCTCATTTGTCTCGTTGAAGACCAGCAGCTGCTCGTCATTCTTCACCACATCCTCCAGATCCGTCTCGCCATCTCTAAACACCGTGACTCCCCATTTGTTAGCAATCGCACCCCTCCTCARCCCTTCAATACTCCAAGGGTTGAGATCCCAACCAAGCACCTTTGTGATGCCAGCTTTGACGTATGAGAAGGAAAAGTACCCGACACCACAATAGAGATCAACGACCGCACACCCTGATTCCAACCTCCCCTCCTCCACAACCTTCACCACTGAGGGCAACGTGAGCAGCCTCGCCTTCTCGCTGATGTTGCCTCTTGAAAACATCGTCCATCTCGGACTCCAAGTCTGACGAATCGCATTCTGCTTGGCCGACACCCAAAAGGCCGCATCAAAGTCCTCTTCCGTAGGTGGTGCACTACATGATGTTGGTCCGAAATCTCCATATACAGGCGTGAAATTGGTGGGAGCACGTAGCACATTCTCATCCTCCGAGTCTTCTTGATGTGGCGGAATGGGTTTGTTGATCGCGATGACGGTGGTTTTGAGATACTTTGCAATGAGGGTGTAGAGTTCCTCGAGGCTGTCATCGCGCAGGTAAGGTTGTATGCTTTCCCACTCGGGCCCTTCAAAGGTGTTGGCGGGGAGGAGGAGCATGCATCCGTAAATTGTATACTTGCTTAGTTTTCGGGCGAAGGCTGTCCACTTTGATGGTGGGATGTCGTGGCGGACGAGCCATGGTTTTGTTGCTTTTTCCATCTTCGACGGGATGTGAAAAGTGAAGATGTGGTGGCACTTCTATGATCATCACAGCAGGTAGTACATCTCACTAGTGGGGCKGAAGAAAGATTTTACGAGGCCCTGCCTTGCCCTGACAGTACGTTCACGCCAAGCTGCCCGACTCTATTAGACACATCAAACCAAATCAGATCCTTTATCTAAAAGTATGTTCTTGTTAAGAAATGATTCGGCGTATCAAGTCTTCTTCAAAACCTGCCTCTAGGGCCAGAATTGATGAAAACAAGGAGCAACAGCGAATGAAGTCTGAAGCGAATTGGTCGTATTATCAGCGAAAGGTCGACTCATCGTTGACGAGAGCTGGCACGCCATGTCGGCGCTGCTCGTCCCATGATTCTACAATCATCGCCGTGGTAATTCTTTGGTCACCAAACTTGAAACTGTACTCGACTGTAAGGCGGATGCTGTGCATGATCTCCACTTCCTCATCATTGCTGCAATTGGCCTCTGCAAAGAGCTCGCCGAGTTCCAAGACCTGGCGTCGTAATGTACTCTTTGCGGTCAAGTCTTTGCCTTTTCAGTCCTTTGGTCATCGTGATTGTTGTGTTGAGAAGAGATGAGCAGGAACAGAAGACAGGAACTTGGACGCAATGAGGAAATAATGCAGGCAGAACCAGAGAAGGCACCTACCCAAAACCAGTCCGATACTTGACACATTGCAACGTAAGTGTGAGCATCCGCGGTACCGCTCCCATCTCCTACGATTACGCAGGGCATTGTCTGTGAGAACATTCGTTCCACGAAAGTGTACTTACCACCGACCCATCTACCCAATCCTGAGGACGTGTGGTGGTATCCGCTTTACAGAGCGATTAGTGAGAGCCGATTTGACCATCTGTGGTCTGTGATGGACTCCTGATTGCCGCCGACAAAGGATCCTCCGCTCTTGGATCTGTGATGGATTCCGCTTCACAGATGGACTCCGGAAATCATTAATACCGATGAGAGCATTTTACCTTGCAGCGTGAGTTGTTGCCAATCTTCATGTTCTAGACAGTATGTTCATCCTCACAACATCAAAATCGTGTTGTGGATGCGTTGCCCTTGGTTGTTCTTGGCTCTCTCTTAACCGGTAGCGGGCGTTGTCTTTCTGCAGTGGTGAGGTCACCATTCAAGCCCTCAATCCTCTCTGGACGCCGATGTTTATAGAAAACATGATCAAGCCGAAGGCATGTGAAGATATGGCACAAGGGTGAGGAGCCGGGCGATGACTGTTAGACTGTCTAGCAGCCTGATAAATTAATAACAAAAGAGATATTGATTAGTTACTATGTATGTAGCTAGCTAATTCCTTCTTCCTAAGTGTAATAAAAACTCTAATAATATGCTAAGATTACCTAATATTACCTAACATAAAGTTATATAGCCTAAATTCGACATACCCCTTTAGTAAGGACTAACTTTACTTTACTTAGCCCTTACTAAATATTAATCTTTTATATATAAAATATCTTCCTCCTAATTGCTTCCTAAAACACTTATATACTATTAGGAGTTAGAAAATAGCTTGTAGTATAGCCTTATATACTCTTAATAGGTATTCTAATTAATTCCTAATCGTCTAATTAGTTATTTAGTAATTATTAGGAGTATTCTTTGCTTTTAGATATATAAGAACCGGTCTTTTAGTAGATAGTTTACCTATTATCTAAGAATATAATAAACTCTCTTTCTTTAGAGAGTATAAAACTTCTTACCTTTACGACGAGAAGCACCTTTACGACGAGAAGTACCTTTACGACGAGAAGCACCTTTACGACGAGAAGTACCTTCGCGACCGAGGACTCCCGCGCCGCCGCGCCGCCGCGTACGCGATAATACCCCCGAATACCGTACCCGCCCCGAAGGCGATAGAAGAAGACGGGATCCCGCTATATATTACTAACCTAATTAAGTCCGTAGAAGGACTTAGAAAAGACCCTACGATACTACTATAATATAAGRAGGTAATAGCGTCGATAAGTACCCTTATTAGYATAYTCGTATATACTACTACGAAATACTAGAAGACCTACCTCGAATTTTAATAAGTTCTTTAGGAAACCCTTTAGGGTATTAATTATACTATAAAGTAAATACACCTTTTTCTCTARGAGACTAATAAAAACACTAAGCCTACCTACTCGAGTATAGCCTTAGGACCGAAGATTTTAAGACCTTTTCCTAGCCCTAATACCCCTTAGCTAACTACTAAGCCTATAATAATAATATATATAAAAGACTAGAAGGATATTACTAGAATAAAGGCGAAGAGYATAGYAGAGATAGTTAGGGAGATTAGAAACCCCGACGTCCTCGCCGCGAGAGTCGATAAGTACGGGAAGGTTAAGCTCTCTATAAAAGATAGCGCTATAAAGGTAAAAGTAGAATTAAATAACGAATAGATAACGAAAATCGCACCTTTAGCTAGACTCTCGAAACTATCTTTTTAAGTACTTATCTACGCGGTCCCCCGAGCATTCCGCGYRGGAGAGACGCGAGGAAACCTCGAGATATAAGAATAGAACAAATAYATTAAAGATCTTAAGGTTACTAGAACTACGTAGCTTAACCCGAGCTAGAGGAGATAGTACCCGGAGAAGGCGTACTCTTCCCTAATTATATAGATAGAGACCGCCGTAATAGCTAACGAAGCTATTAATAAAGGACTATTCTAGGACTACGAGGAAAAGACTATTAAGATTACCTAGGCGAGCTTTAGGATCTTATAGTACTTTAAGTRCTAGGAGTACGACTATATAACCGGCTCCTACTCTAGGCACGACCGATACGGCTACTATACGGGAAATTACCGATCCGACGAGTGCCGTAATAGGAAGAAAAAGAAGTACGTAAACTATAAGGGAAACTACTCCTTTATAGACTCTATCTACCCTAACCGTATTCGGGTAAAGAAGAGGGCGAACTAGTTTAAAGCGAACTTCCCGGCGAACTACCTTACGGCACCTACCGAAAGGAACGAAACTAACTTATAGGGATTTATATTCGTCTCTCGTATACCGAGTAAGAGGAAATCCCTAGAAGAAGTAGATCTAT